ACTATATAGGCTTCTTTACAGGTGACATTATTGCAGTAGCTACTTAGTAGTTCCCTTTAAAAGAAATCAATCCACTGATAATTAAGCCATTGTTTTCTTCTATCTGAAGGTGCCTGCAAACGAATCTGTATATCATGTTGGAAACGCCGTGGCCAAGCTCCAAGATCTGATGACGTCAAAAACAGACCCACCTGTCATGGCACTGCTCCATTACGGCAGCATCACTGAGACGGATGTGATAGGAGAGATCACGGGGAAACTGAAAATGATACAGGTATGATTCACTTAAACAAAATGTAAACATACTTTAAATATAATATTCAAATCAGTGTCCCAATTTGTGCGGTCAATTTTAAAAAGTATTTAATCTTTCATATTGATTTGGATGTGGAACTCGAGTTAGGTTTACCCTCTGATAACAGGTATAATAGTACAAAATTAAAGCATCAGCGGTACAATGATTTCGTAGCAGACTTCTAGAGCGCACACTGTGGTCAGGGGGTAGGCTAAATGAATGATACTCAATGCTTCCGTCATAGACCGCATNACGGACATCGGAATATCCACAAGGAAATTTAGTCGTCGACTATGAATATTTGTGAAGCTTTCTTTATGTCGTAGTATAATATGAAAGCCGGGACTGAAAAGTTATTTTGTGTGCATGTCAAATTGCTTAGCACGGCCTTTAATAGTATCTCAATATCACGTGATAGTTTTCTGCACACTTTACTGCCACTCACCTTTTTTCAAAAGTTTCCAAGTGCTCGACTAGCTCATCGTCGCTTTGCTGTTGTCTTTCAAACTGATCCAAATGCGCGGCCAATTCCCTATCTGATATATTGCTCTGCCATAAATCTGAGAGATCCATGTCGCCTACCCGTGTCCTTTAAATTTCGGAATATTTATAGCCTGCAAAATACCGTGACTTGGCGTTTTTTAATCTCCAGATAAATAGATGTTATACAATATCCGTGACTCAGCAATAATATTCTTAAAGTCATTCTGAGTCAGCGTTTTTCCTATTCCCAGATAAAAAGATGTTATACAATATCCGTGACTCAGCGAAAAATATTCTTAAAGTCATTCTGAGTCAGCGTTTTTTTTAATCCCAGATAAATAGATGTTATACAATATCCTTGACTCAGCAAAAATATTCTTAAAGTCATTCTGACTCAGCGTTTTTTTCTTCTGTATATATAGGGGAGAAATCCCTCTAGACGAGCACAGACGGCATACAGAGTCATGGCGAGATTTCTTCCTTTTGGTGACGCTTTTTGCCTAACTGTCTGCTTTAACAGGCAGAATGAGCTTCTTGTCGTTCTCTCAGACAAGTCAAAGCAAAAGATCAGATTTAATGACATTGTTTGGGGCCATGTCACAAAGCACGCAGGAGAGATAGAAGAGGCGTTTTTAAACGAAAGCATTCTGACGGTCCCTTTCTGCGACCTCTACAAATTGTCCTTCGAAGGTCCAAAAGCTCCAATAAAGATTAGCTACCAAAAGGGTGAATCCACCACGGTCATCGAGATGGGGTATACAGATTGGTCAGCGTTTTTGCGGCTGTTCGGAGAAGTCGATGCGACACTAGCCAAGAAGAAGAAAAACGGTGACGCCCAACCTCAACCGTCGAGTAAAGCCGTCGTGCGTCTCCTGTACACCTATTTCCTGACGAGGATGATTAACTATCTGAAGACCCGAAATTGCACCGGTTGCCAGACCGCCCACGGAAGCCAGCGCGAACACGAGTGCATCGAACCCGTTTGGTCTGTGTCAGTGTATCGGTTTATAGAAGAGGCGTTTCAACAGGTCAAAACCAGTGTCATTCTCGAAGCATATGATTTTTACATATCTCTTCGAGACCTTGAAGACGATCCTTACATTTATTCCGTGATCCAACGTTTACACGAAAATCGTCGTAAACTTATAAATGAAGTTATGTCAACGGAAGGTGTTGAATGCTACGATCACACCTTGCAATCATGTTATGAGCGTATTTTTGAATAGGCGAACCTGCTATGTATCAAACAGTTATTCGGACTTTATTATACGGACAAAGACACATGATTAGTAATATAATTAAAATTTGTAATCTAACGTCTTTAAATCACGATGTTATACGGATAAAGTCATATTATAAACATTGTACACAGAGTTTATTGAACTATTCGATTCTCACGCTATTCGGACGTTATTATACGGATAAAGTCAAATTAGACGGTGTTCCCTAAAATAATTTGTAACATTACACTTTTGTTAGTTATTTATAAAGAAATAATAAATTTGCTGCGTGTCTATTGCGTTTGGTGTCTTTTACTTCTCGCCGTCGCAACGTGATTGTGTTTTGCATCATCATTTGTCAGCGCACCTCACAAACCGCAATTTGATATTCGAGGTCTGTTCTTTTCCATTGCGTTCCCCCCACCTGTTATCCTACTTTACAGTGGGGTGGGAGTTATTTAAACATGCCACGCCGTTCATAATCATAAAGTAAATACACACGCTTTTCGACAGTGTGCAGAGCACTTCAATCGGTAACTCGCACAATGTGCAAACATCTGATACAGATAGACCAGCACTGCCGCTCTGTGTTATAGCTGACCGTGTATGGGTGTAGTCAGAACACAAAATACGTAAGGACTGACAATGCCTTTCCTGACTGCTCGATAGATGCATGGATTTACTAATTTCATATCAGTGTTTGGTAAGTAAAATGTATTGCTGCTAGGGTTAAAGGGTGATTAAGCAAAAAAAAAATACATGAAATCTGAAAAAATGTTATTTTGTGTCTGGTCTAAGCTGCCTTGGGTTAAGGTAAAATGAATTAACCAGTTCAAACAGTTCAAAAATTCATTAAGTGCAGCGTAATATATATATATTTTTTTTTGCTTAGCCACCCAGAACCACATTACGTTTTCTATTTTAACTCGATAGACAAATACTCAAACATAAACTGTTATCAATTAAAAAACAAACGATGGTTGTTTGTTTTAATTATTATTATTTCAAAGCAAAAAAAAAACACAAAAAACGACTTTTCCGCAAACTTCCGTATCTTCTTTGCTTTCTGAAAAAAAAAAAAAATCCTTTAAATACTCTGTACATCCAAGTGTTAAAAATATGTCATGATAAAAAATTCCTTGACGGGAAAATACTACATTTACACGGAAAAATATGAAACAACTTTTAAAATTAGGCGACACTGATTAAAATTTGACTCAAAATGTGAAAACGCACCTTTTCTTTTAATTTTTTTCTTCATCTTCTTCTTCGCCTTCGGTGAGGTTTGTGAGGTTTATTACCTCGACATTTTCATCGAAGATGATGCTTTTATCATCATCATCATCATCATATAACATTTCCATTTCTCCTGTTTCATCGTCCGTGACGATGAACGGTTCTACCTGGAAAAAAAAGGTCGCTATAGCCATATTGTACAGGATGATGATATTTATTAAAAATCATGTAGTTTCAATACTGTGAAATAGCTAATCCTTCACAAACTAGTGTCATATGTCATGATAAAAAATCTTTGACAGGATAATATGAATATATGTAGCCAACAACATGTTAGGCGGCACTGATAAAATTTGACTCAAAATGTTAAAACGCACCTCTTCTTTTTCTTCATCTTCTTCTTCTTCGGAAAGAAGAATGAATTCTTCAAGCTGAAAAAAAAATCACGCTCGCTATTGCCATATTGCACAGGATGACGGTATTTATTAAAAACCACATAGTTTCAATACTGCAAAATAGCTAATCCTTCACAAACTAGGCCAAACAAATATCGTTAGAAGAGGGTAATACATATTTACCTTGTGGGCTTTGTACAGCCCCGGCCAAAGGCCCTGTTCGTCCATCTGTAAATACGTTTAAATTGTTTGTCATCAGACCGATTGCATTGAGTACATACATACAATACATAGAAATCTCTACCGTTAAACAATACATACATATTTTAGTTAAAATGCTTTGCCTGATATTTTGTATATTATACATGCGTTACGTACCTGTGATTCTATGTGAAATCTCTTCACGTAATAATTATTGTATTCTTTCTCTGACACGGCTACAATGTAGCCGTGACAAATATCGCAGTGCTGCACTTCTATCTGTGGCATGGTGCTGTGGTATTAACGCCGAGAAATGGGGGTATTTATACGCAACAGAAAGGGTGTGACTTTGCAGTTTTTGTCTTTATTTTAATAACAAATATTAAGATAATTATATAATACATCTTTCAACTCTACTGACTCTGCAATTTTTCAGCAAAACAAACCTTCCAACCCTTTGCTTGGCAAATATTTATCGGAGAATTATAGGCAACCGAATGACATGACTTTGCAGTTTTTCCTTCATTTTAATAACAAATATTAAATTATTATATAATACACCTTTCAACTCTACTGACTCTGCAATTTTTCAGCAAAACATAACGATTTAAACCTTTGCATGTCAAATATTTATCGGGGAATTATAGGCGACAGAATGACATGACTTTGCAGTTTTTTCCTTCATTTTAATAGCAAATATTAGAATAATTATATAATACAGCATGACCATCTTTGGTGAAATAAAATGACTCTGCTATTTTTAAGCAAAACAAGTCTGCTGCCTTGCCGACTCTGTCTGTCTGATTGCTGTCAAATCCGTTTCACACACACTACTTGAGATATTACCTCGCAGGTATCCAAGTACCTCGTCATTGACATTCGCTTACAAAGGGATATTTGCAAATCCACCTGCACGTTCTTCAAGTGTTAGTTTGTTGACAAATCCACTTGACCGATAAGACCCACCCGCCCTCTGCTTGTCGCGTCGTCGGTACCCCGGCCATCAAGTGCATTCGTCATTTGCAACGCCTCATTTACGCTCTAAAAAAATTGCATTAAAAGTATATGGTGCCTCTTGATTTTGCAGCTTCTGGAACTCTTCTCTTACTACTACCATATATATATACTGTTACTGTAATAATAACAAAGTGTTCTTTTCTGAATGTTGAAATGTATTTGGCAGGTATTGAGTCTCGCCTGGACTACATCAAAGACCTTGGTGTTGGTGCCTTGTGGATGGGTTCTGTCTACAAGAGCCCCATAAAGGACTTTGGCTATGATGTGTCTGATTTCAAGGATATAGATCCTGTGTTTGGTACCCTGGATGATATGAAGAATCTGATAGCAAAAATGAAAGAAATAGGTTAGAACTTTGTTTTAAACAAGCTGAAGGCCATCAGACAATTTTTTCATTCTTTCAAATTTAATACAATCTGTAACATATATAATAATGGGAATATCTTTAAACTGGTGCCATGCCACAACTGAACGACCGTTTTCAAAATCAAATGCTAGACTTAATACTTTGGCATTTTGTAAAATACTTGGAACTAATCTCAATATATCAATTTAGGAATCTCTTTATATTGTATCTCTATGTTTGGCTTACCCTGACCAGGTTCAACACAGAAATAATTTTTCAACCAGCATGTAGTTTTTATTTTGAAAACAACACATGAAATTGGCTTATTAAAATATTTTCAGTATCTTTTGATCAATACATCAGAACTAATGCAAACACTACCAGTACAGTGTGACTAACATTATTGCCTGGCCTTTAAGTGAACAAAATGTTGTCTTTCAGGTCTCCACTTGATACTGGACTTCATCCCCAATCACACCAGTGACCAGCACCCTTGGTTTAACAACAGCCGCCAGGCCACTGATCCCAGTGACCGCTACTACAGTTACTATGTCTGGAGAGACTGTGGGAATGACACATACAGGGACTACCCTACCAACTGGGTAAGATAATACAGACTGTCCTACCAACTGGGTAAGATAATACAGACTGTCCTACCAAATGGGTTAGATAATACATACAGCTCTACGAACCGGGTAAGATAATACAGACTGTCCTACCAACTGGGTTAGATAAAACAGACTGTCCTACCAAATGGGTTAGATAATACATACAGCTCTACCAACCGGGTAAGATAATACAGACTGTCCTACCAACTGGGTAAGATAATGCAGACTGTCCTACCAACTGGGTAAGATAATACAGAATGTCCTACCAACTGGGTAAGATGGTAGACAAAGACTATCCTACCAAGTGGGTAAAATAATAGTCAGAGACTATCCTACCAACTGGGTAAAATAATAGCCAGAGACTATCCTACCAACTGGGTAAAATAATAGCCAGAGACTATCCTACCAACTGGGTAAAATAATAGTCAGGGACCATCCTACCAACTGGGTAAAATAATAGCCAGAGACTATCCTACCAACTGGGTAAAATAATAGTCAGGGACCATCCTACCTAATGGGTTAAATAAGAGTCAGAGACTATTCTACCAAGTGGGTAAAATAATAGTCAGAGACCATCCTACCTAATGGGTTAAATAAGAGTCAGAGACTATTCTACCAACTGGGTAAAATAATAATCAGATACTAGTCCATACTAACTGAGAATAAGATAAAACACGAGATTGGCAAACATTTTTTATAAACTTAATATGAACTTCAATGTTTTTGTTTTGTTACTGTCCTGTGGTCATAAATAAGTATGCATTGTACCTTTCATAAAAAAACTAAACGTAGTCTATATAAAATATTATGTTATTATTCAGGTTTCAGTGTTTGGAAACAGTAGTTGGACATATGACAGTGTCAGAAAGCAATGCTATCTTCACCAGTACCTGAAAGAGCAGCCAGATCTGAATCTAATGAACCCTTATGTCCAAGAAGAACTGGAGGTGAGAGTTTTTTTAAAGTGAAGAAAACATCTGATTGTCTGTTTCTCTTGATCTCCCTATACATCCAATAATTTTGGCCCAAATAATTACTCTCCTAAAGTGCTATCATGGCCACAGATAAAAAGGTTTATGCTAATCTGAATGGTGTGATTTGAGCCACTTGGATATAAGGAACGTGTGCTTGCTAATACCTCCATTCACTTTGTATGTAAATTAGTTTTTGATTTGCTGATCTGTAAGTTTTAGTCTTGGTAATAACTTGACAAGTAACAAATTTATCTGGCCTAATAATGAATATTCACCAGTTGGGGCTAAAGCCTCGGTCACAACCGGACGCACGAATTTCAGGATCGTACGTCCCCTGCGATTTTTGGGTGTTGCGGAGGCCGTGGATATCGTAGAGGTAGAGGCAAGTCTGCCTTGCGAGTCGCAAGGGCCACATGAGATTTCCTTTCAAGCAGGGACGCTAATTGCAAGGAGCGATGGCCGTGGAAATTGTACTTATTTCTTGAGCTTGTCTTGCGTGGGACGTGAGATTCTGCGCAAAATTTGGACGCAAACAGCCTGTACAGCTGGTTGTGACCGAGGCTTAAACTAACATTTGGATACAAGGGTGGGGTGGTGTCAGATGCCAAAGGCTGTTATGCAATTGAACCATGCTGCATGCTACCTCAAGAAAATTCATTTTAAGACTTTCAAATTGTTTATAATCATCTACAGAATATCCTACAATACTGGATGGACCTTGGGGTGGATGGTTTCCGTGTAAGTGCCACATCTCACCTGTTTGAAGACTACCTGTGGCGAAATGAACCCATCATTGACAGCACCAAGAGTCAGGTAAGCAACCTTCACATGGCTTTTAATTCACATTTAGTGAAACTGTGACTTCAATTTTTCAAGCAGTGCAAAAAAAAAAAAAAAAAAAAATTCCAAAGAAATTGGGCAAAGCTGTCGATAAAAATATCCTGTTTTCTTTTGAAAAATACATCATTGTATTTCTTAGCATACCGTGATCTCTACATTTTCTTTTGTAGAAATTTTAGCTTTTAAGACAATTTTAAATGTAATCTGACCTTAACTCAGGCCTTGACAAGCTAACCAACACCATCATTGTGTTTGTTTACTTTCAGGTTGACTACCAAAATTTCTATCACAACTTCACGATCTCTCAGCCAGCCACCTTTGACATATTGGCAAGATGGCGAGCTCTGTTGGACCATCAAACAGAAAAGGATGGAGTTTATAAGTAAGACAAATAGTGAAAATGTTGGGTTCCATTTTGAGGCTCAGATATTAGACTTGTATTAGTCTTGGGCTAAGAATATTTCTCTGTCTGACTCATTCAAACGAAAAAAAAAAAAAAAAAAAGACTTTTGTAAATAAAAGTTATGTCATTTGGCAAAAACTTATAAAAATGGCACTGTTAGTTCTATGGCTTACAATAATATCAACCTTCAGTTTCTACCCCGAGTCTCACAGATAACTGAAACCCTATCACCAATTACATTGTCTCTGCCATTTCTAGTAATATTATGATAGCAGAATTTGATAAACATTACCTGAGAGTCTTAAATGCAGAGTAACAAAATAATTTTTCACTTTCTCCATTAAGGCTCCTTATGGCTGACGTGACAGATGCATCGGAAGAGGACCAAATGAAGTACTATGGCTTGTATGGCCGTGACGGTGCTGATATGCCCCACAATTTTGGACTTTTACAAAAGTTGAACAGAAACTGTGGTGGAACTTGTGTGAAGGAGGTGGTAGACGACTGGCTGTCCAACATGCCCCCAGGGAGATGGCCTAATTTTCTGGTAGTCACAGTCTTAATAATATTGGCTGAGGTTTTGATCAGAATAATTATCTTAAATCCTTTTAATTACCTGTGACACAGCCAAGCAGGTCTCAAAGTCCGGGATTTAATATTATTTTTAATCTTTGAACATTTTACAATCCAAAAACATTTCTGATGATCTGGACCTTAAGCTGGTTTAATGGTACTCATGTAGTGAGGCACAAAAGATTTTTTGAAATTTTTCTTAACTGCAAAGTTACTAGTCATGCAAACTCTATCATGATATTTCTTGCTATCTAAACAGTTCAAGAGTTATCTTCTTTAAAACTACTTTTTGTTCACTCTGATATACAAAGTATCAGTAATTCTAATCCCTCCTCTAGGTTGGTAATCACGACTACCCAAGGATCTTGACCAAGATGGATGTACAGTTTGTGAATGCAATAAATATGTTACTGTTACTTCTTCCTGGCACACCAACTACTTACTATGGGGAAGAGATTGGTATGAATGACATAGCACAACCCACACCACCACAAGACCCCTGGGTATGTTATGACAGGTTATACAGGGTGTACTGTAAGTGTGGACACAAATATACATATGATCACTTTTTGTAACTATCTATATATATTTATATATATCTATATATATTTTTTTGTGACTGAATCTTGCAAAGTGCATCACAATTTTAGAAATCACATAGTCATTAATTAATATTTCAAAGAAATAAAATGTTATTCATATTTTTTTAATTAAAAGTGGAAAAATGCATTCTGCCTGCGTCCAGAGTTTTGGGACACCGTGTTGAGCCAGGACAATCTGAATAGGACATTCTAAATTGCCACAACGATGTATCCTTCTCTTAGACTATACGGAGAGTAGATCAACATTGGGTACTCATCAAAAATATCATTTTATCAAACATTTGGGCAATTTATAAAGTTAAATATAAAAGGCTTTTTACTCTAAAAGAAAGAAACTTTTCCAGAAGTTTAGCTATTTCTTTTTTGTTGTTATTTAGGGCAGAGACCCAGAGCGTTCCCCCATGCAGTGGAGTAATGCTAGTTTGGCAAGTTTCTCTAACTGTACTGGGAATTATGACCCCCAGAAATGTCCCTGGCTACCTGTCAACCAAGATTACCTAGCTGGTGTGAATGTACAGGTAAGTTAAAAAAAATTATTATGTAGTTTTTCCCAGATCTTCTTAAAACATTAATAATTATGAATAAATAATATTCATAATTTAAAAGTAAAAAATGAATTAATAAAATGACCTTTATCAACTAGTGCTTCAACCTCGGACACCTAATCATAGTTTAAGTGTGCTACTTGCAGCTGAGTGAAGTGTCAATTAACCTCAACATCCTTTTTTTTTTTTTAATAATTTCCATCTTTTTACAAATTTATCATATACTATCATATAATGATAACTTATGAATAATAGCTTATCATAATGCTTCAGGCACAAGAACAAGACAAGGACTCATCTCTAAACCTGTACAAGTCTTTAGCCAAGCTACGACAAGAACCTACATTCTTACATGGCAAAATGAAATATGCCATTGTGGATGATGATATCTTTTCATATGTGAAGGACTGGCCAGGGGAGACTAAGTAAGTGTGTGTGGTAACAACAGAAACCAAACAAAATTGATGAATATTTCTCTGCTAAGCAGTAAAAGAACAATTGCATNAAGGAGGTGGTAGACGACTGGCTGTCCAACATGCCCCCAGGGAGATGGCCTAATTTTCTGGTAGTCACAGTCTTAATAATATTGGCTGAGGTTTTGATCAGAATAATTATCTTAAATCCTTTTAATTACCTGTGACACAGCCAAGCAGGTCTCAAAGTCCGGGATTTAATATTATTTTTAATCTTTGAACATTTTACAATCCAAAAACATTTCTGATGATCTGGACCTTAAGCTGGTTTAATGGTACTCATGTAGTGAGGCACAAAAGATTTTTTGAAATTTTTCTTAACTGCAAAGTTACTAGTCATGCAAACTCTATCATGATATTTCTTGCTATCTAAACAGTTCAAGAGTTATCTTCTTTAAAACTACTTTTTGTTCACTCTGATATACAAAGTATCAGTAATTCTAATCCCTCCTCTAGGTTGGTAATCACGACTACCCAAGGATCTTGACCAAGATGGATGTACAGTTTGTGAATGCAATAAATATGTTACTGTTACTTCTTCCTGGCACACCAACTACTTACTATGGGGAAGAGATTGGTATGAATGACATAGCACAACCCACACCACCACAAGACCCCTGGGTATGTTATGACAGGTTATACAGGGTGTACTGTAAGTGTGGACACAAATATACATATGATCACTTTTTGTAACTATCTATATATATTTATATATATCTATATATATTTTTTTGTGACTGAATCTTGCAAAGTGCATCACAATTTTAGAAATCACATAGTCATTAATTAATATTTCAAAGAAATAAAATGTTATTCATATTTTTTTAATTAAAAGTGGAAAAATGCATTCTGCCTGCGTCCAGAGTTTTGGGACACCGTGTTGAGCCAGGACAATCTGAATAGGACATTCTAAATTGCCACAACGATGTATCCTTCTCTTAGACTATACGGAGAGTAGATCAACATTGGGTACTCATCAAAAATATCATTTTATCAAACATTTGGGCAATTTATAAAGTTAAATATAAAAGGCTTTTTACTCTAAAAGAAAGAAACTTTTCCAGAAGTTTAGCTATTTCTTTTTTGTTGTTATTTAGGGCAGAGACCCAGAGCGTTCCCCCATGCAGTGGAGTAATGCTAGTTTGGCAAGTTTCTCTAACTGTACTGGGAATTATGACCCCCAGAAATGTCCCTGGCTACCTGTCAACCAAGATTACCTAGCTGGTGTGAATGTACAGGTAAGTTAAAAAAAATTATTATGTAGTTTTTCCCAGATCTTCTTAAAACATTAATAATTATGAATAAATAATATTCATAATTTAAAAGTAAAAAATGAATTAATAAAATGACCTTTATCAACTAGTGCTTCAACCTCGGACACCTAATCATAGTTTAAGTGTGCTACTTGCAGCTGAGTGAAGTGTCAATTAACCTCAACATCCTTTTTTTTTTTTTAATAATTTCCATCTTTTTACAAATTTATCATATACTATCATATAATGATAACTTATGAATAATAGCTTATCATAATGCTTCAGGCACAAGAACAAGACAAGGACTCATCTCTAAACCTGTACAAGTCTTTAGCCAAGCTACGACAAGAACCTACATTCTTACATGGCAAAATGAAATATGCCATTGTGGATGATGATATCTTTTCATATGTGAAGGACTGGCCAGGGGAGACTAAGTAAGTGTGTGTGGTAACAACAGAAACCAAACAAAATTGATGAATATTTCTCTGCTAAGCAGTAAAAGAACAATTGCATAGAATTCATTTGACAGGAGTGAAAAGTCTTTTCTGTACGTGGATTTGCCTGCAGTTGTCAACAACCTCTAAAAATTCCACATCCTGCCTCCAGAACCAAAAGACAGCATTTTCTATCACTGGCCAAGAAACAAAGATTTTAATCTAGCTTTGGGACCGTGACATATGTCATCAATTCATATCTTATACTGACTCTTCTGTATACTAGTTGTATGGTGTATCCAATATGATGACTTCAGCATTTTAGTTATATTGTGTTTACTAACATCACAAAACTCATTTTATTATAATCTGTACTTTAAAATCCTGTCAAGCGTAACTCATATCAGATGTCAATTTTTGTTTTCTAGTTATATGGTGGTCATCAACCTCAGCCCAACCAACACAACCCATACTTTAGACCTGACGCCTTATATCCAAACCGCGGAGGCGGACATTGCCGAGACAACGCGTCTCGACATGGACCCATCCCTGGTCGTGGGAAACAGCATAGTTCCCGCTTCTGTTCTGTTGAAAACGGGACAAGGAATTGTGCTCAAGTGGAAATATTCTCCAGTTGAAATTTGGCACAAGGATGAAGCTTAGATATAACCTGATTGGCTGAGGCCAGTTGAAATATGGCACAAGGATGAATCTTAAATATAACCTGATTGGCTGAGGCCAGTTGAAATATGGCACAAGAATGAATCTTAAATATAACCCGATTGGCTGAGGCCAGTTGAAATATGGCACAAGGATGAATCTTAGACATAACCTGATTGGATGAGTCTAGTTGAAATTTGGTACAAGGATGAATCTTAGATATAACCTGATTGGCTGAGGCCAGTTGAAATTTGGTACAAGGATGAATCTTAGATATAAACTGATTGATAGAGTTTCAACTGTATGAGGCACCAAAGTCAGATCAAATCTTGTTTTTGCTTCACTACATTTGACCATTTGTTAAAAAATTGGAGAAAAAGCAAGTGAAAAGTTAAAAAGTATTAGAAGAGGCATTTTAGTTAATAATTATCATTTTCAGAATCATTTGTTCTCTCTGGATTCTGGAGTGTCTATTAGCTACCCTGTCTTAAGTTCCAATCTACAACTAAAATCACAATAATAAGGCAATGAGGAATCATATTGTGGAATATATATGAATTAAACTGTGAAACAAAGTTTGATAATTTTTCTGAGGTCATTCAGATCAGTTAAAGGCCATGTAAGGATTTTAACATTTAAAAAAAATTTAATGGTATTGTTCAAACTGAACTAAGTCAAATCTACACAATGCCATGCTTAATTTTGATCAAAAAGCCACACTTGAATGAAGTTGTGTTATTCATTAGATTTTTTATCAATTGGAAAAATGAATAAATAAAGAGAATTATTTAAAGCATTTTGGTTTCATTTTGTTTTTTTGGACTCCTTTTGTCTTTTGAACCAGATGCCTGCAAAATTATGTTTACCAGGTGGATAAAAAGCTTCCAACTTCCATATTTGTGAATGGGTATAGTGGCTGCAATGTCTTTACAGACAAGGACTCATTCTCAGGATGTCAAGGGCTTTAATACAGTAAATACATTTATCAATATATAATTGACCACATATGGACTTAATTAATCAAACTGTTCTGTAAGATCACTTTAATCTCAGAGATAAAAGTACACCTTAAAAAAAATCTTAAAAATCCTGAAAATGCAAGCATGGAAGACGCACATCTCTCAATGGGGAAAATGGAGAGGGGGGGGGGGGGGGGGGCTCCTGGGGCATAAATACAGCACCCAATATCAGTATTTCCAGCTTCATCTAGAAGACTTTTATCTTTACTATCCCAAACTACCAACCTGAATACAGCATTATTGATGTACTCCCCATGGACATGATGAAGATCATCCAAGTTGTGGACCCTGGTCTTCAAGCTCTCCTGTAGCTCTAGCCAGCCAACGTGGATCAACTGGTTGGAGATGTAGCCCTGCATTACACGCACAAAATGCTGCATCTCATGACGGAACAACTGCAGCTGGCGGAACAGTGGGGCGTTGGCAGCGTTGTTCTGTGAGGCTGAAGTGGAGGGTGATAAAATAGTTTTAGGATTTCTAAAATGAAGAAGTCAGTATGTTAAAAAGTCTGTAGTGATGAAGGAGGAATTTGCCGTTAAACCAGGTGGAAATGAATGGGCCTTGGAAAAAACTGATACCAAAATATTATTATATTCAAAAATAACTGGACAATCTGGACATAGAATGAGGGATTGGGGTTGTGGAGCATAATCAATTAATTTATTTTATTTTATTTTATATGAAAAAATAACATTAAATGTCTCTTTGTAAATTGGCACCAAGAGTAGTCTCACCATCTCTCTTCAATCTGTGCCAGATGTCCTTCAATGCCCACACAATCCTCTTCAGTTGCAGTAGGAAGGAAAACACCTTGCTGTACTTGTTCAGGGAGGTATCAGTGATTATAATATTCAGAGGCCAATCCACCTAGAAAAAGGATAGAAGCAATTTTTGTTACTTTGAACTTATATCATTACAGCAGAAGTATATTGAAGTGTGCCCTGCACCATTAATTCTTCATAGGAATCAATATGTTCCCGAATGTTGCTGACAAATCACTAAATTTGTTACTTGGAAAGTAAGATCTATGATATTGCAATGAAGACCCCAAGTCTTTCTAACATCAATCATTAAAGATCCTGTGGCCTTTTCATAGTTATTGTGAGCTGTCACAATTAACTAATAATAATAAGCTTAATTACCTTGTATCTTAGCTCTAGGCAGTCTAAAGTATCAGCAGCTGAAAAAAAAATGTCAAAATATCTTTTTTCATTTACTGAAAGAACTATAACATACAAACTATTGAAAATATCCAAGTTGAGCTCTTGGATGAAACCCCCTTTCTGCATTATTAATTACTTCAATTACTCATTTACAAACAACCAACTAAAACTTTATAAATAGCTACTTATTATTAATTCTTTTGTTTCAGAACTGAAAAATGCAAAAATCAGGCAAAAAAAAAAAAAAAAAAAAAAAACAGTAACAGTTCTTGAAATACCTACTTAACTGCAGATACAGAGAATGAAATTGTTACCATTTTGTTGAAGCACCAATGGTAGAAATTTAACAGCAAAGCTGATATTCTTGGCTGCCTCAGTCTCTCTGTGGATGGAGTACCTTAGGGCTCTATTCAGCACGTTATTCAGAAACACTGGGTTCAACATTTCATGGGGCATGGGGTTCATGGCAAGCTAAAATGAAAGAGTTTATCCAACAACTTCAAACATTTAAACCTGTATTACAGTAAAATCAATATAACTCGTCACCTTCAACCTCATATTATCATTTACCATAAACCAATCATGTGAAAAAGTTTTTTTCTTTAAGATTAAGTTTTTTTCTTCAGCTAAAACTTAGGGACAAAGCCTAATTGGCATCTTGGTTTAACTAAAAAAATATTTGCCAGCCAAAGTTATCAAAAGTGTACTAATACAAGAAGTAGGCTGCAGTATGGATCTACTTAATATGACACAACAATGTCTTCCAATTTTTTACCTTTTCACAAAGCTGATCACTCAGCGTCTGAGCAAACTCTCCGTCCTCCATGAACAAGAAGCGTCTCAGGGCCTCAAAATGCTGGTCTATTTTCAAGTCCACCATCAGGTAGTTGACCACACTTCTGTTCACCAAGGAGATTCTGGAAAATAAATTAACATAAAAAGGGTATATAAAGAGATATTTGGTACATGTGTTTGCATGCCCATCGTTTGTCAAAACTTAATTCCTGTCTTCATTCAAACCTTACTTATTACTCCTATTTTTATTTTATGAAATGTCCCATATCAAAATTATAATTACATTTCAGTAACATGTGTAAGAAATAAGCTGAAACTTATTAACATTACATAAAAAGATTGTTCATGTAACTGGGACAAATTTTACTGTCCCAAAGTGCCTCAATTTTGCAGAGTCTACTGCATATTACAAATGCCGAAGTCAAGAAGCCAAATGTTCTTACTGAGCCATCAAAGGTGCTGTGACAGCTCTCTTCAGTAAGACAGGAAGTGACATGTAATTAGCTGCTGTGATGTCATCAGTGATGCTTTTCCCATAATCCCCTTGGCTCAGTGGATCCTCGATAATGTTAGCCATGAGGTCTACACGTGGAGTCTCGACTGAAAAGAGAGTGAAGTGTGAATTTTGTAATTGTAACTGCATTGTAATTTATTGTAATAACACATCCTTCATTTTCCAAAATGGTGCGCTGTAGGTGCCATATAATTGGTACAAATATATTAGCAAATGTCCAAGCAATGTTGTCACTTCTCAACATATTGGGGAGTTTGGAAAAAAAAATCAAGTGAGTACAGACAAATATAATATTTGAACAAGGCAGCAAAGCTGTCAAATGTACAGACAAAAAACAGAAAATAAAGATGCAAAAAAGGTCATTTTGTCNTCGAATTCGTTTGACAGGAGTGAAAAGTCTTTTCTGTACGTGGATTTGCCTGCAGTTGTCAACAACCTCTAAAAATTCCACATCCTGCCTCCAGAACCAAAAGACAGCATTTTCTATCACTGGCCAAGAAACAAAGATTTTAATCTAGCTTTGGGACCGTGACATATGTCATCAATTCATATCTTATACTGACTCTTCTGTATACTAGTTGTATGGTGTATCCAATATGTTGACTTCAGCATTTTAGTTATATTGTGTTTACTAACATCACAAAACTCATTTCATTATAATCTGTACTTTAAAACCCTGTCAAGCATAACTTGTATCAGATGTCAATTTTTGTTTTCTAGTTATATGGTGGTCATCAACCTCAGCTCAACCAACACAACCCACACTTTAGACCTGACGTCTTATATCCAAACTGCGGAGGCGGACATCGCCGAGACAACCCGCCTCAACATGGACCCATCCCTGATCGTGGGAAACAGCATAGTTCCCGATTCTGTGCTGTTGAAAACGGGACAAGGAATTGTGCTCAAGTGGAAATATTCTCCTGTTGAAATATGGCACAAGGATGAATCTTAGATATAACCTGATTGGCTGAGGCCAGTTGAAATATGGCACAAGGATGAATCTTAAATATAACCTGATTGGCTGAGGCCAGTTGAAATATGGCACAAGGATGAATCTTAGACAACCTGATTGGATGAGTCCAGTTGAAATTTGGTACAAGGATGAATCTTAGATATAACCTGATTGGCTGAGGCCAGTTGAAATTTGGCACAAGGATGAATCTTAGATATAAACTGATTGATAGAGTTTCAACTGTATGAGGCACAGAAGTCAGATCAAATCTTGTTTTTGCTTCACTACATTTGACTATTTCTTAAAAAATTGGAAAAAAGCAAGTGAAAAGTTAAAAAGTATTAGAAGAGGCATTTTAGTTAATAATTATCATTTTCAGAATCATTTGTTCTCTCTGGATTCTGGAGTGTCTATAAGCTACCCTGTTTTAAGTTCCAATCTACAACTAAAATCACAATTATAAGTCAATGAGGAATCATATTGTGGAATATATATGAATTAAACTGTGAAACAAAGTCTGATAATTTTTTCTGAGGTCATTCAGATCAGTTTAAGGCCATGTAAGGATTAAACATTTAAAAATATGTTAATGGTATTGTTCAAACGGAACTGAGTCAAATCTACATATGCTTAATTTTGATCAAAGGGGCACAGTTGAATGAAGTGTTATTCATTACATTTTTTATCAATTGGAAAAATTAATAAATAAATAAATAAAGAGAATTATTTAAAGCATTTTGGTTTCATTTTGTTCTTTCGGACTCCTTTTGTCTTTTGGGGTCCTTTTGAACCAGATGCCTGCAAAATTATGTTTACCAGGTGGATAAAAAACTTCTAACTTCCATATCTGTGAATGGGTATAGTAACTGCAATGTCTTTACAGACAAGGACTCATTCTCAGGATGTCAAGGGCTTTAATACAGTAAATACATTTATCAATATATAATTGTCTACATATAGATTTAAATAATTAATCAGACTGTTCTAGAAGATCACTATAATCACAGAGATAAAAGTGGACCTTAAAAATTTCTGAAAGATGCAAAACTCCAAACGGGGAAAAGGGAGGGGGGGGGGGGGGCACAAATACAATACGCAATATCTGTATTTCAAGACAAATCCAGAAGATTATTATCTCTTCTATCACCAACTTCCTACCTGAATACAGCATTATTGATGTACTCCCCGTGGACATGATGAAGGTCATCCAGGTTGTGGACCCTGGTCTTCAAGCTCTCCTGTAGCTCTAGCCAGCCAACGTGGATCAACTGGTTGGAGATATAGCCCTGCATTACACGCACAAAATGCTGCATCTCATGACGGAACAACTGCAGCTGGCGGAACAGTGGGGCGTTGGCAGCGTTGTTCTGTGAGGCTGAAGTGGAGGGTGATGTAAATGTTTAAGACTTTCTAAAATCAAGAAGTCAGTATGGCCGCATTCGCAACAGCAGACTAATTAGTCTACAGATCAAATATGGCAGACCTGCTTGTTGTTGAGTAATCCCCGCGGAGAATTTATTCAATGTCTATTAGGGGATATTATATTCACCATATTTTATCTATGGACTAGTTACTCTGCTGTTCTGAATGTAGCCTATGTTTAGAAGTCTTTAGTGGTGAAGCAGGATTTTGATATTAACCCAAAAAGATAAGAATGGACCTTTGGAAAAAAAAATTAGACACCAAAATATTTGAACGTAAAAAAATAGCTGGATGATCCAGGGAATAAATAAAGGGGTCAGGGTAATGGAGCACAGTCAATTCATTTATTGTAGTTTATATGAATGCATTAAATTCAAAGGTCCCTTTCTTTGTGTATCAATACCAAGCCACCAAGCGTAGTCTCACCATCTCTCTTTAATCTGTGCCAGATGTCCTTCAACGCCCACACAATCCTCTTCAATTGTAGGAGGAAGGAAAACACCTTGCTGTACTTGTTCAGAGAGGTGTCAGTGATTATGATATTCAGAGGCCAATCCACCTAAAATAAGGATAAAAGCAATTTTGTAACCGTGAACTTTAATCATCACAGCAGAAGTACATTCAAGTGTGCCCTGCACCATCAGGGCCCCTTAACTCGAAAGCAGCGTGCATGGCGACAGAGCGCAAGCGTCTCGATTCCAAAACACGCCCACACTTGCCCCATTTAATACATCGTACCCTTTATGTGATATTGCTATTCACAATACGTGATGCTTTCGAGTTACGGGGCCCAGTTCTTCATAGGAATCATGAAGTTCCTCAATGTTGTTGACCATTCCCTCCAATTGTTACTTAAAATGTAAGACCTATGATATTGCAATGAAGACCCCCCTAGTCTTTCGAACATCAATCATTATAGATCCTGTGGCCTTTTAATAGTAATTATTTTATGTCACAATTAACCATTACTAATAAGCTTAGTTACCTTGTATCTTAACTCTAGGCAGTCTAAGGTGTCAGCAGCTAAAAAAATTGTCAATATATTTTTTTTTATTAGCTGAAGGAACTAAAGAATACAAATTATTGCAAATATTTAAGTTGTACTCTTGGATGAAAGCCCCCTTCTGCCTTATTAATGACTTCAATTATTCAATACAAACCCCCTAAATCTTTTTAAATACCCAGTAATTTTTTTCGTTTATTTTAGAAGAGAGCAAATCGTAATGGTTGTTCAAATACCAACTTAACTGCAAATAAAAAGAATGAAATCATTACCATTTTGTTGCAGCACCAATGGTAGAAATTTGACAGCAAAGCTAATATTCTTGGCTGCTTCAGTCTCTCTGTGGATGGAGTACCTCAGGGCTCTATTCAGCACATTGTTCAAAAACACCGGGTTCAACATTTCATGGGGCATGGGGTTCATGGCAAGCTGAAATGAAAGAGTTTATACAACAACTTTAAACATTTTAAACCTGTATTACAGATTTATAGTAAAATCAATATAACTCATCGCCTTCATCCTTATATTATCATTTATCATAAACCAATCAGGTGAAAAAGTTTTTTTTTAAGTTAAAGTTTTTTCTTTAGCTAAAACTTATGAACTCAGCCTAATTGCATCTTGGTGAAACTAAAAAAAATATTTTCCAACCCAAGTTATCAAAAGTCTACTAATACAAAAAATAGGCTGCAGCATGGATCTACTTAATATGACACAACAATGCCTTCCAATATTTTACCTTTTCACAAAGCTGATCACTAAGCGTCTGAGCAAACTCTCCGTCCTCCATAAACAAGAAGCGTCTCAGGGCCTCAAAATGCTGGTCTATTTTCAAGTCCACCATTAGGTAGTTGACCACACTCCTGTTCACCAAGGAGATTCTGGAAAATAAGTGCACATAAAAATGGTATGGGACACTGGGTGTATGTGAATTGTTTGTCCATTTTTCAAAACTGAAATTTCTATTTAAATCAATACCTTTTCAAACAAAATGACAGGATTTTGATCTATTTCTTAAACTAACTATTGTTATTATAGCGTTAAATAGTTCAATATTCTAATTACTTATTATTTTCTTCTTAGTGTTACCATTTTTATCACTTGATTTATCATGAGGTGCATTCTATTTTATGATATGTCCCATGTCAAAATTATTATTACCCTACAGTAACTACGTACGGAATTAGCAGAAACTTATTAACATTGCATAAAAACATTCCTCACATAACTGGGACAAATTTTACTGTCAATGTGTCTGAATTTTGCAAAGTCCACTGTATATTACAAATTGAAGTCAAAAAGCCAGGTGTTCTTACTGGGCCATCAAAGGTGCTGTGACAGCTCTCTTCAGTAAGACAGGCAGTGACATAAAATTAGCCGCTGTGATGTCATCAGTGATGCTTTTCCCATAATCCCCTTGGCTCAATGGATCCTCGATAATGTTAGCCATGAGGTCTACACGTGGAGTCTCAACTAGAAGGAGAGTGTAGTGTGAATTTATCATGCTTCATTTTCCAGTATTGTCACGTCTCAACACATGGGTGAGTTTTGAATAAAAATTTTAACAGAGAAATGTAATATTTTTATATAGAAAAAATTTCAAGTAAAACTAAGAGAGAGAGAGAGAGAGAGAGAGAGAGAGAGACCTTACCAAACTCAGGGAAGCTGCTTTTGTACGGCTCAGTGGTCAGCAAGTCTGTCCAGATTGGCTCCTCTCTGTCCACCTGTTCTGAAGTGACCACATCCTCTTCTCCTTTCGGACAAAATTAAAAACAGCATCAGGGTGGGACATTATAAGAATTTCATACATTTTATACATTGTCACTGAAGCCATATTTGTCTTTGTCAAATATATATTTATTGACAAAACCAGTGAAAAAATGATGAATAAAATAATCAACTATTTACTGGTCTAGAATAACCAACTGCACACGAGTGAACCTGACATTTGTTTCAATTTTTCATAAAATAGACGGATGATGATGAAAATAATGATCTACATTAAAGGGATAATAACTCTTCGTATGAAATCTATATTTCACAATAAAAACATTGTGAATAACTCATAGAAATATAATATATTCTGTTTTACCACAAAAACGGCAGTTATAGCTATTATTCTGATATCTGAGCTTGTCTTTAGACCACGTGACCTCCATTGATGGCTATACTCTGTTAAAATCTCTTAAGAGATTTTAACAAAAAAACAAACTTTTTAGAAAAAAAAACAGGGACTTACTTTGAATGTAAAAATGGATTCATTAACCATTGGTAAGTATGGGAAAATTGTTGGTTACTCCAGGAAAATTCATTTTTTGGAAGAAACGAAGAGTTATTATCCCTTTAACTTCCTTTTTGTCTTCTTAGTACTTATACAGTATGTTCCAACTTTTCCTTTAATTACTGAAATACTGCACACCTTAAATAAAAAAAGTTAAAATAAAATGAATGAAAAAAGAAATCTTACCTTCTTCAGTTACTTTTCCCAGTCTCATATACTCCTCTCCATACAGCAGCCTCTGAACCGAAGAATCAGAGGCATGACCTTTGACATTCATTTCCTGGAATCTTTTCCTCCGTAACTCATCTGTATCAACATATTGGGACTCAACGCTAGAATGTCCGTGCACATTTCTCTCAAGGAATTTTCTTTGTCGTTTCTCTTCGTCATCATCCTTGGTCATGGTTTCTTGCGAGACATGCCCATGCACGTTGATTTCCTTAAACTTTTCACGACGAGCTTGATCCACGTCTTTTTGCGAGTCTGATTCAGATGATGCATGTAAGTCTTTCCTAAACTTGAGATGTGGCTTGGGTTTTACCTGAAAACTCGTGTCCAGAGACTCCATTAAAGCACTGTACCCGTCTCTTCTCTTCATTCTCGGAAACATTCTCTTCTCCTCACTCGATGTTTCTGAAACGTGACCAAAAGCACTTTGCTTCTTTATCACGGATTCCTGTGGCTCAGATTCCTTCCCAGCATGCATGTGTTCACTTAAACGTAGGCCGGAGATGGACTTTTTTATGTCAGGTTCAGATTGCTGTCCCACGTGGGATCCTTCAACCATTTTCTTGTGCCTTGTTTGGATAACTGAAATGGATTCTGCAGATTCCTTCCCAGCATGCATCCCTGCGACGGGTTTTCTGTGAACTTTCACCCCGTCAGTGGTGTCTTCTGTCTCCCTGCTAGGATGAGCTACAGAAACTTGCTTTACTTTCTGGGTATCATCAGATGACTTTGATAAAACCTCTTCTCTTTGAGCAGAATCAATCACATCTTTTCCTGGTTTTTGAGCAGAATCAGCTTGTTCTCCCTCTTTCACTTTTGAGTCTGTAGTAATAATGTCATCTGTGCCTGCAGCGGCCTCTTGTGTCAAATTAGAGGTGACTTTTGATCCAGTCTCCTGCCCGGACAAAGCTGACGGAGTCACTGATGATCTAAAATTTAGGTCGATATCATCAATTTCAACCAACTTTCCCTCAGGATTGCGTGCCCACCCTGGTAGATCAGTGGAAGAGTATGTATCTAAACCAAAGGCAGGCACCAGAGGTCTTTTCAGACCCTCAGAGGCCCAGGTAGGGAGCTCCTTTCCTTCTGGATCAAATTTCTTTTCATCCTTAGCCTGCTTTTTCCCATCTGATCCCCCTTCAGCTTCAGACACCCCTTTCTGGGCCCACTTTGGAAGCACTCCAATAGACATGTCCAACAAATTCCTGTCCTGTCCTGATGTATGGCTTTGAGTCTGAGGTGGATCTATATGTGATACATTCAACAGATCTCCTGTGGGTATTCTCCCATCTACAGCTGTCCCCCGAGAGACTTGTGTTTCGTCCCAGGAATCCACAGCATCAGGAAGGGCAGGGATTGTTACTCTTGGAAGATTTGAAGGAGCAGTCAAATGCCTTAAAGATAAGTCCATGAGGTTTGTGGCGCCATCTGTTGTTGTGGGACCCTCAAGTGTGGGCATACTCACATCCAGTTGGGTCTGGTCTGTAGATGGCACTACTGGTATTGCCATCTGGAAAAAGAAAATTGTACCAGCTGTGGAATACTGAAAAACTTTGAAATTATTACAAATGAAGTCTAAACATCTTTAAAATTGAAATTTTTGTTGAAAAGTGATTTATTGAAGGAATCATTGTTTCAGATTTCATTTCGTTTAAGTAGGTATCATACAAAAATTATATAAATTCCAACATAAACTTTATAACTCAAAATAATCAGCACTCCATTTTCATAACAGTAAGCACAAAAAAGTTTATAAATTTAACTTTCAATGTATAAATAATATTACCTCTTTTAGTTTCTACTGAACATTCATTTTCTTTTATTTGCCTTCAAAAATAATAAAATAAAACAAAAGAGGAATAGAAAAAAGCCATTTCTTTTCTTTCTTTAAAGCTAAAATACAGTACATACAGAATCACCCACACTGCCTTGTTTCTTCCTCATTTCTGCACTCCACCTATCCTCATCTTGTTGTAGGAAAGTCTGCCTGGCTAGATCCAGCTGTCTCCTGCGTACACGCCACAGTGCCTTCTGCTCTCTAAACGCTGCCTCCTCTGTTAGCTTCTGGTAGTATTCTACTAATTCCTCCCTGGAAAACAATAAATCAGTCAGCAACTAGGGAGTATTCCAAGAGCACAAAATTGTGCAAAGGCAAAAGGTTATTAAAAAATAGCTGACAAGGAGCCAGCTAAAATTGTAATCATTTTTTCCACTCCCACACAACTACCACAAAAATTTCCTAAAAATATGAGAGGAAATGTTGTATTAATATTATTTTTGAAGTTTTAATTCTGCATAAATCTAATGAGTATGAGTAAAAATGTATAAGACTTGAAAAGTTCATGTCTCTGGCTTCAGCTCCACTGACACAAACCGAGCCACAAGCACCAAGCATATAAATATATCAAACTAAAATTCTGACGTGGGTAAAAAATTAGGTAAATGTCCCTCTACCTTGCTCTCTCCTCCAAAGCAGCTTCAGCTTCTGCGGCCTCCTCCTCCTTCCTCAACTGAGCATCTATTCTGTCCCGATCCTCTTGTTTCTCCTGTTCAACCTCCATGGCTCGCCTCTAAAACAGTGGTAAGAATAACGAGTCAGCAGAAAATAACACATACTAAAGGAGGAGATCAATATCACTGAATAAAAATATATCAAAGACTTTTTGTATCTGGGACCAGAAAACTTGTTCAAGTTAGATGAAGATTGGAGTTAGGCATACAAGTTTCAGTTAATACAAAAGAAAAATCTCTCAAAACACCATTCATGCTTATGGGCATTTACTTTAAAAAAATGTTTAATTTTCAATTTAAATTCATATTAATTCTGATTTCTTTACATATTTCAGGAATTATAGTAATTCAATATTTGCTTACTCTCAAATCTTTCTCCATTTGTTCCTTCAATTCTCTAAACTGTTTTCTCTTTTTTATATCTTCTGCTTTTCTTATTTCTTCAATTCTGGCTGAAAAACAAGGGTCATAAAAAGATATTAAATGGAAGCAAAATTAAATAAAATGTCAATTCTACATCAACTTCTCTTAATATTGGTAAGGAGCACATAAAAATATTGAAATGTTTATGTGTTCATTTTACCATCATATGAAATTCTGATAGATTCTGCTATCTTATCTCAGGCTAATCTAATCTTATCTTATCAAATCTCAGGTTACAGTGAAAAAAGTATTGGACAGGTATAGTTACCTTTCAATCTGTCCATCTCCCGTACCTGTGCCTGTCGCGCTCTTTGTACCAAATCCTGCCTGGCTTGCACTACACGCTCCAGCATCTGCTCCCTAGAACAAACCATGCTCTTTTTATTTAATTTCGTATAGCCAACATGCATGCACACACACATGCATTTCCAGTAAAAATCTTATTAAGAATTTAAGTATAATTGGGTAATTTTGTATTAACTTCAAGAATTAGTTTTAAAAAAATTACTAGATATTACAATATAAGTAAAATTATAATGTAAGTATGCTCATTGCCCTTGCATACCATTGAATCAGTGTACATCTAAATGATAAACCAAAATCAAAACATTCTTCATCCATGTTCTAAAATATGACGAAATCACACACAAACACACAAAAGGGAACAATCAATGCATTAAAATCATAAAATTGGCAGCGAAAGTAAACCAACCTAGTCATCAGTATCTGCCTTGCCCTCATCTCCACCATGTTCACATAGATCTGGCACCTCTGTTCTATGCTGCTCAGCTCTTCCTCTGAGAAAGTGATCATTAATCGCGGGATGGGGACATCTATGTTACACATAAAGTGCTGGAAAATTGTGAAAAAATATTTTCACTTTTAGAGTTAATACACTGAGTGACAAGCATTTATAAGAACTGGCAGGACAAACTGTTAATAGCTTAAGACCTCACCTGCCCTTCAGAATAAATATCTATACACAGCCATATAAAATATGATTTTCATTTTTTCCAATTTATTCATGCAAATATGATGATTACACTGAATAAGCAAGACAACTGTAAGTCACCTAGATAATCATAATCATAATCAACTACTTCATAATACAACACCAAATCATGTCAATCTCATTCTCTAAATAATGTTCCTGTCCTGAGGTATATAAGCTATTACCACATCTACTTAAACAGTTCAAGTACAAATCTCACCTCTGGACAACACAGCTTGAGCAGATTGATAGACTTTCCACACACAAAGATGTCATTGGCCAGATCAGTGAGAAACAATGGCACAGAGGAGGTTGTCTCAGCAGCCAACAACTGGTAGCCTTTGGTCCAGTAACTACGATCTGGGATTTGGATTAAAATACAGCAAATTTAATTAGCAGTATTAACATTATTATTATTGCACTGAAAATTTACTACATTGTCAATAATTACTTTGCAAAACAATAAACCATTATTGAGGAAAAATCTATCAAAAAGTGCTCTTAAAACAATATTGCAAAGTCAGCTTTGGATAATCCTCTATCTTTCAGCCATCCAAGCAAAACCCAAAGACTTTTTGACACTCTTTGTGAAACAGGCATTGACTTTTCACTACAAAGACATCGCCTACCCCTGCGCTGTAGATATTCTCCACTGACTCGTATTTGTAACTCTCCATAGATGTCTCTGCACACTCCCTCGAATACCCAGCCTTGGACAAAACTGAATAATAATAATAATAATAATAATAATAATCATAATAATAATAATAATAATAATCATAATAATATAAATGCATTCAGGTAAGGCTTTGGAGAAAAAAAGCTTTAAGTATAAATACAATATTTAAGATAAAAACTGAAAGAAATGATTATTGTTACAACCAATCATTTCTAGTTATAAAAGCTTCTTTGGCATGTCTAATCCCACACAGATGCATTTATAAACCAATATGAACATATGCATGCGTGCATGTAAACACCCTAACACATACAGAGGCAAACAAGAACAGATACAGGCTGACAGGCATCCTGTGCAAACATGTGCATACATTCTTCCACCCAAACACACTTGCACCTATACAAGCCAATGCAATCATCTAATACTGACATAAGATAAGGTCCAGCAGTAGTACACAGTAGAGACAGCAGCATGGGGTAGTTGTCTGAATTGACAGCATTCAGTGCTTCCTGGTACAGGTAAGACAGGAGCTGGATTCCCTGGAAGAAAAATCAAATATATATGCCATATCCAAATGCAAATGAGCAATCTGGAATATTGTTCCACTGTTACTTTAAAAAAAATTCCCCAAACAAGTTTCACCTTTAAAATAATCCACACATTATTTTTACTAAGGTTTAGTTTAAGTAACTAATAATTCTTGTGAAAAAAAGGCTTACAGTGGGAAATTCTTCTTCACTATTTCCTCCAGTGTCACATCTGCATAGTGCTCCCAAGTACCTGGAATCACCAAAAAAGGATATGAGCTCAAAATTAAATCTTCCTTAATATCAAATATTTCTAGTTACAATGTAGGCAAGCAAAACTTTTCAGAGTACCATTTCAAAGACACAGTGACAGTTGTATATTGACACACACAAAAGAGTATTTATCTATGCAGTATGAACAGCATGGGCAATCTTATAGATCTGTAAGTTCGATTCAACGAGGTCAAATCAAAACAACATTAAGTCATGGTGCAAAGCATAAAAAGTAAACAGGTTTTCTGAATCTGACAGACCATACATCAAGTAAGCATGACTTACCTCATCTGCATAATAACTTTATGAAATAAAACCTTCAGTTCCAGCAGCGTCATGCCCTCGGGAACACTTAAGACAACATCACGATAGTGCTGAAGATACTTTCTAACAGCCTCAGTGAAAGCCTGGAATATGAGTCCAGCTGTGTACAGGGAATTCACAACAGGTGGCAGAGAAAATGTGCTCAATCTACTGTAGAGGGAGCCACACTCCAAGAAACTACTGCACAAAGTCTGTATTCCTTCTGGAGAGGTTCCTGATAAATATGTGCCTTCTTTCATTGTGAAAGTCTGGAGTGCCTGTAATGTTTAAGGGTTATCATTTTAATTAATTTATTTTCAGCAATTCAAATTAAATTACAGGCCTTATAATTATCTTAGCTGGGAAAATATTTTATAATCCAATAATTTTGAACCAATTTTTCTTATAATTCTTATATTTGACCTGCAAACGGTTACTTGAAACACTTCTCAATCTTGTTTAACACAATACATACAAGCTTGGACATAATAAAAAAGATACAACTCACCTCATCAAAAAGAAACGTATGCGAAGGCAAACCAATTAAAAGATTCAACACATCTTTGACCAATAGCCTCTGTGTAACCAGCCTTTTGGTTGGTAGTTTGAATTTGGCATCCACCAATGACAACTGTTGCATGCGTGTGTCATTAAGCTGGTCAAATGCCTGTGATCCTGCCTCAGTGATGTAGGGTCTCTCAGTGGGACCAGGTTCTCTGGAGATAAAAATAAATATAATTGAATCAACTTAAAAATCAAAAATGGGTCTTGGCAAAGACTGCAATGGACCCAAGTATCAATCTTTAGTTAAGCAAAATTTACTGTATTTGTCATATCATGACACAAGAAGACGTAACTTTTGGTTGTGGAAAAAAAAGTAATAGGGGGTTGGTCTTATGACTGTGGGTTTTAGAACCACTCAAAGTACTTAGCCACAAAGAAAAGAATTGGATTTCATGTTAAAATTGGGAAAAAATCTCTGTGCAAGTAGGAACACTTTTTTTACACACACCGGCAGTTCTTTGAACTGGAACCGAAAATAGCTAGTTATACAACTTTTAAAAACATTTTCTGTTTACTTCTTGCTTTCTGATACAATAACCAATGTTTATATTTTCAGAGCAGCACTTACTTTCCTACATTCTCCCAAGTGTAATGCCTATTTCTAGTGTACTTTAATGCCAGTTCCCATATGGTGGCTCCATCTTGTGTAGAAACTGGTGATGATGCTACTTCTGAAGATGGTGTGCTACCTTCCATAAAACCCTCGTCTTCTGATGTTTGTGAAACCTTTCATTTGTAACAAGCAAAGATACTGAAGTTTACTGCATTAGTGCCCAACTTTATATTGGTAATAATTACTCTACTTAACTGAAGCTAGCAACTTTCAAAGTATTAAAATATGAAGACATCTATCAAAAACATCTCAATCATGAATTAGTAAAAAACAAGAAACATTTATAAGGTAAAATTTCATGAAAAATGTTTTGACAAAATCTCACCTCTTGTACTTTGGGTATTTTGGGGATTCGAATTTCAGGCATACTGACAGAAAGAAAAAATTAAAATGTTAAAAAAAAAGTCATGTTAATGTTGAAATAATGTAAATCTGATACACATTAAAAAAAAAAAAACAATTTAGCTCAAAGTTCAAATGTTAATAATGGCAGGGAAATAAATGATATAAACAAATAAGAGAACTATAGCACTGTCAGTTATTAGGTCTCCTTTGTCAACTTTCATACAGGTACAGTTTGCACACAGCAATGAGCTGAGGACAATTTTGACCAAAGGTAATTCCAAAAGCTATCCTAACCTGTCTTCTCTCAACTCTGGAACCTCTAGCTTGATGTCCAGGGAAGATGACCGGCCACCACTGACCAAGCCCCCAAACAAGGTGAACTGGCGATTTCTCTCATAGCTGTCTTCCAGAATACTCTTTAAAAAAATCAAAATAACAAATTATCTAAAGCATATTTAAAGGTGATGCATATTTACTTAATATACAAAATTTAATCCTAATCTTTTTATGTAATTCAATTGAGAATTCAGTATGAACATTTGGCTGAAAAAGGTAGAATTAAAAATATACTCTCAGCTTTAACACAGTTGACATTTCAAAATATAATGCAATCCTATATCATTGTCAGGGTGGAGTACAAAGGTTTCCCCCCTCTTTCAAATTCTGGCAAGACAATATAGTTCTAATCCAATATTAAAAGTAAAAGATATCTCATACTTATCAAGAGGAGTGGACTTACAATGCAATATCACAATCAATGCCCCTAACAATGGACTCCTTGGCAAATGCTGAACAGGTACCTTGGTTACTCACTGTACCACATGGTTTTAGTTCTGACCCATCTTACTGGTTTATACTTTCAATCTGCACCCTTCTTTCCTGTTTATCTAACCTACACTATACTTACCTTTGGCCTGAAGAGACCATTTCCTGGTAACTGACTTCCTGGAGTTGCATGGAACACCTGAAATAAAAATTAAGAATCAGTTCCACTCTCTCCTCATTTGTGAAATTTGGAAAAATGTAACTGACATTTCAAAATTATTGTTTTACAGATTAAAATCCTCCATTTTAATATTAAATAATTATTCATGTCCATCACTTGCATTTTCTGGGTATTATTTACTGAAATAATACAGCAATATAATATAAGACAAGCATATCCATGCCAGGTGTTGTATTTATCCCCACTAAACTAACCTCGGTGTTCAATGTCAGACCTGTGTCCAAAGGTAGAAGAGGTGGCTGCACTGGCAATGCTTCCTCAAATACCCACCTGCGAAATAAGTATGATATTTACCATTAATTAAAAAAAAATTACAAGGGAATGTAATACAAAAAAAAAAAAAAGAATATCATTCAAAAATGAACTCATGACTGGACATGAAATAAGAACATTTACTCATGAAGCAAGAAGAAAAAAAAGGGAGAAAAGAATTTTTTTTCAATTCCTTTACTTTGCGAAATCATATTTAACATGTAGCATGTGGCCAAGAGCAAAGAGCCATTTACAAAAAGTGAAACTATAAACGATAAGAAAATCACAAGTGTTACAATAAATGATACTGTTACTGTATTTTCACCTTGGATATTGCATGTAAGTTGTGGTACCCTGCTGTGGTAGCCTGCTGTCCCCATACACTGAGGGTCCAACAGGGAGAACTCTGGCCTCACTTTCCTGAAGTATATAAGGAAAATGTACACACACACATATATATATATCATATCATAAAAATATGTAATATGGCATAACAGAAGAATTTTGAAGGAAGCCCCGCCCCCCAAACCAGTGAATAGCACTGCTCTGTGAAACAATCTTTTTTTTTCACCAAAATCCAACATCTAACAAACTCTCAAACTTGACAATGTAATACTATCATCATAGTAGCATGAGGCATGAGGTCAGGCTAAGGAATCACCTTGCTGATGTACACTATAGGTAACTTCTGGTCACCATGGCCTAGCACAGGTGGATTTGAGCTCTGGACACTGTTGGACAGGGCTAATAGAAATATCAGTACTGCATTGGCATGCTGCTGCTCTTCTTCTCCTGAAATAAGAATAAAAAAGATTGAACACATCTACTGTAGTTATTGCAAATTTATTACCAGATTACTTAGTCCATTAGCTGCATCAAACTACCAAACACTTTTAATTATGCATCACTCCTCAATATCCACCATCATTTCTCTAAGAACATGAATCACATACAGTAGACACCAAATAAAGAGAACTTATAACTCAATTAATAAATTATCTTGAACAACAAATTTTCTCAACGCTAAAGCTAAAGAATTTTTATCAACTGGAATCTTTGTTATGCAAAGTCTACTTCATGATTCCTACCCGCATTTTCTAGTAATTTCTTCACCAGGTCCTCCAATCTGTTGGCCTGGTCAAATTTCCTCTGGCATCTCAAGTTGTAGGCATACACATACACCTGCTCAACACAGGTCAGTTCACATGGTGTCAAGTCTGGGTTCAGCGGTCCCGAACCGGTCAGTGGTGACCTGGAAATATAAAAGACAAGTTTAAATCAGATAACACAGGTCAGTTCACATGGTGTCAAGTCTGGGTTCGGTGGTGCTGAACCAGTCAGATGTGACCTGTAAACAGATATCAAGCTTTAATTAGGTGACAGAGGTCAGCTCACATGGCTTTCAGTAATGTTGGTCTACGTGATTATCCATTACCGTTTATTCTGGGAGAGAGCCAGCTGACCAATTCACCTATAATTAAGCAGCTTTTTTGGTTTAATTTCCATCTTCATACATGTACTCCTGTATGATAAGGCATAAGGTTCTCAGCTATGAACTCCATGTCAAAACCTTCAAGGTAATAACTTAAGCAATATGAAAATACCATGGCAACCCAAACCATGGTAACCCCATCCATAGCAACCAAATCATAGTAAAGCCCCCTTTACACTGGACGGCGTCCTTTCTGCGTCCCGCAGTGCGGCCCCGTTTAAGAGTAAAATAAAATATAATATAGCACGTGCCGACTGCCAGCCTTTCTTGAGCATTCGTTCTGCAACCAGAGAGATGCTTGTGCCTCCTTTCTATGACCACAGCTATGCCAGTTTCATGGTCGTACAAAGAACGCAGAAAGGACGCGCATTCAGTGTAAAGGGGCCTTAACACAATAAAGTCAAGGTAAAATGTCTTCATATTATCAAAACCTCTACAGATAAATCAAAGAAGCAGCTATGGTTATTACAATTAATATATCATAAATGGTTCAAACTATAATATCATATTAGATAAGATGGTTTATAATAAGTGGTAATTAAGTTAATAAGATCCCCACCTGAAAGGCAGAACAGAACAAACCTCAATGACATTGTAATTGGTTACTGCCTTGACCTGGGAGAGTCATGGTTTGGTCAGTATTTATGGGTGACTAAGGGCTCACTCCCACTGACACTTTTATGCTACCTAGATCATTTTTTTTTCTTTTCTAACATGCTCATATAATCACCAGCTTTTCTGTATTCTACTCAACACCAGGAGGAGGTGTGTTAATCTGGTAAACTGACTGCATTCAGCAAGAGTCTCTGCAGAGTTGGATCAATCTATGTAGACCAATCGTTTCAATGGGAATGAGCCCTTAGTGTAGCTTTAAGATTCTCACGTTGCTCTATTAGGAATAGGTTAACTAACACTAAACAATTAAACTAATTCTATGAAAGAATATTCTATATCAATGGGCTGTAAATTATGGGCAAGTCTATTGTCTTTTATTTTCAATCAACATGTAACAAACTAACCTGTGAGGACCCTTTTGGTGTTTGAAAAGAGTTTCATAAAACTTTTTGCGTAGCCTTCTTTTTAGGGTTGCCTTTGACAGGCGTGGCTGGACCAGAAAAGCCTTGCGTCCATCTCTGCAGTATGTGTCACAAAGTTGGTTGGCAAGAATGTGCAAACTGCTGTGGCAATCTGTATTCATTTTCTCTCTTCTCTAGGTGTGCACTGCCATTGTATTAAAGACGTTGTACTCATTGTCAAGATGCAGCCTCATGTCTAAAAAAGTAATATATTAATTTTCGTGTTTAAAAAACTGAAATAGAGTCAAGGACATTACCGAACAATACAGATATTACGTGAACAATCCTGTCGGTTTCCCGTCCAAAACCCGCTTCAGTTTTGGAATATCGCAAAATACAACATCAAATTTACCTGTATCAATCAACATTCACACCCTTATCAACATATACATAAGAATTCGAAGTAATTGCGCATACACTGATCTCACCAACACCATATAAAAATACAAACACTCGCATCCAATTTTCAGTTTTCACTTGTTATTTTTACCGCCAGAGTAAGTCCGCAGAATGACATTTTCGAGAACTGTTTTAAGTGTAATACTTCATTTAATTTCATTACAAAAACATAGATAGCTTAATTTCTTCAAATTAAAAATTGAACACTTATCTTTTTTGTGCTTGTGATCTACAACATTTCAATATTGCATTTTTTAAATGAAACATCAGTCGCCTGCTTGACTGCGGAGCTACACTTTCAAGATGTCGCTGTGAGGAAGGCGATTTCATTCATTTGGCGCATCATTTGTACCGCTTTTCACCTGTCAGCTTTACAGAAGTCTCTCACAGAAACCCGAATCAAACATACGAGTATGTTCCGTGCACTGTACGATTTTGAAGCGACAGTCCCCCATACTTTAAGCTTCAATCGGGATGACAAATTCACTGTCATTGATCAAAAACATCCCGACTGGTGGCTCGTCCAAAATGGATTCGGGGAGGTTGGTTACGTCCCTGGAACGTATGTCACCAAAGACGAGGTATTTTATTATTTTCTTTGTATTGATTTGCATTCAGTCGTTTATTTTTTTCTGCAACTGTTCATGAAAATTTAAAGTCTGATATATTTTTCTGAATGCTGTTTAATTGAGGGGAGGGGTTGTATAACCGCGTTCATTAGTTTCCCCTCCCCCCAAAAGACAGTAGGGACATGTACAGACAGCTGCATATATCTGAGTATGGATCAGCTGATTGAATTTTTGAGTTATCCCCCTTAGCTGAAAATATATCAATGTTTTAGTGACACCATTTTTACCAAGTGTTTAAGCCATTACTGTATTTTCTTTAAGTCAGAAGTTGTCCAACTTGATTTTGAGCCCTTTATATTATCACAGACACATTTTTGTGTTTTCTGTGAGAAATGCTGAGCTTTAATCTGTCCATTGGATTCAAATTCAAATTTATTTTAACTTAATTTTAATTAAAATTAAATATGATCTAGGGTGGAAATGGTGTTGATCTAGGGTATGAAAGTTATTTACATTTTTATTAGAAGTGAAATGTGGAACAGGACAAAAAGGTGGCTGAAAACTTTTAGATGGAGCACTGGAAAAAACTGTAACATGTTGATATATAGGATTACACTGATTTGATTGCTACAGTGCATTGGCAAATCTGCTAACACAATAATAAAATGGTTATAAATCAAAGCAGAAATACATGTATCATGGTATTTGTGTGAGGACATCAAATCAAGTTCAACTAACACAATGGCCTGTTTTGTTATCAGGACTGCCCTTTTGTTACATACTTGGGTTAAGATGTTCAAAGTGCATGGCTGTTTTGAAGTGAGCTAAGTTATTTTATTTTTAAAATCCCTGTTTTTATAAGCCCAAGTTAAAAAACATAAAAAATGATAACAGTGTACTGCTCAATGCAATTTGTCCAAAAAATGATGAGACCTAATACATTCCTTCATCCATTCATCCCTTTTTCCATAAGTTCCTATAGAACATTCCTACCTTTCTTTAACCCTCCCTATCCATACATCTCTTAATTCGTTCACTATCTATACATCAGTGCACTATCTATCCATAATTTATGTGTACTTTGATTCACTATCTAGCTTTCATTTATCCACTTTCCATCTATCTATCCATCCGCAATTCCTCATCTAGCCAATATCCATTCATTTATTTATTATCCATCCATCATCAGTCTGTATGTTCATTCATCCATCCATTGCTCTGTCTGTCCAAATTATGTAAATTGTCGCAATTCTTTCATGTTCAGAGGTGTGATATTTGATACAGGACTTTTTGTGATAAGAAATTGGAAAACTTTTTATGTGTGCAAGCACCATGGTATCGTTATCACTGTTAGAGATGTCTTTAGGATATTTATTACTCCTGAGGCATTACTTACAGGTACTTTACATGTAATAAACTGGGGAATCTTAAATTTGATATTTTTGAGAAAATAAAAAGTTACACACAGATTTGTCAAGATTTCAGTATGTAGTATTATCTCTGTTGCAAAAACATTCCAAAATGGAGGCTTAATCATGTCCTGCACCATGACATAAAGTAACTTAAATTGTCAAAACGAGCATGAAAATAATCATTATTTTAGTTTAGTATTTGAACAATTACCTGCAACATGAATTGGACACTTCTGATGTATTTTCCTTAACATAGCCTCCCAGCTTTGTGCATTTATCAGCGAGTGATGCCGGTGTCAGTAACAACAGAACTGCCGTCTTGGTTACAAAATCAGAAAGGTTGTTTTATTCAATTTCAATCAGATATTTATTACAAATTGCTAGCCAAAATAACATTTTTTCATGTGTATCTCTTTTACTTGCCATTGAGAAACTCTGAAAGATAACTTTCACACACACCTAATGATCACCAACATATCTTTTACTTTTGACTTCATTCAAGTACGTGTGAATAGAATACTTCCACAGTCCCTCAGCTTTGAACCCAAATAAACCTTATCATACATTGTAAAAGATGGAGGGTTGGGGGGGGGGGTTGTAAGCCCTAGCCCCAGGTTCCTACGCCTCCTCTTGTTTCCAAAGTAATCGTGCAATCACCAGTTTTTCTGTATTGTACTCAATGGCAGGAGGAGGCAAGCTAATTATTAAATCTGTCAAACAGATTGCATTCAGCAAGAGTCCCGACTAAGTTTGGCTGGTCTACGAAGACCAATCGCTTCAATGGGAATGAGCTCTATGTTATTTAGGAATAAGAAAATTTGGGTGTACTGAACCTTCTTGTTTGAAAAACTGGTAGCTACAATCCCACAGGTTTATTTTGGATGATAAACTTTTTAAAAAGTGACATTACATTATATAAGAGGAACAGTGCAGTTAAGTTGACTCCTTTGGTCCCCTACAGTTATTGACCAGATTTAAGAAATGGCATAGAACTTGGATCAATTTTTGATTCAGAGTGGACCATTTCTGATCACAAGGGCTATTCTTTAGAAACCCCACACCCCACCCCGACCAATGATTTGTTTTACTTAATATGCAGTAATAAACAAATGTCCATAAATGCTAACGTAAAGTACCCTGAGTGTCAGAGAAACGTAAAAGCTAGCTTGCTAAATATACCAGGAGTCTTGGTGCAATACTCCTTGGTTGAAGGGCGAATTTGTCTAGTGGCGCTGATCTTTTTCACCGAAACGTGGGTTGATATGGGTTATATATGAAATCAAGATCGAGCTGACAATACCGGAATCTAGAACCTAGGGTAACGTAAAGGTGACTACTAGTAAAGGACTTCTTAGCTAGCATGAGACTTAACTGCACGTGCACTCTTGCTGAGTGTAATCAGATTTACAGACTTCTGAAGCCGAGCCCACAAGAAAGTTAATAACTCCCTAGCTGCTCAAGGAGGATGCATTAGTCTGTGTAGCTGGGCTCCGTAACTCGAAAGCATCGCATGTTGCGAATAGCGATATCACATAGAGGCTACAATGTATTATATGGGGCGAGTATGGGCGAGTTATGGAATGGAGATGCTTGCGCTCGGTCGCAGTGCACGATGCCTTTGAGTTACCGCGGCCTTGATTGGATTCAGCTAGAGTTCCCAAGAGGTCACAGTCTAGTTTGGTCAACCTGAACGGCCCCAAAGAACATTGCAGGACACCAAGGTTATTGCCTGATAAGAGTTGGTGTCCTGAAAGACAGGACATCTCTTCTTGCAGTTAAGGACTCTGTTGACAATAATAAAAATTTATGGTACACCTGAGACTTATTTAATAGCCGTATCATAAAACGAGCACACTTCAGAGATATTCAGAGATATTTTTGTTAAGAAAAGGCTCACATTTTAGTTTTAAGTATTGTTTTTTTGGTGGGGTATCTGTTACACAGTATACTTCAAACTGAGTTTTACGATGTCAGTTTTTCATTGGAGAAAAAATACTGCATTGTGTTTGTAAGTTGATGTGAAAATGCTTTAGGCGAGGGTTTTATAAGTTTTAAGACGTGATCTGAATCTTTCTGTGAATGAAACTATTTGATATGTTAATCGCACCTTTGATTGATTTAAGATGAAGATATTTGAATGTACGTGTGTGGAATTAGTTATTTTCATTTAAAGGGCGTTATCAGTGACGCGAAAGCATGCTATATAAGTGACTGTTTATTGGACAAAATCCCAGTTTCGTTCGTTGTTATACAACTCCATCTTGGGCACCATCGTTATTGGGAGAAAGATTGCTCTTGATCACTTAATTTCTAAATGATCATTTCCAAAAGAACCAAGAGATTTCCATAAATTTTCACAAGTCCATTGAACGGTGATTTTTTTGTTTGAATTCCAATATTTTATGGTGGAAAGTAAAACCATGATGAAGGAAAAGCGACAAGAAGATAATAACTGGGTAAGTGTACACTTTTTCTTTACAATATTGTTTTATCCTAGTGGTAAAATTAATATTATTTATTTTGAATTTAAGTAAATTTTTGTTTCTTGTCTACACATGTGAATGTTTAATGTCATCAAACTAAAGTTTTGCATTTCGATGACATTTTACAGTCATTGATAGTTTGACAGAGATAATTTTTAATGTTAAATTTTCTTGAGCTTATATCTTACTTTTTAATGTTTGAAAAAGATAATTTGCTACATTGCATTTCTGCTGGCCCATTTATCGATTTTAGATAGGCTCTGTTCAACACTGCAATAAATGATACAGTTTCTCGTTTCTCCACATAGAATGATTTATCAAATTTGAAATTTATCAAAAAAAAAATCTTAAAGTGCTAAAATTTGATCTTGTATTGTTTAAAAAAATTACTTTTGATAATAAACAAATAAGTTATAAGTTAAGAAGAATTCTGTTCATCTTAATTAGTTTCATTAAAGGCAATATGTTATTATTCAAAACATCAATGCCTGTAGCTTCAAAATGTGTAAAAGCATTCTTTTTCCAAATTTATCTTGCATCTTATTGGAATGTGCAAAGTAGAAAAGAAGAGCAAAATTTCTGGTATTCAGGAGATGTTAACACATTCAAAATATATGATACAGAGCTTAGGATTCAAAATATATGATACAGAGCTTAGGATTCAAAATATATGATACAGAGCTTAGGATTCAAAATATATGATACAGAGCTTAGGATTTCTTATGTATTTCAATGTGAGGTATCATCTTCTGTTTGCACTTAATAATAATGATAAAAATCAGTTATTGTATGTTTCATTAAAGATTTTAATGTGACTTATATAAAATCTAAAATCATTAATTGAAAAATGTCAATAAAATAATGCTAATAATAAAAAGATAACTAACAAACAAAAAATTATTAAACATCACTACTACTACTACTACATGAAGGTTGAAAATACTTCTGTTTAAAAAAATACTCATAGTTTGTATACATCTTTATACAAAGATTTAAAAAGAAACACTTTTTTGTCTGTGTAATATGGGAACCAGCAGATTATTTCATAATTATTGATTATTTGTAATCTGTGTGTTGCAAGATATGTATATAGGATATGGATACTGGGATACGGATAATGTGTTACTAAGGGTGAGCAAAAAAAAAAAAGGTGATTTGGGGAAGGGGAGTGTAGAGGGTCAGGAAAGGGGGGGGGGATAATAGCTGATAGTGTATGGCAGTGCTTTACCCACAATAGGGGGTACAGGCGATCCAAAATTACCACCTGTTATTGCCTACAAAATGTCAGGGAGTCCAAGTATACCTAAAGTTGTCATATTACCCAAAAATCTATAAGTTGTACAGCTGTCTTTGAAAATATAGGCTGTCTGGTGATGCTGGTAGCTGTCTAAATGACGGCTGGATGGTTCGCTGAGAAAATCCTTGGTGAATGGAAATGATAATGTTGCTAGGTTTTACAATAGATGTCAGGTACAATGAAACATCATATTACATATGATTTTTATTTTCACAATTGAGATAGCCCTAAGGGGAGGTATGGTAATGACTTAATTTTTTCAATGGGGAAAGTTGTAAATTTTATAGGCACTATATTTTTGAAAGTCATATTTCTTAAAGTAAGAACATCCCTTATATACTGTACAGTTTTACAGTTTTGTTCTGTATGATAAAAGTACCACAAAATTAATGCTTCACAGAAGTACATATGTAAAATTTTAATGATTTCAAAATTATGTATCTGAGAGACTGATAAATGATTTTCCCCCCATTCAAAAGATGGGGTGATTACTGTATATGGAAAGAAATTCATGCTTGTGTATTAAATCAGATAATTTGTAAGACTGACCCAACATTGACCCAAGACTGACCTAAGACTGACCCATTACAGTACGTGCTGTGTGATATCCTGATATCCTACCTTATTGCACTCAGTCTCCTCCCATTCTTATATCAGAGCAATTGTTACCTCATCCTAAAATTAAAAATGGAGCACCTTTCTTTGTTGCTGTCGACTTTTGGAATGCAGTTTTAGTTTATTTGTTAAAACTGATACGTGTCTGAATGAAGGGTAAGTGTCAGTTATGACCATTATGCAAAGTTCATTTATATTCACTTCAGTTGAAGACAGTTCTAGCTACCATTTGAGAATTTATGCCAGGAAGGTTAAGAAGGCCAAGTGAGACTATATAGGTAATAGAAGAATGGACCTGGTGTTGAATTTTTTTTTATTTGGTCCCATTCTAGTGAGGTTAGAGAGCTGTATTTGGATGGGGAGAAGAGCAACAGAGTGATTTATTTAAATGTATATGGCACAATAGAGAGTTTGCGTGTAGCCAAAAATTTGAGATTTGGGTGACATATTGGCAAGTGCATAGAATTGACAGGTAAGGGAACCAGGGTAGGGGTAGAAAAATAAGTGGGTGCAACAATTAGCAAAGGGGGTAAGTAAGGGGGGATAGTTTAGAAAGCAGACCAAGTCAGTTTTAGGTGTAATGTGCATTTGAGTAATTTAGAATACATTAAATGGGAATTTAATTGTCTGGGCCCTAGCTTGGTGGCTCAATCCAGTGTACTGGTATGTACCGTATAGTAAGTTACCAAAGGTGATTGACTTTTCAAAAGTATGCACTTGTATATGTTTGGGATGAGGTGTGATAAAGTTTGAGAAAATTAAGGTGTGGAAGTATTCCTGCAGATTTTGGGGGTTGGAGGTGGCGGTGTAGCGGTTCAAATAAAGGAGAGGGTTAACAGCTGGTCATGCATGCGTATGAACATGCTGACGAGTTTTACAATAGATGTCACTTCATATAGTCTGTAGAGTTCATGCTTTTCATCCATAAAGAAATAAAGCCATCTCATGTATCAAGAGCTTGGTGTAGTAAAAGAAAAAAAAAATAAAAACAACAATAGAGGAACTTGTGACTGTCTGGAAGTTTTGATAACTACACATGCATAGATATATTTTTGGGTCTGGACAGTTATAGATATTTTTAATTCAAACAAGAGATGTTTTAGGTATATACCTCGTGAAGTTAACTGTTTTCTATTCTGAAGTCGAATCCTTTTGATAGCCTACAAATATGTGTGTCACATACGGGCAGTGATGCATTACAAGACAGTACTGTAATACTTTCCTGTTAATACTTATGTTAAGGTTAATGGAGTTACCTGGTACAAAATAGGCAGCCTTGACTTTTAATAACTTTGTCAGTTTATATCCTGGACCATTTTGTTTCAAAAGAATCCAATTATATGAGCCAATTCTTGTTTCGCTATTGAATTCTTGGTATTCCTTAAAAGGTGCTTAATGCATTGTTCAATTAAATCATCTAGTCATTATTGCTTAAGTTACAGGGATTCTTCCACTTGATAGGTTTATTCAGGGTGGTTTATTTTTGCTTTGGGCAGATGACTTAATTTTATAACTAGGTCAGGATTTTTTTTTTTTTTTTGTAGAATTTTTAATTATTTGATAAAAATAAAGTTTCTGTCAGAGATACATTAATTTTATTCTTACACACATTCTTTATTACAGTTACCAATACTAGATAATTGGATATATGATGAGGTAAATAAATAGATAAATATATACTAGTGAGTGAGTGCAAATATAAAATCTTATAGATAGATGAATAAATGATAAAAAAATGATACCTCCCCAAAATTTCAGAATTAAAGTCAATTTTATTTGGCTAATGATCGATGTTTCCTTTTTATGCAGCTGATTGGAGATAATCATCAAGTGTAAGCCTATCTGTTGGGATTATTCCGATCTGTTGATTTTCATGATTTATTGTTGGCCTGATGTTGTATAAACCATATCACATTTCATAATATTGATAATAGTTAGATATAGACTTTTTCTTGCACAATTTTGAGTAAAAAAAATTGAAGAAATGATAGTTGCTCTCAAAAAAAAAAAAAAAAAAGAAAAAAAAAAAGACTGGCAATAGACTGTCAGTCGTTGAACATTTTATTATTTGCAGAGCTAGCAAATATAACCAAGTATCTAAAAATTCTCCATAAAAGAAATAAAAGAACTTCACTGCTTATGGATTGGTATAATTTGATAATTACATGTACAGTGAGTTTGTTAAACTAAACTCCACATAAATTTCTGCCCTGATGAAGAGACATCTATGTAATACAATATGTTTCTACAGGTGTGGCTTGACAGAATACACTATAGGGAATTGAGTATGAATACCAGTATCTGAGGCAGAAATGTGCACATCATATTAGCCGTGGATTATATTGTGAATGTATTTCTTGGTATTAAAAAAAAAAAAAAAAAAACTGGGCCACCATCGTCATAGTGCAGCTAGTACATTAAACCCAGGTTTATTTTCTTAGGTCATATAGTAATCAGGTTATCAGCTCAGGGAATTGGTTTATTTATATAATTGTCTGCCCCTCAAACTGGATATGTTTACATTACGATAGGGCATGTGTGGACGAAAGTTGACACATGTACAGAGAAAGTGGAAGCATGTCTCCTCCGCAGTGGTGGGGTCGTTATAAACGTTTACAGCATTTGTATAGTGCTAGCTAGCAGATTGGCATATGGAACGTGCCTGACACAGTGTATAACATTAGGAAGACTTATTTGGAGGTGAAGTACAGTAATTGTCGTTCATGTAAGAATACATTGATAGCATATGTTTATTTTGTACAATAATTAATGCCGGTAGATATGTTGATTGTTACAGTAACTTGTATGTTTTCTCTGTGTTGGACTCATTATTTGATGAATGGGGTGCAGTATGTTGGCACATATAATTATGTTGACAAATTTTTGCATGCTTTTCTCCCTAAGGGACAGACAGTATTGAAATATGGATGGGTATAGTTACATTCCTGACACAATAGAAATAGTATAAATTGATACTGGCATTACTTAACATAATAGTCATGTTTATAAAGATAAGAGTTAACTGCTTTAAATCAAGCATAATTTATGTTAAATTTGAAGTACAGCAGGGTTCATTTGCATAATTGCAATTATTTGTAGAGTTTATGTGGTCGAGTGCATTTAAAACCAATTTATGCTGGCAATAGTATTTAAACTCATCTGTAACGTAAGAATTAAGACTGTGGAGTGATTTGAGAGTGGATAGAGGAGATGGGCAGAGGACTGTTGTAGAATAGTAAATGAAATAATACTATTTAAGATTGACATTATCATATGTCATGTGTCAAGTTGTCCTCTTTACTCTCACATCATTCCTTCTGGGGCATGGAATATTCCAGCAAGGCTTTTTTTTTCCTGTTGATAGGACAACAGGTCACGCACAATGGGCTGTTTAATTTTATGTGTGCCAGTTAGTTAAAAATTGATATTGTGGAACTGTTACACTACATGAATTTGGGCCATAAACTTCTACAACTCCCTAAATTGACGTCAGTATGATACTATTAATTATAATAGGCATTATAGATACATAGATACAGTCTTTACTAATTGAGGGGGACACTAGATCTCGAGGGCCTTAGGATTACTGATGTGTATAAGTATTATTTTTGATTTAGTCAGATTTAAGGAAATATTTGAGCAATAGAACATACTAGTAATACAATTTTTGAAGCTGAAATAACCATAGATTTTTCAAAGTTAACTGCACACTTATAATGTCTGAGATAGTGATCTTTATTGGCTGGGGTAGCACTAACACTCCCCAATTTAGCCAAATGCTAAAATTGACTTTAATTGGCTAAATAAAAGGGCTTGATTTGACTAATTTTAGTCAAATTAAAACCATTTCAACACTGATTTGGATAACAAATTGACAAAAAAGTGTTGGTTTGGCTAAGTGAAAAAAAAATACTAGCACTACCCTAGGAAGGGAAGAAATAGATAATGATTCTGAACAAATAATAATAATAATAAATAAAGAAATTAAAATAAATGCATAAAAAATAGAAAGTAAAAAAAAAAATAAAAATAAAAATAATAATAAAGAATGAAAGAAATGAAATATTAGAGCCAGTGCAAAAATGGTGCAAATTAAAATTGAGGTTCTTCACATTTTATACCAGAACAGAAAGTGAGATAACAAGTCTCAGTTCTTCACATGTTCCTTAGCAATCACTGAAAATTCAAGATTTTCTTGCAGTTAAAGAATTACTCTTGACACAAATTCAGAAATTTGAAAAGAGCTAAATGGTTTGGACACAGGTGATACTTGCATTCAGCTTGTTTTCATTTTGGTTCCCAATTGCATATTCATGTATAGCAATTAAGGTGCTTTTACTTATTTACTAGGTGTGAACAACCTTGCTTCACATCGGGTACAAAATTTAAAGCAATTCAATGTAAAATGTGTCTGTTACCCTCGACATGAATAAATAATTGATTTTTTTTTCATTAAATGTGAAACTTTTTTTTTTCAAGTAAGTGGAGATATTTTTTTCAATTTAAGATAAAATAGAATATAAATGATGAGTGAAAAAATAAAAAAATACAATTAAGAAGTATTCTTCCCCTCATCCTTTCAAAAATGCCCTGCTTTTTGAAGAAAGATTTGGCTTGTCAAAGTTAACTATTTTAGGTACATGGTTTCATAAAAAGAGGGTCATATGGTAAGGAGTTAACAATTAAGCTCTCTTGAGAACACTCTGAAATGTAGCTCTCAACTTCTCAAGGTAATTTGAAAGTCACGTCAAGTAAACATGTTTCTGCTTTCTACTCACAAATCCGAATCAGGTGTCTGATGTTCTTTTTCGCTCAGTTAAACAAAAAATAAAATGCAATAATGTTCAATAAATATTTTTTCTAGGTTACTGCTCCTTTAGATCTATTTGAGGGACTACGTGACACTCACGATGAAGAAAACTGCCCACAGTGGGTCCCAACCTTGGTTGCCAAGGTTTGGTGATTTAGACAAACAAAGCAGTATGCCCTTATTAACGACCGAAGAGTTGGAAAGGAAAGAAGTCCAAAACGACAAAGATTCTACACCTGTTAAAATGGGGTCTACCAGTGGCCAAGGTAATGGTCACTTTAATAATGGGGTGACACCACATGGACATGGTACCCATGAGATCTTGACCATGGAGGCTTTTCACCAGCAGCACCAACCCGAGTTTCCGACTTTTTCTGCTAAGACTGAGATTAAGAAAAAAATTGCCAAAAACTGTACAGGGTCCAAAGACTGTGTTTTGAAGGTACTCTTTACGCTGTTTCCATTCTTGAATGTCCTCCGAACCTATAAGATAAGGGAGTACCTTGTTGGAGATATCGTATCTGGCTTGTCTGTCGGGGTTCTACACATTGCCCAAGGAATGGGATTTGGACTGCTGGCCTCCTTGCAACCCATCCATGGACTGTATTCTTCTTTCTTCCCAGTGCTACTGTATTTCATCTTTGGGACTTCGCGTCACATTTCCTTCGGAACCATGGCACTGACGGCAATACTGGTGGCAGAGGTTGTGGACAGAGAGTATCCGAAGTTCATCGACCCCATGACTCTGGATAGTAACTTGTCTTTGAATGCAACTGTAGATGGAGGCACTATGGACGATGAAATTTTGGAGGTCAAGGTTGGCATTGCAATGGCTTTGACCTTGCTCTGCGGGATCATACAGGTTGGCATGGGGATATTTCGCCTGGGTTTTGTCACCACTTATCTCTCAGACGCATTTGTTGGTGGTTTCACCACTGGGGCTGCTTTCCACATCACCACCAGCCAGGTTAAAACCATGCTTGGGTTAAAGATCAAAGGTTTCTCCGGCCCTTTCATGTTGATTTTGACCTATGTTGAGGTTTTTAAGAATATTGCTAAAACTAACATTCTTAGCCTAGTCATATCAGCTTTGTGCATTATAGTTATCATATCTGTGAAGATTTGCATCAACCAGCGTTTTTCCCACAAACTGAAAGTTCCTATTCCAATTGACTTGATTATAATGATCATTATGACTCTAGTCAGTCATTTTGCAAACTTGAATGCTAATTTTGGAGTGGCAGTGATAGGGTCAGTACCACAGGGTTTTCCGCCTCCCAGAGTTCCACCCCTAGAGCATGCTGGGAACTTTGCTGTTGAAAGTCTGGTTCTCGCAATCGTTGGATTTGCAATTTCGATTTCCATGGCAAAAGTTTTCACAGTAAAGTACCACTACCAACTGGACAACAACCAGGAACTTTTGGCTTATGGGTTGTCCAATGGAATTAGCTCTTTCTTCAGATGTTTTGTTAGTGCTGTCGCTCCTCCACGCTGCATGCTTCACGATTCCACAGGTGGAAAAACGATGGTGCATAGCGTAGTATCAGCCATATTGGTTTTCATCGTTATCATGGCGATCAGTCCTCTGTTGGTGTCGGTTCCAAAGTGCGTCCTAGCTTCTATCATTGTTGCAGCGATGCAGAAATTATTAATGCAGTTTGAACACTTACCAGCACTTTGGAGAGTCAGCGCCTGTGATTTCTTCATATGGTTAGTCACATGGCTGGCTGTTGTCGTCTTGGATATCAGCATGGGTCTGGGCATTGGTTTGGGATTCTCGTTCATCACAGTTGTTATCAGGACCCAGTTTGCTAAAGGGTTCACTCTAACAAAAACAGATGGTATGGATAATTTTGTGAGCGCTCAGCATTATCCAGAGATCAAAGACCTGTCCAGTTCCAGCATTAAGATATTCCAGTTTCAGTCAGCACTTTATTTTGCCAACGTGGAGCTTTTCAAAGACAAACTGTTCAAATTGGTTGGCAAGCCAGAGGAGGAAAAGACTGATGGTGATGTAGAAAGAGAAATGAAAGAAGTGAATGGAAGTCCAGTGGCAAATGGTAAAGAGGATGAAGTGGATGGAAAAGGAGATGTTGATTCTGCACAGAAGGAAGATGGTATTCTGACTTCAGTATCAAGTTCTACTGAGAGTATAAATCAGTTTGTGTTGATCATTGATTGTGCTCGCATCGTCTTCATTGATTCTGCTGGTATAAAGTGTTTACGTCTGCTTTACAATGAGTATAAAAGTTTGGGGATTACAGTTTTTATGGCAGGGTGCACTGAGGAAGTTTATCTGACTCTGCAGAATGGTAACTTTTTTGATACTTTTCCTCCAAGTAATGTTTTTATGTCCTTGCAGGATGCTTATGATATGGCTCTGTCAGTGGAAACAGGAGATAGGAGACAAGACCAAAATGATGCTCCCTGTCAAACTCGAATGTAATAGTCAAATTGACTATCTTGCAAAATTGTCCTTTTTCTTCCTCTTTGTAAAATTATCAGCTTTATTTGTATTATTATTTTTTTTTTGAAGAGTTCTAATTTTGTTGATTATATGTGGTTTTCACTTATTTGAGAAACTACATTTTCATGTTTTTCCCTTGAAGTTGCTCCCGTGGTCAGTTCATTTCTGAATTTGATTCAAAGAAAATTCATAAATTATGCACAAAAACTATATAAAAATCATGACCAACATTTGACATAAATGATATATTCATTTATTATCCAGGTTTTTTTTTTCTGTAATTAAGTCACTTTATAGGTATAAGTACACATGTATTTTATAATATTATTTATATATGGTTGGTTTGGGTACACGAACACATTAAAACATTTTCCATTTATTGCATAGTTTTGGTTATTAAAGAATGCCATATGAACATAATTGTTTACATAAATCTGACCTGAGTCAAACAGTGTCTTTTGTTGGTAAAATCAGTAAATGGAAGTAAGGTCATGATCAGTCATTTGTTGTGTATGTATTGGAAATACAAAGAAGCATTGGCTTGTTGTTTGCCTTCAAGTTTACAGTTTGATAGAAGCTGAAAACTTAATTGTTAATCAAAACAGCATCATGGCAGTAGCTGTGGTTAAGTACTTATTAAAACCTATACACTATAAACTATCTCTTATTTAATTTTGATTGATGTATTATTGTTTAGTTATGTTATCTACATTTTAAACGCAGTTGGAGCTTCACTGTTGAATTATAAACAGTTTCATTTGCTAACTGCTCAGAATGACTGATGTTCACTTAAAAATCACTTAAGACCCTAGGTTTAGGACCCAGCCTGGGTGTCAGACAATTAAGCTCATTACACTGAATGCACTTTAACAAGAATCCCCCACAGAGTTGGATTGATCCAGCTAGTATGATGGGTGTATCTGAACACAGTCTTAGTCTAGTTAAAAACAGTTTCTGCTCATCATACAGTGTTGAACATACCTTTTTTTAAATCATGATTATATATTTTATCTATATGTATAGCCATACCTTTGGTTTGCGGTACTTGGTTGTTTAATTTTTGCTAATTATTTTTCAAATTTTAAAGTTTTTTTTTCCTTTCTCATATTTTTTCAGATGAAGGGGACCAATAACATCTTCCACTTTATTTTTGTGTGTTTATAAGCAACACTTGTGAGAGATCCATTGTTATATTTAACTTTGGATGAAATAAGTTTCATTCTTCCAAGATTTAACTGCTTGTTATGTTTTACTTAATAATAATATGGTATAGAATATATTATTACAAATTTTTTGTGTTTGTTATAAATGGGTTTCTTTGTCTATTTTGTCAAATTGCAGAAGTTCTGAGAGAGAGAAAGAGGGAGGGAGAGAGAGAGAGAGAGCATTATGTAGCTTGGAAACAATGTGCAATGTGTCAATGCAAAGAGTTAAAAATAGCATGAAATTGGACATTAATGCCACTGTTGTCTTTAATCTGCACTCCTTCTAATCAACCACCTCGTGTATTAGACTCTTAATATGATTTTAATGTTGATGACTTTTGTCAGGGATTTAGAGCCACATTTAACCTGAATAAACAACTACCTAGTACTGTACCCACTACATAATCCCATGTTGCATTTTGTTTTGCCTTGCATTTTGGAAAGAAAATGAAATTTTGACTTTTTTTTCGATCTGTGTCTAAAGAAAACTGGATTTTTTTTTTGTTTGTTTCTTTTTACTCAGTTGTGCATGCAACAGAAACATTATTCTGTAAAGTTGTGCCGCAAGGTCTAAAACTGCTATTCAGGATGAAAATGTTAAATAAAGCAGGAATTATGGAATAATGAAGCATACAATAATTTAAGGCAGTAAAAATAGATGAGTAATGATAGAGAGTAGGATGCCTTTGTTTGGAACAAAGAAATTGATAAATCCTAACAACTACAAAATGTATAGAGATACTTTTTCACTTCCAACTTTAAACTTTTAATTTTACTTAATGACATATAAGCAACTTTGGAATTACAATGCTTTGCATAATATGGTACCAGGCACTGAAAGATAATTTGAAATAAATTACTGACTAAAACTGCTTTTTGAACCCACCCGTTTTAAAAATGTTTTAATGATACCTTTTACGACCAGGTACTGTCAGATATTATGAAACAAAATCACTGACAAAAACTGTTACGTGTACTGGCAGGTAAATTTAATGTGCTTTATGCATGACTGTCCATGTGGTGGCGGAGTCTTAGCATTCTTAACTTTGGTCACTGACTTCTCAAAATATGCTTAGATCTTTAAGTGTAAAGCTGCCAGTCAGGTTTTGTTACTAAGCCTGATTGTATCCCCCCGAAAAAAAAAATAATAAAATATAATAATAAAATTAAATAAATAAAAAATTTCAGACATAGGTATTAAAGAGTTTTTATCTCAGAATTCATGTACTATATAAATTATACAAGGAAAGTGCCTTCAACATGTGAAGATGCAATTTAATAATCCAATTTCTGTAATTGATTTGTATGTGTATACATTCAAGAAAAAAGGCCCTTTGTTCAGTTTCTTCATGTGTAACATCCCTGTCTGGTAGATAAAAGACGAGTGAACAAATCTTTCCATTGATCTTTTTTTTCATGTATTTAAAGGAGAAAATAAAAAAGTGATATGTTGATGCTGTATACGACTCCATTCCCATACCTAGATCGATCTAGCAGAATCACCCATCTCCAAGAAGTTTCTTGCTAAATTGCATTCAGCTTAAGCGGCTCTGATGCCTGACATGCCTATTGAAGCTGTTAGGAGTAATTAACTGTCATTTAGCAGCTTCAGCAGGTATGCCAGACATCTTAGCCACTTTGGCTGAATGCAAGTTAGCGAGAAACCCCTTGGAGTTGGGTCGATCCTGTTACATCAATCTAGATATGGGAACGTGGTTTAAGATAAAATGTGTTATCGGAGTAGAGAGCAGGAAATAAAATAATCCGACCACTGTGGGGATAAAGAAAGATCGTTTGCTGCAAAATTTGGTGCTGATGCACCATAAAAAGTTTAAGTACTGGCAACTTATCTTCCATATGGTCCTATTAGAAGTGCGTGACACAGGCATCATTATTGAAGCCGGAGAACACATTATAGAATATATATAATCAGTGTTCTCAGTCTGGGGTGATTCTCATGTCAGTGCGAAATAGTTTAAATGACTTTGGCCACATTAAAATTGTATGCACAAGTTGTGGAAAAACCAATAAGACTTTACATAATTTTGAATTGTGGGCGTCTTTGGTGTGGTATGTCATGCAAGCATGAGCTTTGAATTTTGGGCAATACTCTGAGGCAAAACGGCATGTCACTTAAAGTTCCTGGTAGAGACCAGTTGTATCAGGCGCAAAGTTATCTTTAAACATGTTCCTGAACTTTGTTTACCGCTCATTAAAAAAAAAAAAAAAAAAAAACTTTGGCCACTGTAGAATGTAAGAGATTGATTAGATGTAGCATTTAGGCAAACATGGTTGCTTTGGCAATTAATTTTGTGATGAGCACAACCAAAAAAGAAAAAAATGAGGAAAAATCTTATTCAAGGTCATGTATTATGACCAGTCTTAAATAAGATTTAAAAATTAAACAGAAATTAAAATGTTAGAAAACTGTTATACCTGTCAATAAATTGTTGCTTTCAATTGAAAATAAAACAACTATTCACCACACTGATGTATTTTATAATTCTTGTTATTTAATGAAATTTATTTTTCATGGCAATTATTCATTTTGATATTTATTTAGACAACTCATCCCATTTGACTTTATATCTTGAATTTTTGTCAATATTCCACATGATGTGACTAAAGTGATTAATAATTGATTATAATAATTATTCACATGATAATGTAATTCAAACAGTAAGTTCATATTATACCAATAACAGAATGTATAATAACTTATTGTTTGAATTTCTATCATTGCATGTCATGATATTAAGTGATAATTATTTTTTTAAGGAATTAAGATTTGAATATATTTTTTTATTTTTTAGACCAGCCCAATCAGTGATGTCTTGAAGTCAATAGACCGTGCCATTGAGGCAATTCATTTCTCAGCCACATGCTCTGGAGGGAAATACACCCATGAGCAGAGAGAGAACCTACAGTGAGTTTTTTATTCATTTTGAAGAAACATTCACTGGACACCATCACCTAAAACAGGGCTGTAGGTGCTGTTGAAAAAAATGTCTTCCTTATTACCTCTGCCAAGGAGGTTATGTTTTCACCCCTGTTTGTCTGTTTGTTTGTCTGTCATCAACATAACTCAAAAAGTGGTTGGACCATTTTAAGGTTTGTTAATTGATCGTTAACTTTTTTCCAGAAAGTTGGTCCAGCATCGTAAGAATGTGGCATCAGAGAACCAGCAGATTCCTCCTCAGCCCAAACGTCAAGCTCCTCAGCCGCCATCTGATTTGAGTAAACGTATGCAACGTCTTTTGTACCAAATGGTGTGTGTGTGTGTGTGTTTATATGTGTTTTGCATTTGCTTGTTCATGTTTGTGTGTGTGTGTGTGTGTGTGTGTGTGTGTGTGTGTGTGTGTGATAGAGATAGTGAGAGGCAAGAAAAGAGCAAGATGGCATATTTTGTATTTTTGGTTTCTGTAGTGGCTTAAAATCATTAGTTTTTCAGTAAAATTGAAAAAGGAAATATTATTATATTAAATATTATTATATAAATATTAATATATAAGTGCAATTATATGTATGTTCAATTTGATTTTTTTTAAATTTGACATGAGTCATACAGAGGTTGGAATTCTTGACTTTGACAAAACTTATCATGATAAAAATGGGGTCAGGTAATTTAATGCTTTTAGGGGTAGGTCCTTGGATAATGTTTTTTTTAAAATATGACACGAAAAAAATGCATTGCACAGCTTGACACAAGGACGTCCATGCAATTAGATATTTCTCCCGATTAGCCATACGTTTTTTTACAAAAGCCAGCTGGAGATGTCGGTGGTAGACATTGCTTTCCCCACTGAGATGCCAGCATGACAGTAACATGATGGTCACTTTTTAGCATTTTTGCAATACCACATTAATTCTTATTTTTAAAGTATCTTTTAAAGATTTATCACTTTTAGTTACTCATACAAGTGCATTTTACTGCATAAAGCCAACTTACTTTTTCAAACTTTTGAGTTTCAGGCACATGTGTAACTAGATTAAACAAAGTATGGTTTTGTGGTTTTGGTAGCAATTAAAATGATAGCAGTGTCCTTCAGTTTCATTCCACTGGTCTGTGAAAGTCTTGGTTTAGGGGGATACAGAAACATTTTCCGTTGGCTACTGCTGTTAAATAATGGCATGCCATTTTAGCATTCTTTAACCTATTATAAAACTATAAAAAATTATAAAAAAGTAAAAATGTGAGTTAAATGAGTTATGGTTTGGGACAGGATCAGGACAGAGAAGCATTTACCATTGGCTACTAGTTAAAAGGTATGCTGTATCATGGCATTTATTAATTGGAAATGTGAGTTTGAAGAGGAGACACCCACTGAAAATGAGGTGTCATTTGGCACCCTTGGGAGACACAAGACTTCTCTGGCAGATGTTAATAAGTTTTAAATGGCACATGGACAATTAATTTTAGCAATTATACTTAGTCCATGAGGTAGAGGGGTCCATTGATACTCATTGGATAACTGAGGTTCCTTGATACATGTGAAAGCTCATTTAGCCAGGCATCAGTTTCCGTGTGGAAGCACTTACAGATCAGTAGCTTTCATTATGTAAATGGTCTTTATAGAACACCTTGATACTTAAATTGCCGCATCTGAAAAATGTTGGGTAGGGGAAGGAAAACATCCATGATGTGAAAGTAGAGTAAAGCAATAATTTATGTATCATTATGCAGCTGAAGGATAGTTCATAAAGAAATTTTAAGTAATCACTAAATGAAATGTGATCTATTAATTGTGTGTTATGTTGTGTCCAGATTGGCAGTGAGTGCATGGGCATGCAATTGTGCATGCAAGTGAGTGTATGTTGGTACGTGCATGCACTTCCATGTTTGTCTCTGAATGATTGTCTGTGTGCCATTTGCATCAAAACAACAACCACTGACATTTATATTCAATTATCCTTCCATTTATTCTATTTATCAAGATAACATATACAACACTTGTTCTGTTAATTTTTTTTCAATCCTTATAAGTTACAGAACACTGTACCACTGATAGTGTCTATCTTTATGACAGGATACTTCTAGTGTATATTTTTTACTTTTTTGGTTGACAAACTTGAAATGCAAATTGGAAGTTACTATACCCTATAAAATATAGCACTGAATATAATAAACCATCCACTATTTGAAAAAAAAAACAACAAAAAACAAAAAAAAAATGGCCTTATTTTGCAATATGTTAAGATTAAGAAGAAAGAACTTCTCGACTGCGACACAGGTAATAATGAAATGAAAAATAGTTGAACATTAAAAATATTATTAAAATTAATTTGTATCAAATTGTACAAAATGTAATTTGTATCAACAAGTTGAAGTTTTATACAGCATGTAATAAAATAGATTGGTAGATTACTGTAGTTTTTTAAGAGTAAATTTCATTTGTGTAAATAAAATTTAGAACACATGTAAGTAAAATTCACTTTATCAGTCATTTTCCCAACTATTGATTCTTAACACAAAAATTGATTAATATGTTATGATAAGAAGTTAGCATAATATATGAAGCTCTTGGAATATATTATAAGCACAATGAATTGTTTAAAAATGAAATTTTTTGCTGAGCTACTTCATTTAGGCCAATAAAATGAAGTGTACATCATTTCCACTCAATAGATTCCAATGGTCACAGTAGTCATTGAATAAAAATGTCATTCCCTCTTAACAGATTGATAGTTAAATCATTTAGGAGACATTACTATGTTAAGATACAATGACAAAAAATGACCTTTGAATACTTAAATTACGAGTTTAGTCAAAATGAATATCAGTATAATTTTCAAAGGACTGTTTTTGAATCAGAACCCAGGCACATTACAGCCATGTGATAAGCATCTATTAAAGTCATAAAAACATAACCAGAGGGAAAAAGGTCAAAATAGTTTCCATTTTGCAGAGCCTGGTAAACGCCCTCTGTGCACCCTGCCATAAAAACTGTGACCCCTAAATGCTTGTACTCACTATAGACCTGGCTCAGAGCCTTGATACCTGACGAGTCAATGAATACTATTCTTGTACAGTCTAGAATCAAAATTGATTGGGCGGAATTACTACTGGAGTCAGACGGTCTAGTTTCAGTTTCTTTTGAGACACTGTTATTTTCTGCGTTTTTTCCCATTCCTCCCCTACTGTCTGCAGATTCATTGCTATTCTCTGCCCTCTCTATATCTTCATTTCCACTCTTATGTGTTTTTACTTCATAAGGTTTACCTACCATCTTGAACAATTTCTCTTTAAAAAGTTCGGCATTAGCAAAATATAGAGCTGACTGAAATTGGAAAATGTTGATGTTGGAGGAAGAAGGTGGTTTTGGTATGTTAGGGTAATGTTGGGTGCTGACAAATTTGTCCATGTCGTCTGTTTTGACCAAGGTGTACCCTCTGGCAAATTGGGTTCGCATCACTACTGTTATGAATGAAAAGGCAAGACCCACTCCCAGACCTGTACCTATGTCCAAAATCACCACTGCCATCCAGGTCATAAACCAGATGAAAAAATCACACATGCTGACCCTCCACAGCCTGGGCAAGTTTTCAAACTGCATGAAAAGCTTTTGCAAGGCTGCTACAATTACTGCTGCTAAGATGCAGTTGGGCAGAGAGGCGAAAAGGGGGCTGAGGGCCAAAATGACAATCAAAACCAATATGGCTGACACTACGCTATGGACCTGTGTTTTACCACCTGCTGAATCGTGAAGCATGGTGCGTGGAGGGGCAACAGCTCCAACGAAGCAGCCAAAGAAAGAGCCAATTCCATTGGACAAGCCATATGCCAAAAGTTCTTGGTTGTTGTCAACGTCATAGTGGTACTTTGTTGTAAAGATTTTGGCCATGGAAATTGATATGGCAAAACTTACAATTGCAAGAATAACTGCATCAATGATAAAATTACTAGCTATATTCAGTGGTGGAACACTTGGAGGTGGGATGCCTTGAGCAACGGTTCCTATGACAGCCACGCCATAAGTGTCCTTCAAATTCATGAAGTGACTAGCAACAGTTCCAATTATAAGCACTATCAGATCAATGGGAATGGGCACTTTTAACTTTTTTGAGAACCTCTGGTTGATACAGACTTTCACTAACAGGATAACAACTAGGCACATAGCAGATATACAAAGAGAAGCAATGTTAGTGTCAGTTATTTTCTTGAAGATTTCCATATAGGTGAAAATAAGGTTGAATGGGCCAGAGAATCCCTTGATCTTCAATCCGAGCATGGTTTTAACCTGACTGGTTGTAATGTGGAAAGCAGCCCCAGTGGTGAACCCTCCAACAAATGCGTCTGATAGATAAGTGGTGACAAAACCCAGGCGAAATATCCCCATGCCGACTTGTATTATCCCAGTGACAAGGCTGAGAGACATGGCAATTCCAAGTTTCACACTCATGACTTCATCCCCTGTTATGTCTGTGGTTTGGTCCAAACTTGCATTTGAGGAGGAGTTACTACCAGCATTGGTGTCGCCTGCGTACTTTGGGTACTCTCTGTTCACAACCTCTGCCACCAGTATTGCTGTCAAGGCCATGGTTCCAAAGGAAATATGGCGCGATGTCCCAAAGAAGGAATACAACAGTAGTGGAAAAAATGAAGAATACAGTCCATGGATGGGTTGCAAGGAAGCCAATAGTCCAAACCCCATTCCTTGAGCAATGTGAAGCACTCCAACAGACAAACCAGAAATAATATCACCAACAAGGTATTCCTTTATCTTGTAGGTGTATAAAACTCGTAGGAAAGGAAACAGCATAAACAGAGTGTTCATCCAACAGTCCTCCTTGCATTTCTTCTGTTGGAGTTGTTTCTTCATAGACATCATGGCTGGGTAATGGGGAGGGTTTTCCTGATTGAATTCCTCCTGGGTAACAATGGTGTTCTGCTGGCGTTGAGGAAACGTCTCTGCTGAGACTCCGGAATAAAGCAGTTCAGCAGTGCTTTCACTTGCCATAGTTTTTGATGTCTGTATCTGAGATGATTACACAGTCCAGTTGTTAGAACCTCTGGGAAACTAAGGCAGTGTATAATGTCAGTGACCGGATATGTATTATTTGGCACTATACTGACTTACCGCTGTCACAGTTGCNACTGTTATTTTCTGCGTTTTTTCCCATTCCTCCCCTACTGTCTGCAGATTCATTGCTATTCTCTGCCCTCTCTATATCTTCATTTCCACTCTTATGTGTTTTTACTTCATAAGGTTTACCTACCATCTTGAACAATTTCTCTTTAAAAAGTTCGGCATTAGCAAAATATAGAGCTGACTGAAATTGGAAAATGTTGATGTTGGAGGAAGAAGGTGGTTTTGGTATGTTAGGGTAATGTTGGGTGCTGACAAATTTGTCCATGTCGTCTGTTTTGACCAAGGTGTACCCCCTGGCAAATTGGGTTCGCATCACTACTGTTATGAATGAAAAGGCAAGACCCACTCCCAGACCTGTACCTATGTCCAAAATCACCACTGCCATCCAGGTCATAAACCAGATGAAAAAATCACACATGCTGACCCTCCACAGCCTGGGCAAGTTTTCAAACTGCATGAAAAGCTTTTGCAAGGCTGCTACAATTACTGCTGCTAAGATGCAGTTGGGCAGAGAGGCGAAAAGGGGGCTGAGGGCCAAAATGACAATCAAAACCAATATGGCTGACACTACGCTATGGACCTGTGTTTTGCCACCAGCTGAATCGTGAAGCATGGTGCGTGGAGGGGCAACAGCTCCAACGAAGCAGCCAAAGAAAGAGCCAATTCCATTGGACAAGCCATATGCCAAAAGTTCTTGGTTGTTGTCAACGTCATAGTGGTACTTTGTTGTAAAGATTTTGGCCATGGAAATTGATATGGCAAAACTTACAATTGCAAGAATAACTGCATCAATGATAAAATTACTAGCTATATTCAGTGGTGGAACACTTGGGGGTGGGATGCCTTGAGCAACGGTTCCTATGACAGCCACGCCATAAGTGTCCTTCAAATTCATGAAGTGACTAGCAACAGTTCCAATTATAAGCACTATCAGATCAATGGGAATGGGCACTTTTAACTTTTTTGAGAACCTCTGGTTGATACAGACTTTCACTAACAGGATAACAACTAGGCACATAGCAGATATACAAAGAGAAGCAATGTTAGTGTCAGTTATTTTCTTGAAGATTTCCATATAGGTGAAAATAAGGTTGAATGGGCCAGAGAATCCCTTGATCTTCAATCCGAGCATGGTTTTAACCTGACTGGTTGTAATGTGGAAAGCAGCCCCAGTGGTGAACCCTCCAACAAATGCGTCTGATAGATAAGTGGTGACAAAACCCAGGCGAAATATCCCCATGCCGACTTGTATTATCCCAGTGACAAGGCTGAGAGACATGGCAATTCCAAGTTTCACACTCATGACTTCATCCCCTGTTATGTCTGTGGTTTGGTCCAAACTTGCATTTGAGGAGGAGTTACTACCAGCATTGGTGTCGCCTGCGTACTTTGGGTACTCTCTGTTCACAACCTCTGCCACCAGTATTGCTGTCAAGGCCATGGTTCCAAAGGAAATATGGCGCGATGTCCCAAAGAAGGAATACAACAGTAGTGGAAAAAATGAAGAATACAGTCCATGGATGGGTTGCAAGGAAGCCAATAGTCCAAACCCCATTCCTTGAGCAATGTGAAGCACTCCAACAGACAAACCAGAAATAATATCACCAACAAGGTATTCCTTTATCTTGTAGGTGTATAAAACTCGTAGGAAAGGAAACAGCATAAACAGAGTGTTCATCCAACAGTCCTCCTTGCATTTCTTCTGTTGGAGTTGTTTCTTCATAGACATCATGGCTGGGTAATGGGGAGGGTTTTCCTGATTGAATTCCTCCTGGGTAACAATGGTGTTCTGCTGGCGTTGAGGAAACGTCTCTGCTGAGACTCCGGAATAAAGCAGTTCAGCAGTGCTTTCACTTGCCATAGTTTTTGATGTCTGTATCTGAGATGATTACACAGTCCAGTTGTTAGAACCTCTGGGAAACTAAGGCAGTGTATAATGTCAGTGACCGGATATGTATTATTTGGCACTATACTGACTTACCGCTGTCACAGTTGCCAGCTTAATTGCCCCTAGTTTTACTAAGAGAAACTAATTGTTATTGTTCTTGCAGAAAAGTTTGTTGCAGTGTGTCACTATAGAATTGCTTGGTCACGTTAAATACTACAGGATGTCATTGCATGCCATATGTTATATTGTTAAGGAGGTATGTGCCCCAGTAGTGACAGTAATTCATGAACAGTGGTCAAAGTCACAAAAGCTCATGGTCACAATTATTACACATAGTACAGTGAGCAGCATCTTGGCAGTGGAAGCAGAGTGACATTACTGCTTACTGTTAATCAAGTGAGACATGTAACTATACATATACACTCTCTCATGCCTGCAAAATTATAATGTAATAAAGTCAAATGATGAACATTGCAATGCGATTACAGCAACATGTTGCTATGTGTCCTTACTTCATTAGGCAAGCAGGAGGTGGTGTTAGATTCCTACCCTTTGCTCCAGAGGGATGACCTCTTTCTTAAAAGTCGTTAAAACACTGCACTGTTCTTGTCTTGTTTGAACTGCTGTTGCCTTTAAGTTGTATGCCTGCATTTATAATGGAAGTCCTGCTCGCGTTTATATCACACTGAATGTTTCATTAAATCGATGAATTGATTTGGTGTCCTTTTGGTACCATATGTTCTGCGCCGTGGTATCCAGAATAGAATCTCCTCACAGAAGACTGGGGGACTGTCTTTACCACCGGGACCGTCACATTTCAGTGTCACAATTAAAGCCACGTGGCCTAGTCAACCTTCTGACTTTAATTTAGAAAAAAATATCAAAGAAACCCCTGATGGTTATTTACCGACTCAATGAGTAATCGTCATACAACATTGTTATGTAAATCACCAATATTGCATGCTGGAGAGCATGTGGAAATCTCTTTCTTGTGTTGGATATATGGCGTGTGCTTCCCCTCCATTAGAATTAAGTGTAGCTGTCAGGCCTGTTTCCAAATACCTGGCTCATGCAATGGTATAATTGGATTCATAACTTAATCACTGTGGCACATCTTAGATGAAAAGTTGCCCATGTAATAATATAACTGTCCAAGGTACCATAAACGGACACTTTTCCACACCTTTTCTAAATTATCTGAAATGTTTTTTTTTTTTTTTTTTTTTGTTTGTTTGTTTAGTGCCTTTGTTCTAAGGGCAAGAAAGGAAAAAAAATCTAATACAGAGTGACTACATGGTGTGATCATGACTTTATGGGTTCATGGGTATGATGGAGGGTAACCAACACATTAGTTATATAATTATCAACTTACATAAAGATAATTTCATATCTTTGAGGCATCTTTGATCATGACTTAGCAATGATGATTTTAATTTAATTGAAAGATGAAAGATAAAGGGAAACGTCTGAAGAGTGACATGGTGTTTGTTTTTGTGTGTTTTAGAATGTTAGTGTGTGTGTGTGTGTGTGTGTGTGTGGATTCTCAGGGCTGTTTAATTGCTTTCCAGAACACGTGCATAATTAAATCTATTTTATTATTATGTGTGTTAATTAATGAGCTTAAGGGGCATGTATTCACACTGATGAAATGTTCACTCTGTGTTTGGAGGAATTCTTTTGATGTTTATGTCTTTTCATGCCGCTCATTCTGATTATCCAAATTAGTATGAGGGTATTGTCCATACTGTATGTGTTCATTGTACTTGTGGATTGGACTTGGCAGGATAAGCAGTGCTGACACTGACACTGTTAGTGACACTGGTGAACCTTGTCATATTAGCACATTGCCACGATGCCCTGAACTGAATGACTTGAGTGCGATTTTTTTTCTGATATCATCTTCAAGTTTTACCCTGATTTTTTTGTGTATGTGTATGAATGTTTTGTAACTTTTTTGTAATTTTTTAATTGAATGTCATATTATATTTAAATTACCAAAGGGTTTGAAGAAAGAAGGCTGTTTTGTTAGCATTTTAACATTTTTCCCCAATTTTATGAATAATTTTACACCCTTTATGAAATAACCTCAGAATACTGGATTTTTGTTCATTATTGATAACTGCCTTCTGCATTTCTTGCCATGTTTTTCATGTACAGAAATGCAAAGCTAAAGTGTTTCTGAAACAAGTACAAAAATGGAATTCAAAAACAAACAAACAACAAAAAAGACAGTTTTGCACATTTTCTGTACTCAGAAGCAGCCTGTTTTAAAGTTCAAAGAAAAACTTTGTGAAAGGATATTAAGCTATATTAAAGTTTTAAAAAAATCACAGAAGAGGTTTCTGTTATGATGAAGAAGCTTTCTATTATGATGAAATAATGCAACACATTTATAAATTTGCCCTTTTTTTTATTCTGCTGTTGAGTCTGTATAACACAAAATTTGTGTTCAAGCATTTTGAAAAATCAATGACAGTCGAAATGGATGCAAACAATTTTACAAGAGGCTATAAAAACTGCAAAATTATTATGCAACAACAGACTGTAGTAATGATCATGATGTTCATATAAAGACACCCTAATTACATGATAAATGTGAAAGGTCAGTTATTGAATTAAACATTATACAGTCATGTAAACCTCCTCTAGCCAAGTGCTGCCTACATTGAAACAGTGTTGATATCATTTAATTAGGTGCAATAAAATGTAAAAATTCTTAGATAAATTTTTAACCATTTATTTCATGAGTAATTAATTCACTGAGATAATTATCATAGCAACAACCTGGGCTTTTTTAAAAAGTTTTCTGAGCCTTTGGAAGCTAAGGATATTTAGTCTCGACAAACTGCAATTACAGTCATTGTTATAGAAAGAGGAAATGGATACCCCTGCGGAGAAGGTTGTGCAACACGAAAAAATATGCAATAAGTATCAGTCTTCAAGAGACGGAAACTAGTTTAGAGGACAGATGGGTCTGCTTTTCAATTGCAGTGGTGAAAAGCTAAAAGAAAATTCACCGAGGCACTAGAAAATTCACTGAGGCAGTGCCATTGATGTTTTTTTCCATCACAGATCAAAAGAAAGCTAATACATTGTATTTGTAAAAAAAAACTTGAAAACCTAGACTTAATCCTTATTGAGACATGTAATTAAATTTCTTATTTAACATATCTCATATTTCAGTAAAGATGTTTTCTAAAAATTTGTGATACATTCAATTTTGTAAAGAAATAAAAGAGTAAAGATTCCTTTACATCCGTGATGAATTTCATTTCTATCTGAACTTCAACATTTATAACATTAATAATGTGCTACACCTGCATGAATATCAACCTAAAAGTCAAAGGATGTTTTCTTGATTACAGCTTTTGTTAATTTTACGTGTTAATATGTGATGCTCTGACTTGGATAATGATAAAATTGTCCCCAGTACCAAAAATATCGACTCCATTCCATTTCATTCCTAACTTCAAAATCATTTATACTCGTATTTCATGTCCTTCATTTTATTTAATATGTACTATAACAGTAATAATCTTCACTGCAATATTACATGTTTATCACTGTAAATAGGTTTGTGCATAAGTGTCTGCATTTGTATGTATGCTTGTATATGTATGCATGTACCTGGTAATTATTTATTTTTGAATATTGGCCATTTTTCTATCATAATACAAAGCTCCATTTAAACAATTATTAATGACACATACAATGTGTATTAAAACTACATTTAGTAATTTCTTAAGTTTATATTTTGATTTAAAAATTTATAAGGTTTAATACCCCACAGAATATTGATCAGATTAATGAAAAACAACATTTCTTTTAGGTGGCAAAAAACCCTCCCCCAAACGGGGACCTCCACCTCCTCTTCCAAGGGCAGATGAAGTTCCAGAGCACTCTATCGCTGCTGTAAAACATGGAAAAGATCACAGTAGCACAGTCTCTGTAAATGCAGCAGCCTCTCAGTCTAAAGAGACTGACACAACAGTATCCACAGTGCCAAAGAAAACTGTAGACACAGCATCCTCTCATTCAAAAGTGACTAATACAACTGTATCGCCAGTGCCAAAAGACAATACCCCCATCACAGAAGAGGGGTCCAAGTCTGAAAACACTAGTCCCTCAGATGGCGTACCTGTTATGAGACGAAAAAGCATAGGACCTGGTATTGATATACCCGAATCCTTGGGGGAGGACCTCATTGAACTGGTGCGGAGGAACACCAAGTTGAGTTATGAACTTTCAAGGGTTGCCGTGGGAACTGTTGTCAGCACCTTAAAAGACAAAATCCCTGGGGTTGCCATGGCAATGGAGGAGGTTTTAAAGAATCTGCTGCACACACAGGTGGGGATGGCATTGACTTATGTCCAATAAGTGATTTGTTTTCATTATTGTTCAGCGAAATGCAAGTATGACATTTTTTTAAAATTTATTTGTACCTATATCTTCTATGAAAAAATATTTTCATATTACAGATTGCAGAAGTCGACTTCAAAAATGTTTGGTATGACTATATGCTATTGTGTTCTCCCCCATATTCTTTAAATCTATCAGATATTATTTTTTCAGAGAGAGTCTCACAGCCTGGAAGGCAGTCAAGATGCAGTAAGACTTCAAGTGATATTTTCTGAGATCTCTGCTTGCAAAGACGACTCTCAGCAGCGAGGCTGGTCCCTCTATGAAGATGAATCAGTCATACTGGAATACTTAGAGGAGCTGTTATCAATACTTGTAAGTAATGCCAGGATGTACATATTAGTTCTTAGGATGCCCCTTTCCATCCCTTCTAGGCTTCAAAGAATTTTAGAATCCTTTTTTAAAATTGGCTCTGAAGTTCTTGACCATTTATAAAAAGTTTTCACGATTAAAAAATTTAAGTCCTGTTTTTTTACCACCCTGAGAACTTTTGACTTCAAACTAGTTATCTCTCTTTAATTTTATTTCCATGTAGTCTTTACAATTAAAATTATTCTTGAAGAAAAAATTGCATGTGTACTTTGACTTTTTTCAATTTAGAACATTGCTAAATCATTTATGTCTGTCCATTTGACAGCTTTGTGGCCTTGTTTCATTACAGAATGGTGCTAATCCAGACATCTGCCGGCAAATTGTCTCAATGGAAAAATATGAAGCCGTGGACACCCTAGTGGTTTACTATCAAATGGTATGTACTTGAATGAAAGTTTTGCAGGTAGATCAGTAATTAAGTGTTAAAGTTCTGTTTTAAAACAAGCAATAACAAGTTGAATGATACCATGAATTTAGCAAAATAAACATTAATTTACAAAAGAAAATGCCATAATCCTTATGTTTGTGAATTGGTAAAAAGGTAGTAAATATGCTGATCTGGGTATTACATTTACTTCATATTTATATTGAAATTTGAAATATCTTATTGAAATAACTTATGGAAGAAAGGAAACGGGTGAACAAATAGGACTTGCACTAAAATACCTATTAGAAGAAACAGGTGTGCACAATTGGCAGACAGTGCACATTAATTTTTCATTACGTGACTTTTGACCCTTTGAACACATGACAATAGATATAAGTATTTCAAAATGGATACGCATCTTCACTAATAGGTTTTGAATTACTGGATAAAGGTAGTGTACTGTAGATGTGTCAATCTGATATTGGGATCTGTCCGTGTTATTGTACAGTTATAGTCTGGGTGTGAGAGTAATGGCTGTAATTCCAGTCAATAAATGCAATATAATACCCAGTACAAATCACGTGTAATATTTTCCAACAGTCGGGTAAATCACACAATGGCACCAACTCATATAAAATAGGTTGGTTAGGGACAAAGATTGGTTTGTTAACAAAAAAAAAAGATATAACTATAGAAGAATCACACCACTTGTCAAGTATGCATGTATATAAACCCCAACTACAATTTATTGCTTTTTTTTAACAATAAAGAGAGATTGCATGGGCTATGGTGTAAAAACTAGAGACTTGGGAATAATTTTTAAATAAACTGTAGCCTGCTTTGGACAGTAATAAAATTTATCGGTCCAACTAATCAGCAGGGGAATTATGATGGAGTATAGGCCATTGTCCTATTTTAATTTTGATAAAGAAAATTGAAAAATATTAATTACAAGACTTTTTGCAAAAAAAATTGTATTTATTTTCATAATTATTATTAGGAAACCAGGAAGTCCATACGTTTGCAGTTACTACAAGTATTTGGTGCTTTATGTGGTCTGGATGCTAAAATCATCTCTATGCTGTTGACTACTATATTACCAATAGAACTTGCCAGGGACATGCAGACAGACACAGGTAAATATAGTTGTGATCACTGTGTTTTCATATTAAAACATATATATATATATGTTTTTTTTTTTTTTTTTGTGTCCCATTGGTATTTCCTGGCTGTAACATTATGTGCAAATATTGGCTGCAGTTACCAACTGTTGCTGGAAATACAATGAAGGTTGTAACAACATTATTGTTGCATTATTGAAAGTCATTGTTACATCAATTGTTTTTGTATTATGGGATATACTGAGCATTGTTATGTCAAGATTTATTATGGGAAGACTTTGACCATTGTTACATCAACAATTGCTGTTGCATAATGGGAAGATATTGTTACATCAACAATTGCTGTTGTATTATGGGAAGACATTGTTACATCAACAATTGCTGTTGTATTATGGGAAGATATTGTTACATCAACAATTGGTATTGTATTATGGGATGCCATATTGTTACATCAACAATTGCTGTTGTATTATGGGAAGCCACATTGTTACATCAACAATTGCTGTTGTATTATGGGAAGCCACATTGTTACATCAACAATTGGTATTGTATTATGGGAAGACATAATTGTTACATCAACAATTGCTGTTGTATTATGGGAAGACATTGTTTCATCAACAATTGCTGTTGTATTATGGGAAAACATTGGGGAAACCTGAAGTCTCAAGTCTTTGCAAACCAATGATTTAACAATTTTTTGTGAAAATTAGATACTGGTAATAGAGACTTGCTTGTTGGTAAATGATGTAGAATATGTTTTGCTTCATTTCAGATATTCAGAAGTTGAGTTACTCATCCCTTGTGTTGACAATGATATTTTCAATGGGAGAACCCTTGCCATTCCATACATATGGTAAGTGATCACTTGATGGAATGATTCTATTATGATGATGCACAGTAATGCATTTGCTGTGATGTGGTTGTGCTTGGTGATTGTGCTTTTACCAGCACTGGATCATCAACTTTAATTTTTATGAAATTGTCAATGCAGAAGTCACTAATACATAGAGGGAGCATATTTCAAAATTATGATTGGTTTGTTATTCTTGAAAAATAATACAAAAATTAGACAATTTTGTTTTCTTTTTTTAATGTTTAAACAGCACCTAGGATATAAAAAGGGGATTTGATTAACCCTGTCCACTTTATACAACCTTTGATTCTATGAGAATTTTCATTTAACTGCAGTGATGTTACTGAATACCTTCTCTTTCTCTTTTCAGAACATTTGAACAAAACGTTTGTTAGTTTCCTATTCAGCAGTATAGAAAACCCCCTGGCAGAAGATGTTGAGGAGGTTCTCTCGGATTCCTATGTGAACTTGATCCTCTCGTTCAACCTGCACTTCCAGCAGTTTAAAGATAACTTGGTCATGCAAGTCTTGGCAGAGAGAGGAACCTCGAAGACATTTACAGAGAAAGTCTTATTGTTGGTTAACAGAGAAGGTGAGAAAGGGTCAGTGAGTTTGGAAGGTCAAATTGAAGAGATTTTTTCTGTAAAGTTTAAGGGTGCTTTTCCAGAGGTTTAGATCAATCTAAAGATTAAATTTTAGATCGACCTAACTCCCTGGGGGTTCACGCTAAATTGCAGTCAGCCGAGCGGACACCATAGTTCATTACCCCTTTACAGCTTTTAGTAGGCGGGACAGCCGCTTAAGCCGGCCAAGCTGACAGTAATCTAGTGAGACTCCCCACAGGAATAGATCGATCTAAAAATCTATGGAAATGGGGTGTAACATATTTATTAGCACATGCTTTCCAGATGTGCAGAAGTTTTTTTGATTGTAAAATTTGATGAACAGTATTTGATTTTGATGTTTTATTTTAATAGAAAAGGTGTGACTGAAGCCATTGAGTTGGCGATAAAAATATCAAATGAGTCCTAAGTGTTGATTAATATTTTTTTTATATAATTCTAAAATGATTGTTCCAAATTTTGGTAAATACATGTGTGTGGTTAATTGTGACATTATAGAATCCATATTACTATCAGTGATTTTCATTCATTTATATATACTGAAAATAGCTTGCTAAATCTCGGTCCCAATCACCCTGTGTTTATATTTTAAACACAGGATGATTGGGAGCAATCACCCTGTTTATATTTTAAAACATATGCTCTTATGATTTGTTTTTAGCTGACCCAGTGAGGATGTTTGAGCATGATCCCAAGCCCCCTCACTCCGTACTGAAGCTGTTCATGGACATATTTTCCCAACCCGAGACTGCTGGTGTCCTCTATACCAATGATGCCAAGGTGCTGATAGATATTGTCATTAGGCAGATCACAGATCTTTCACCAGGAGATGCAGTAAGTTTTTGTATTCTTTTTGTTATCTGTCTGATAGTTTTAGCTAATATTAACCACTCTTTCCACAAACAGAAAAATTTAGCAAAATATCAATGTTCATCAAACACTGCATTGGCCATGGGACATAAAGGAGAACCATTCTTATTGCTATTGTATTATGGGAAGACTGACCATTGTTACATCAAAAATTGCTGTACTGTTGTATTATGGGAAGACATTAACCATTGTTACATCAACAGTTGCTGTTGTATTATGGGAAGATATAGACCATTGTTACATCAACAATTGCTGTTGTATTATGGGAAGCCATATTGTTACATCAACAATTGCTGTTGTATTATGGGAAGATATAGACCATTGTTACATCAACAATTGCTGTTGTATTATGGGAAGCCATATTGTTACATCAACAATTGCTGTTGTTATATGGGAAGATTTTAGCATATAGTTTGATAATACCAGTATTTTTTCTGACTTCAGATGAGAACAGAGTATCTTTCCCTTATCCACCTGATCTTTAAGAACTCAGACTACTCAGAACACATGCACAGAAGCTCAGAACTGCAGAGTCTCTTCATGAAAGTATCCCGAGAGGAGGCAAAAGAGAGCGAGATGGATAAATTGATAGTGCAGCAGATTTGGTCAGATTTTCCACAGTATTTCGGTAGCGCAGTTTGATATCCTCAGCAGTGGGAGATGGATCGGGATGAATGGTATCAAGCACTGCCAGATGTTCACGAGAATGACTTAGGCCAGTGGACAGAGAAACAGCTGAAGGCCTTGTAGAACCTGAGATGGAAATGACCTTGGCTTGCAAAATTCTACAAAATTAAAGCTACGACCTATGACTTTGAAGTTGACAGGCACTCAGAATTTACATGAAATGTACTGTTGGGTGTCAGGACATGTTATACTTAGTAGCAGTCTTTTAAAGGTAGCCATATTAGAAATGCTTTTAAAAAACGGCTGAAAAGTTGGTTTAAAGAAATTAATGGTTGAAAAGCATTGTATTAGCAGAGAGTCCAGAAGATGATTGGCTGTGGATCAGTGCCATTAAATAGAGACTGAAATAAGAAAAAAAAATCGCCATCACTAAAATTATAATTTTGAAAAGTTAGTCCATGTAAGTGATTTTTACCTATTACGTTTTTGCCCAATGGGGCTTTAGTACAATTTAAAGCTATTTTTGAATATCTAAAGTACTGTTTTTTTATTTCATCAAATAATATTTGATTAAATAATCTTACATGAATTATCAAAGTTCAGAACAAATATGAAGCACTAGTTGCATATTATGTTCTAATTTACAATATTTAGGATTATTAATCACAACTTATTCAGCACAAAGTGGAATGTTGCTAAAAGAGACAAATGGACTTCTCTAAAATTAAAATTTGGAAATTGCACCAGCTGGTGAAAGAATTTTGGCTTCTTAAACTTGACTGAAGTGCCATACCACAGTTTTCAGTTTTAAACATGCAGAACTTAAGAAGTAAGAATCATTTCACATTTTGACTGTATACTACTAAAATCCTTTTATAACATTGACTTTTTTAGTGTTGTATTTTGAACTTTTACATTGTTTATCTGTGTATGTAAGCCATTTGGTGTGAAAATTAATGACATTTCTTTTCTTGTGCATGTATAAACTGTGATTATGGTATTTTTTTAAAAATTGTTTAAATGTAAACCTTGTCAATATTTGACAACTAACCTCACATTCAAGTCTTCCAAATTATGGATAAAGTATTATTATTGGAGATTTAGGGGAGTTTTCTAAGACTGCTCACAACATGCCTAGCATGAAGTCCTTTCCTTATGCAGAAAAAGTTGCAATTGTAATGAATGGGTAAAGATGGTGCAATATTGTAGAAGCTCAAATGAACTTGTGATTGCAAATTTTTTTCATACCTATTTTAAATTATATTTGGTGGAATAAATTGATGTTTAAACACATTTTGTCTCTTCAGTATTTTCTTCCACATACTCGACCTGTTGAGTTAAAATGTTATAACTACATGGGTATATGCCTAAGGTAAAAAATTAATAAAGTCTAAACTCAAAATCATATTTATACTTTTTAATATGAATAAACATACACATAAAATAACATACTCTTACTGTAAAAGAAATATCATTTGGTCCCACTTAATTTACAAATATTCTGAAAAAAAAACCCCAACAATTCCTTAACACGTGACTAACCACTAGGAAGAAGACTTGTACTCAGTACTGCAAATTTATTATATATGCATGATCTTCAACAATGGATATCCATTTTCATTGCACCTCTTCCCCCAACCCAATCTATAGTGTAATATAGACTAGATGCTTCTGTTTGAAAATGATTTGTCTGAAGCTGCTGGATTGATGCAACTCTCCCAATGTATTGGCACCACTTGTGTTCAAAGAATTAAATTATTTGGATTAAATTTGGTAGGGACAAATATCCATCTAGGTAATGAGAACCAAGGCTTAATGTTCATCTCAACATAAAATATTCCAGTTGGTTTCAGTAGACCTAAATCTGCACTGCAGAAGATGTCTGCTGATTTAGAAACCATCTGGGGGATTTCTTCGACTATACAAACATTTTCAATAGTTTTTGTCATAGCCTGTACTTGCCTCATATTAAGTGCCATACATTGTCAAACATACATGCCTTAAAGGCTGCTTCATCATGTTAAGTAACAGAGTCTGGCCGCTTTAAGAAATTCAATGTTCAATGGATGAACATGACCACTCACTTGACTGAGGTGGTCTTAAAACAAATTTGAGTAACTGCTGAGTGTGTAATTAGTGGCCAGAGAGATCGTCAGCTGGTAATTGTCAATGACAAAGCTAGGAAACTTCAACACTTCTATTTTACTTTTCCTAAATTACTTAACTCCCCTAAACAGCAGTCCACTTTATGGGTCAATATGACCACTGTAGTTAATACAGAAGAATTAATAAATATACATATTTGTCCTGTCACAGTAAAAGCATTAGAGAAATTGTAGTTCTGCCACCGGTCAGGAAAATTTGAATCCTTTGCTTGTCAGATCTTTCTTGGCTTCTTCAATTTGCTGAAGAATAATTAAATGAACATTCAAAGTATTCACAATTTAAATGCAACCTTAAACAGTTATTTGGATTGACTTATGGTTGTCCTACTTCAGCATTAATATCATTTAAATACAATATCTATTATAAAGTTAATAACTGTTTTACAATTTATTTAATTCAATTAAATAATTTTTGATGAGGGTAGGATTGCTTTGGGGATATATTTTACGTGCAATCATGAAAAAATAATGAAAAGAACACAAAATCTTTCTAAACTAATTTGGAAACTAGACTCACTTGTTTGAGTTCCTCAGCAGCCTCTTCACAGTCATTGAATGTGACCACTCTGTAGCCTACTGTAGCCAGAGCCCAACACTGGAGTAATAATAATAATAATATGAAGAAGAAGTAAATAAAAATAACTGGTCAATGAATTAGGCTGTGTTTAACAAAAAGACGTTGAAAATTCTTCTTTGCACTAAAAAAAGACTTAAAAGGTATTATTTTTCAGTATCATGTAACATAGAATTTAGAACAAATTCTTTAAGTCCACTAAATGCAATTTTCTATTATTACTATTTTGGTGGATATATCCCAGCAATCTAATCTAAGCCCAACTGAATATTTGTGAAAAGACCCTCACAATCATACTAACCTCTGAACATGTTGGAAATCTATTGTTACAATTGCACAGTTTATTGTCAGTTTTGAGATAATCACTTGTTTTTTTTTAAATTCATTTCAAGAGATACATCTTCAATTAAAATACAAAGACAATTTTATCAAATAGGAGTACTCACTCCAAAACATATCACAGCATAAATTGGTGCCTGCAAAAAAAAGTCAAAATAATCACATATTTATAACCAGTCAGCTAAAAGAATTACTTTACATCAGTATAGCTGTCTATTGTAGCTAGGCTAGTTTGACAAAATAAAATGACCTTGGGATTTATCTCAAAAGACTTCTTTGAAATTCTAATTGAAATTCTTATGTTTATTTATTCATTTTCTTGTGGTAGAATGAAGCTTAAATCATTCAAATATAAGTGCACTCTTGAGTTTCTTTTGTTATACATGTATTACTTATAAATGGATCTCAAACAACACCAATTTTAAAGTGGTCTCACCATCCAAACGACATTTTTCCAGGCCTGTGACATGTTGACGGGGACACTTTCCGTGACGACTGCCGTCCATACACCTGCCAAAAGGCTGAGCACAAACAACCACTGCATTAATTTTGTCATTGTGCTGCCTCTTTCTTTCCCTCTGTTACCTGAATAAAGAGAAGGTGAGACTTTTGACACAAATGAAAAATGAATACACAAATAATTATATTAAAAAATAAAATAAAATAAAATGAAATAAAAATAATGAAAAAATAAAACTAGCAATTTGAAGTTTCTTGTTGAAAAGCAACCATGCAGTGAGAAAATCTAATTGATACATTAATGCAGACTGGTTTCTCTCAGTACATACATCTTTAAACCGAACAGAAAAAAAAAATATGCAGCTGTTGTCAAAATTATTGACAGTTCAGTCACTTAAAATACTAAATGTTTACACAAGTCAGCATCAGCTTGCAGTGCAATAGGGGCATAAGAGAAGAACACAGCTTTGGTTCGGGTCACTGAGATTTTGCAGTTTCTGTAACAAAATGCTGTGATTTGCGAGCGGTATTGTGAAATGGCTTGCAAACGTGTTGTTATATTTTACAAAGTATGGTACAAGTGCAGCAAAAGCCTTGGAATCATTTTCACACCATCGTTCAATTTTTTTTTAAACAATCAACTTGAAGTAGATACACATCACTCAGAAATTAACTGGTTCACTCTAGATTTACCTGGAATAGGAATTCAGGACCCACATCCCATGCTTAAACAGAGAATGTTAATGTTTAACAACCAAAGTTAAAAAATTCTTCTAAAATACATTTTCCCTTCATTTATTTTTTTTTGGGGGGGGGGGGAGGAGAAGAGATCATTTATATTCCTTTCTTTGTCTTTAGTTACTTGTAATAACCTTTTAAAATTCCACACATGCTTCCATGTCATTTTATTTTTCACATTCATCTTTAATGAGCTTTTTTCTTATGAAAAGAAATTAATTTTTATGTTTTTAATATGCGTACTATTATGTAATTAAGAACAATTGAAATTTCTTGAATTTAAAGATAAAGATTGATACTCCACGTATTTTTTTAAAAAGTTTGGACACTTAGTGTTTTGTATAAACAAGTAAAATACAGCCAAGATTTAGACAATAACAGCTGTTCTCATGGAGCATTTCATAATTAACCATTACCATGTGTTTAATATCATAATTATTCGCATTATAAAATTAAGACATCAAAATTAAATTTAAAATTAAGTTTTTCATTTTCATATAAAACATATATTATCTGAGATGCACAATAATATGACTTATATCTTTCATCATTCAAATATTTCACTAACATATAAATCCTGTTACATTTCAGCCAGTTTAATGCTTTAAATATTCAAGATTAATTACCTTGTTGCTGGATTATACTTAAGAGTTAAAATGGGTAATATTTTATATATTTGAAGAATAAATAGCACATTCAGTTAAATAAAACATTTAAAACTTGCAAAAGATTATCATCACTACAGATAATATCTCTAACAAAAGTACAATCACAATTTGATAGTAATAATCAACGACAACTGACACAACATAAGGAATTTAGCTTGTTCTTATTGACCTTTCTATTTAATTTCCATCATTTTTTAAAATTATGATTACTGATGAGCTATCTTTCAAAATATCTAGCTATGGCAAATATTTTATAAACATCCTGTGAAATCAAATATAACCTGGGTTTCTATATTCCATAGCAATATTGTCAACCGCATCCACAATGTTAGTGACTAAAGCAGCCAACACCGTTATAGTAAATGCAGTTTTCATTCATACAATATTCATACCCCTATTTCAGGAAACCCAATGCATACATACTATAAAATATTTCTAAGGCATCTACCACTTTGTCAACTTAGACTAGCATAACTTATATACAGCCTGTTTAATTCTTGAACAGCACACATTTACATACTGTAGTTAAGTGTTCATATATACCTAAGTACAAATCTGAATTAAGTCTTTCCATCAATTTGAAACCAGAATAATTTTCCTTCCAAATTTTGATTGTAATTTATCTTAATCAACAGAATTACACATATTCCTAGCACAGACTAACAAATGTCCACAAATGTCATATACCAAAAAAAAAAAATAATAATAATAATAATAAATAAAAAAAATCAAATAATAATAATAATAAATAAATAATAATATTAAAGAAATAAAGCAACTACATTTCTATAAATTTAGCATCTTAAGCTAAGCATAATCAAGTTAACAACATGTTTGTAATGTCACTACAAAACAATTTTTCTTATTAAAGAACTTTTTTCAAACTTCTGATCCAAATCACTTCAGTTCTCCCTGGGTTTAATAACCTCCAGCACTTTCCTCACATCACCCTGGTGCTCCACCAGAAGTCTGCTCAGCCAACCATTATCATTGCGATAACCTCTCAATTCCAGATTCCGCAAGCCTTTGCTGATTTTAGCCTCGTGACCTTCAGAGAACTCCTTGTCCTTGTAGCCCATTTGCTGTTTCGTAGCCCCCTCCAAAGTGCTAGTGTCAATGTCCATGGCATCGCAATCACTGCTGGCCTCTTTTTCTTTTTGGTTTTCTTCAGCTTGGGGAAACTCTGTGGTGGTACATCTTGGACAGTGGTCAAAGTCTTGATGAAGCTGGTGCATATAATGACACCATCCCCTGTGTCCACGATGGCCAAGGTGTCCATGGCCAAAACCATGACCATGATGCCCAAATCGTCCTGGCTCTCCAAATGACCAGTCCACCTCACTTCCATCTTCACCAGCACCCTGTGGGTCACTGCCTGTTGGTCCACTCTCAAAGAAACACAGATTGACGTCTGGTGTTTCCCTGTTGTTTTCACCTTCTTTATCTGCTGTGCCACCCTGTGCTGTTTTTTCTTCATCATTTTTGGCGTGTGGTTTCATATAGGGGTGCATTCTTCCCCAGCCATGGCACATCCCTCGCATCATGTGGGGTGGGGGTGAAAAGGGAGGGTGACCATCTGTGCCCTCCTCCATGTAAAAAGAGGGTGGAAAGGATGGTCGCACCTCTTCAAACCCTGGATGAAAGGGTGGTGGCTGCATGGGTCCCCAGGGTCCCCTCCCCCTACCTCTACAGCCGTGCCGCCCCCTACCACCCCAGTGCCTACCATAATGACCCCAGGGGTGGCGCTTCCTCTTCTCTGAGTCTGGGGTACCAAAACTGTCATCCCAGCCTGCTCTGGCACCATCTCTGAAAGCTTTTAACACTGGGCTGTTGGAGTCAGTCATAGCCTGTTGGGGATCTGGTTTTTCATCTCGTTTCACATATATGTTGAAGGTGCCATCTTTGGACTGTGCTTGAGAGAGGGCCTCTTTCATTTCTTCCTCTGAGGAAAATGCTATTTTCTCACCTTCCTCGGGATCTTTCCAATACAACTTAAACTTCTGGGAGTTTTGCAGTGCTGGGAATACCTCAGAGACCTTCTGCTTCAGTCCGGAAAATAAGGTGCTTTCTGATGACTGCTGTTCAACGGTAAATCTGCGGATCTCAGATTCTGTGTTTGAGTCCTTCTCTTCTAAGTTGGCTTTCACTCGTAATGCTGCAGCAGCAAACATCTTGGTTTTCTATCCTTTTTAAGCTGTGTAGATTTTCAGCTGCGTGTCTGTATCTTCTTCAGTTTCTTTTATTTCTTCAGGCTGTTATGTCTGCCTACGCCGTTTCTACCTTTCTTCTTTAAACAAGTGAGGTAAAGGAATTCTGCTAGGGCTTTTATATTTAACGTGTGATGTAACGTTGCATCGACGTTGCCTGGATTATTTTTGCAAGTCATCTGCTTAACTGATGCAATACGTGACTGCTATGAAACGTCGACCAGACGTCTTTGGACTTTAATCATTTTTTAAACTGGCTGATCCATTTGTTTATTTGCTATGACTCACTTGCCGAATTTACAGCTTTGGGATTTACCCATGTAACTGCACTAAGTGTGTACTATAACCGGGACCACTATTACTTACTTTACCAGTATCCAAATGTATTTTATCTGTCGGACAGTATCAGTTGTCCAACTTGTCCTGTAAAAGTAAAAATCAAACGTACCTGTATTAATAAACCGACTTCACATGGCGTAAAGAGACAGAAACAGGACCTAACGAGTCAAACTGTCGTTATAAAGCATGCACTTTTTCATGTTTATAAATATAATATAACACATGCAAAAGGAAATAAAATTTTACTTTATTCAAATCATCTGTACTACTGATTTGCATAAATGATGTATACTTGATATTTGCCGGTCCGTTTACGACACAGTATTGTGGCAACAACCCCGCAGCTTGGAAAATCCTCAAAATCTGTTGGCCAAAAACTGCCCCGTTGACAAGTGAGTGCCCGTATGACAGGTAGACACTCGGAACTATTCGGATGTCTCCGCATTCGACAATAACCTCGGACGTAATACGGAGGCAGCCATATTTGATTGTTGATTGTTGGGAAGGAACTACTTTCAAATTTTTTCCATATAGCCCGTTCGTGAAACAGCCAAAGTATCATGTCTGTAGTACAAATATTTCAACGTCTGTATCTGTTTATCCTTTAAATCAAACTCAATCCTAGTGCATTGTTTGGCAAACTGTAAATTATCATAAAAATCAGGGGTATTGACAGCCCTCTTTATGAGCGGAATGATCGATTGAGTGAGAAAGCATTTCCGGCGAACAAAATGCATGGATTTGGTGCATATTTCTCCGCCTATCACATCCGAGGTTAGTATGGAGCTTGCGGAATGAGCCGAGGATTGCCGATTGACAGGTAGATGGATTGAACGACGAACAGTCTCTCTTGTTTGAACAATCGACGATTGATTTTACAGCGACACCTATGGTTTTTGTCTGCTATGCCATTCAGTAAAGGAAAGGGGAAGAAAATGGAGTCATTCTGGGCGAAATCAGTGAAAATCGCTCTTGTCGTTTCTGCTTATTGGTAAGTACAGTTTCATCACCCGCTTTGGGTCAGTCTCGTTTAGGATGGTTTATTAAAGCTTTTACCGATGAGTTTGTCATGCATTTGTTTGTTGACTACCGGGGATTAGTTAAGCTTGTTGACATGCAGAGATTAATTATAATGTGAACAGCCCTAGGGTAATTGAATAACGTCAGTGGCAGTGTTCCTAAATCCCAAAGGCCAGTTTATTTGTGTGTTGAATTTAAAATTGAATATTTGTTGTTGTTTTTACTTTTCCTTTTTTTTTTAAATAATTTTTTCACATTTCTATGAACTTTATTACTTTGTTGTTTTTTACTGACATTTTTAAATGAGTTCTCACCCTTTCAAGTCCCCAATCCTGATTTTAACAACACACTTCAAGAAATATAATATTGATAATTTTCCATTAAATTTTTACAATTTTTATCTTTATCACCAAGGTACAGTATAACCTATTAAAAATGTTTTAAAAATTACAAACTGTCAACCCTTTAAACAAATTCAAGGATCTAAACTCTGCTTTTAACAGCCATGAATGGCATGAACAACAGTGAGTGACATTCACTGAAAATTCTTCATAAAATCTAGAAACTTGGGAACTCAAAACAGGCTTTTGGAGCATAAATTTATAAACAGTTTTTAGTGTGGTATACTTCCCTTAGTGATTAAGGAAAAGTTCTAAAATTTCCAGAAAATGAATCAAGGCCTAACATTCATCATACCCAAGATGGATTTATTTTATTATTGAGTTCAGCAGTATATTTTATGGTATATTCCTGTATTACTTCAGGCATATATTTTATACAGATACATACACAGCAGCATACCAATTAGCTGAAATGCATTTGTACATTTTTTAACAGAGCATGTATCTTAGACTGCATTCCCACAGATTTTAGATCAATCTATCCCTGTGGGGAGTCTCACTAGATTACTGTCAGCTTAACAGGCTTAAATGTCTGTCTGGCCTACTAAAAGCTGTAAGGGGGTAATTAACTTCCGTGTGCGCTCGGCTGACAGCGATTTAGCATGAACCCCCAGGGAGTTAAGTCGATCTAGATGGATCGATCTGAATCTGTGGGAATGCAGTCTTAGCCATATATCATCATCTTAAATGTCATTAGATCAGTTCAAGTTGCTTGAAACTCGGATGATTTGTATTTTGCTCCAGGTCATAATAGACTAAGCATATTGCCTGATAAGAAATATGCAGAAGCCGGGAAAATAATTGGATGTGATATCTATACAGCATAATTTTCAAAACTCATAATGCATATAATTTTCATTCTTATTAAAGGGGTGTGTCTACATATCTGACAAGTACTAATAGTGGAGTGTATTGCTGGCAGTAGGTTGTGATCATAGAGTGTGCAGTTTATTATGTTTCTTGATTATAGTGCTGGGCAATATATTTCCTCTTTCACAATCTTTAACGACTCAATGACATGTGCTTAAAACTCTGCCCTCTCCCCCCCCCCCACACACACCTGCACGTACACACATGCATACACACATGCATATACACATATGCACATACACATATGCACATACATGCATGCACACATGAACATATCAGAACTTTCTTCAAGACACGTATAATTCCCAACCTAATTCTAAATCATACCCATATTTCTCACTGTTGTCTACATACATTTCAGGTTTGTTTCCATATCACTGGTATTTTTGAACAAACATCTCCTAAACAGTAAAGAACTCAAGGTGAGAAGTGATGACCTCTATTTTTTTTTTTTTTTTTTTTTTTTAGATTTTTCTTTTTTTTGTTTGGGAGTGGCAAATATAATCGAACACTAAGGTGACTCAGCAGGCCCGTAGCCAGCAATTTCAAAAGGGGGGTTCTTTTTCTGAAAAAGTGGACCTTTTTAAATAAAAACATCATTAAAATTGACCTCATCATAGATCAAATTTTACCCAAAGTGGACCTTTTCCCAGCAAAAGGGGCGGTTCTTTCGAACCCCCCCAACCCCCCAACCCCCCCTGGCTACGGGCCTGCTCAGTAAGGAGAGAAAAATGAGACAAGAACAGTTCTAAATACTGTATGTTACTTTTGAAATCAATTTTATCTTTTAAGTACAAGTGAAATTAGATGTGCAAAAAAAAAAAAATGTAATGCTGAAACAAGATGTAATACTAGTGGTTTTATTTTTTAATGCATGAAGATTTACCATGTTTTTGACCAGCCTAGATAAAACATGTTTTTCCCTATGTTGTTTCCAGCTTGATGCCCCGTTGTTTGTGACATGGTACCAGTGTGTTGTGACAGTACTGTGCTGTGGTCTGTTAAGTCTCATGACTGCCATATTACCATCTTATGTTTCCTTTCCACCATTTAAAATTGACCTCAAAGTTGCTAGAGAGGTAAGTTAATAATCTAGAGTTGATTTAAAAGGTGTGTGAATTTCAGAAATGGGGAAGGAAGAAAGAATTAAGATTGGGGGGGGGGGGGGGGGATGATTCTAAATTTGATAGGATATTGCCAAATTATTATTATTTGATATAAGATATAGAATAAAGAAAATGTATTGATCAGTGGTAGTCAGTATTACGTTGTCAGCGTTAAAAAAATTATTTAATTTATTATGTACAGACACAGATGTGTNCCTTGTATTTGTTAGATATATATCCGAATTCAAATCCAGTTACAAATACAAAGCTTTAAAAGAGTGGCCAGAGAAGATGGGGGTTGGGGAAAGGCAAATTGAAATGATGTTGCCATGATATAATTCAAAACCAGTTCCCAATAAAGAGAAACCATAAATATAAATTAATATAACAATAAAAAAATAAAATTTAAAATTCAATGGCTCATTTGTTCATATGCTTATTATATTTTGTTATCAAGTATACTCTTTGTTTTAGGTTCTACCTTTATCTGTTGTCTTCATATGTATGATCTCATTCAACAACCTGTGTTTGAGGAATGTCGGAGTGGCATTCTACTTTGTTGGGAGGTCCCTAACAACAGTTTTCAATGTGGTAAGCAAAAGTTAAAATATATAAGATAATTTTAAAGACGTTTCACTAAAACATTTCTTATGTCATTGAATTTCGGTAAAAAATTCAGTCTTAGCCATTCGATTTGCTTTAAAATTTCACATGTGTTTCAATATAAACCAATCGTGCCATTTTATTTTGTCATATAATTCAATACATATTTAATATAGACCATTTCGTATGTCACAGAATTCCAATATATACATCTTATAGTCTTCACCATTCTAGATTTTAACCTATGAGGTCATACATCCCATTACATATGTCAGAGAATCCCAATACACATATTAGTATTATTACAATCTTTCACATTCCAGATATTAACCTATTTCGTTCTGGGCCAGAGTACGTCCTGGAGAGCTATAACATGCTGTGCTGTGATCATTGGCGGATTCTGCTTAGGTGTCAACCAGGAGGGGGCGTCAGGTAAGTGCCATGGCGACTGTCGCTGGTTTTATAGTCTCTTCATCTTTTTTTCTGTCCACAGTGAATCTTGTCAAATTTTTAGGTCTCGCTAGGTCTGTTCTTTTGTCTTAGAAAAGCACCGAGATTTAAAGATGTTTGGGTGTAGTTTAAACTGACACCTGACTGCATGTAAGAAGTGGACTCAGCATTCAGTAATATTGGTAGGAATGGTTTGCCCACATTAAATGTACTTGACACAGTTGAATTGGCTAATAATGAGACTAAAAATCATGTCAAGACGATCATAATTTGGATGAAGTAAAAAGGCTGAAAAATAGGAGAAAGTGGCTCGAAATGCAACTTCATTGGCACAGACTGAATAACACCAAAGTTGTTTTTCATTATTAATCAGGCCCCAATTTTAACACTCTTTGTCAATATTGTTCAGTGTGTGTAGTTTAAAAGTGTCATATGTAAATTCTGTGTCTGTCTTTAATGCCACCAACCTTTTGCTTCTCTAAGGTACTAAAATGAACTATTTATGGGTTGCCTGCATACATGAGGCAGAATTTTCACCCATAAATGCACTCAGGCTTGGAGTGATATACATGTAAATGATGAATATTTAATAAGTGCAGCTGCAGTATTTATACCTTTACATATGAAGTCACCTCTAGACTATAAATTTAGTTTTATTTGTCAGTGTATTACATTGGTATGTACTTAAATTGATAAAAAAAATAGAATTTTCTCTAATTGATATAAATCAATTCCATAAAAAATAAGAACTTTAGTTGATGTCAATTCCAAATAAACTATAACTTCAGTTTTTTACAAAATCTACTCCCAGCCCTTTTCTTCATTCCCAGGGTCTCTGTCGGTCAGTGGAGTTATGTTTGGAGTCCTGGCCAGTTTGTTTGTAGCCCTAAATGCCATCTACACCAAGAAAGTCCTCCCAGCAGTGGACAACAACGTGTGGCGGTTAGCCCTCTACAATAACTTCAATGCCTCATTCCTCTTCATACCACTGATGCTCCTGTTTGGGGAGCTCCCAGAAGTCTACTACTTTCCGAAACTTTTCGATCTGCAGTTTTGGTTCTTCATGAACATAAGTGGAGTGTTCGGGTTTGCCATTGGCTATGTAACTGGACTGCAGATTCAGGTGACGTCGCCCCTGACCCATAATATCTCTGGCACAGCCAAGGCGTGCGCTCAGACGGTCCTAGGCTGCATTTATTTCCAGGAGACAAAGCTGTTCCTGTGGTGGCTGAGTAACTTTGTCGTGCTCGGTGGCTCGTTCGCGTACACGCTTGTGCGTCGGGCAGAGATGAAGGAATCTCACAGGGCGGAGCAGAAGGCAGAAAGTTTAGCATCGGTGGATGTGGAGAACTCTGGGAAGGGTGATATAAAGTCGTAGTTGTTGGGATTGTTTAGCATAATTATTATGGTAGCAATATGGGTAGACGGAGTGTCTGTCTGTATAATTTTGTTTCACACGGTGGGATTGAATATCTACCAGTTGTTTGACAGCTATGTCTTTGTCTCTAATGTGGTGTTTCGTTGCATTCTGGTTTTCTGTAATAGTAATATTCTTATTAATTCTTTACAGTTTATTTTTATATTTTTGTCTCTTATCTGTAGGTGAAACAAACAGCCCAAAACTATGGGTCATATAAATATTGGCGCACTAGATATTTATTGGTTAATATGTTTATAGGTATAAAGAGTGCTAAACCTTCAGATAGCAAAAAATTATATTTTCCTGGAAATTTCAGTACTTCTTTAATCTCCAAGATGCACCATATTCAAAACCATGGTTTTGAGTATCTTTCATAATGGAGAAAATAGCTGGTGAATTGATGGTAAAAGATTAAAATATGGTACTCATCCTGAATTCTTGACTAAATAAATACTGTCTTTATTGCACCACTACCAGTACACTGTAGTAAGAATACCATTGTATGAATTACTTGGGAATTTTGCTATGACCTAGTAGAATTTTTATGTCTGATAACATTGCAGTTAATGGTGTATGTAAAGAAAATTTCTGTAACACTGGATTTAACCATATGATAGAATTAGAATATTATGCAGATAAGTACTCCTCAAAAATATAATTTTATAACAGCTGGTATTATGTTATTTTGCACAAGTTTGAAAGCAGCATATAGAGTATTATGCAAGTATTTGTATGTGTGGCTGGGAACCTGTTTTAAGTACAGAAATGTGATACTTATTTCAGTTTGTGCGTACTCCATAAAAATTCGAAACTGTCATGAAATTTAATTGGCTAACACACAAAGATACCATATAAAAGATATTGGAATGGTACACATCACCCTGATATTTTCTGTAGTATAAATAGGGTGTCTTGCCAAATAAATTACATCATAATGTACGTTTATGTATGCTTATTAGAATGGGATTGGTTGGCACAAAACCCTAAACCTTTGTGTACAAGTATGCGTCTCAGTGCACATACTGATTGGTGAACATTCCTATTTTGTAAGCTTTAATGATATATGTGTGTATGGTGTATTCACAGCTGTACAGTTCTTACATGTGTATTGTGTGTGTATGTTTGCAATGATTATGTAGAAATGTGTGTTTGAAGAAGTCTTTATTGAGGACAGGATGGTTCATTCTACCTGTCGATAAAATATTCAAACAGATGCTTTTAAAAGCATCACTGCTCTGCTCTGCTCTGATGATTATTTTGTGGTACAAATAGGAGTCGTGGGAAAGGTATTATTGTACCACCAGCGTTAGCGCTGGCGGTACACATGGTTTCGGTCCCGTCCGGATCGTTCCGCCGGCTCCGCCGGCTCCGTTGGCTCCGCCGGCTCCGCCGGACGGCTACCGTTACCGCTTCTCCTCCTAGACGGTAAGGGCCCCCGTACCCATCTCATGGATTTAGGTCACCTATAATCTCAACTCGTTCCACGTAAAATTTGGGCTTTGTCGGTATTGGGGTCTGGGTGTGGCACTCATTNAGTTTTCATTGGGCTTTCATTTACTCAATAATAAGTATTCTATATTACACATATGGAACAATTCTTAAATATATTTTCAATATTGGGTTGGTTATCACAAAGTTGGGTGTAAAAATGTGAAAATAAATTTTACTTTGAATATATATATGTTGACTTTGAAAATTGCTCTCTGGGAATTGCTTACTGACAGAAAGTTGGGATTTTTTTTTTTTTTTTTATGAAAGTGGTGATTCTGTGCAATGGAATACGTTCTGTCAAGCTACTGAAATGTCTGAAAGATGTAAGACACATTTTCAGAACAACAAAGAAATGGCAAACTTTTTGATATCAGTGAATGTTTATTGCAAAGCTCATAGAAAAGTTACACTTTTTACCCATATTATGAATTTTGCATAAAATGTAAACATCCAAAGCTTTAATGATATGCCTGTGTACCTTTACATATACATAAATTTATATGATAAATAGAGGATTAAATAACTTTATACTCGCTAAAAATGGACGGTAGAAAAAATGTAAGAGATCTAAAATTGGCTTAAATTAGAATACAACTTTCACAAAGAAAACTTATAAAACAACTGGAATGAAAAACTTAGTTATAAAGTAAAAATATATATTTTAATATAAATATGTACATCAAAAGAAAGCAATCTTGATAATGCGAAAAAAATAAAAAGTAAATATAAAAAACAATCTCCATGAAAATTGTATGTAAAATTGACAGCAGTAAACCACTTACAGAATGGAGCACAATGCTAAATACAATTATAAGAGAAGTTAATTTAATCTCATCTAATAAGAAAAAGGCAGACTCATCTGCTTGAGTACACTATGAGACAATACCTAAAAAAACTCGTATAAAATTATTATTCTGTGATATATAAACACATGCATAATATGATGATGCTTATGGCAAAATGGCCTGTGAAAAAAGTTACAATGTTTAATATCAATTCACACTTAGATAATGAGTCTCGATAGTAGACTGTATGCAATATTTACATTAAAATTTGGCTGTCTCAAAAAACTGAGCATACAAAAAAAAATAATAAATTAGTCCCAAATTATTTCAAGCACAACTTTATACAATAAAAGGACAATACCCCTTTCATCTAAAATACGTCTGCAGTGCAATTTCTAACGCATGAGAGACCAACCCCCCATATTATATATTAAAAATAAAAATATGTGACTGTGAAGCTAGGCTTATATTATTCTGAGCAAATATTGTGACTTAGCATAAAAAACACACTCTCACAGGTGTGTAGATACATATTTGATTACCCTGTTTGTTGTAGAAAAACCCTACAATACATTTTATTACAAATATCAATGGGAATGATCTATGACCTAAATTTGACTGAAAATAAAATAAAGTTTCCAATATATTTTTTAAAAATGTGAAAAGTCTCGAGAGACCCAGCTGAGGCGAACGTGATATTGATGATGCTTGTTCTTAAAGAGAGAGCAGAAACTGCCGCACTGGTACATATGTGGGTCTTTCATTGCATAATTTATTCAATCAAGAAATAGGATTTAGATGAATATCTATGAATATATGAAATAATTATGGATAAAGGTGAATATTTACACAGATGTGTCATTTGTGAAACCCTTCAACTGGACCACTCCAGTTGACTGACATTGACAATACACACTACCCTGTTCAATAATTCAGAACATTAATCCACTTATCTAAAATATTAATCTTTTAGATACATAATACACAGACTGAAGCGGCTGGCTGGTATTCAGCACTATTGCTTCAGATGAAATACCATATATATACTGTTGTACTGATTAAGTGGATTATGTAGACCAAATTGTTTATGACTAATCTTTTTAATTGACTTCTGCTCAAATGTCATTTGTCCAAAAGAATTATTTGGCTGATCCCATTCTCTTTGCAGACCCAGGCCGAGTTTTACTGGCTGAAAAAGGGCGCTGACTAACACTGATGCGATTGTCATGTTTTCCTGCCTTCCCTGCTTTCATGAATAACTTCCCAGCCAAAGACGCTGGTTGTTTGAATGGCGATAGCTCTGGTCGTCTCGTTGCTGAGCCAGGTCGACCCGCAGAATATGGCCGACTGCCCCCTCCAAATGAGGACTCCGTTTTGGGGGTCACAGTGGCTCCTATGGCGGGAGTCGTGATAAGGGGAACTCCAGATGAGTCTTTCTCGTTAGCCACCACAGCTGAGGCCACCTTTCCTGGCTTTGGTTTGGTGTAGTGATAGGCATCTGGAATAAATAAAAGCAATTCTTAGAAAAAATATTAAACCAAAATATATATATATATATATATATATATATATATATATATATAACAAATTGTTTGACTTTATTGTGTGTATGTGTGTGGGTTTGTTAAGTCTTGTGTAACCATTATCTTACAATTATTTACAACCAATTCTCACTATCAATAAGTCATGACAAGTTAAAACTTCCACAGTAACGATTTTAATAGCCTATGAAATCTAAAACGCCCTCCCTTTGAGTCAGCTCTGTACACAGGCATACTTAAAAGAAGAAAGTGTACGGTCAACAAAATATAAAATAATCCCACTTTAAATTCTGTGTCAACTTTCATAAATTCTAGGTCATATAAATATTACATAATCCATGATCCTAAGCCTTACCAGCAGCAGTGGGTGGGGTGTCCACTTTCATGTAGAAGTCTTGTTTACATAACTCACAACCTGGGACTGTACATGCCTCCCCAAGAGCCTCGCTGAATGTGTGATGCATGCCGTTTTCAAACGACTCGTACTCGAATGCACAGAACCTTCCTTGCCAGGCAATGTAATCTAAAATTTAAATGTTTGAATGAATGATAATTATGTTTAGTGTCTTAAAATATAGAGAATATCAGGCAATTTTATTAATAACAAAAAAAAAAAAATAATAATAATAATAATAAAAAATCACAGTAGTATTATAATAAATTTATCAATACACCATGGATGTTTGAGATGTTTGGTTCTTTTGCATATAGAGAAGTATGATACTGATATAGCAAATATCATGTCTTTAATCAAATACCCTTATACCTTGTAGATGTTGCTGCAAATTATTTATGTCTGTACTTGCTACCTTAAAACACAGATTATACAGAGTCCACAACCTCTTACCTTCTGGGTGTATGATAACTAATGTAGGGACCCCGATAACACCATACAGAGAGGCAACATCCTCCTGTTGCTGACTGTCTTCCCTGGTATCAGAAGAAATAGGCAATGTGCCCTTCTTGGATTTTTTACCTAGCAGAAAAAATTATATGCATTAGATTTTTTGAATGTCACACTATATGCAACTCACTGAATATCCAGATATTTAAACAAGCTGAAGACTAGTACCTCTGATATTGTCAAGTGCAGAGACTGGCTTGTTTATTTTCAAAGCCCATGGCAGTAAAATGTTACTTTGAAAATTAATTAATATATTACGCATTTTTTTCCAATGCAAATGCAAAGAAAGTGTCAACCTGTAGTTTACACACCAATAAAACAGTAATTGTCCAATCTATAAGAACAATTTTAATTAATTTTTTTAGGAAAAAAATTCTTCTTGTAGTTTTGTCTCTCATTCTTTCACATATCATCTTACTCTGCTGCTACCAAAAATCATACAACCCTGACCCATTGTCACATCCTTCACACTCAACACAATGTCACAACTAACACAATATCACATCCACCACACCCACAATCCCTTACCACTTCCTGTCCTGGTCAGATTGGGACTATGGCTGGTCTGGGAGGTCTCCACCACACCTGTCTTCTGTTTCAGACTGGTGCAGTGCCAGATGTGGGAGTCATCTCGCCAGCTGTTGTTGGTCAGTAGATGAATCAGCTCGTCCACAGTGCCGTCCCTGTCACCAGAGTTACAGGCAACAGATATGAAGTCATACTGCAAACAGGAATAAACACATAAATATATAGTCAATGTTTCAAATAAAATCAGTACCACAGTGAAGAGAATGATATTCTTGTTATGATTTCATTGATGTTTACTTTTACACAGAACACTTTGTATTACTAATACATAAAATGTAATAGTTTTAAATTTAATCACTTCAAAGTTTAAATATAAAATCAAAATATACTGAATGTCTTTTTTTTACGTAAAAAATCATTCTAGACTCCTTTTCCATATTAATCAGAAAAAAAAACAACATATTAACAAATATACTCACAGATTTACTATTCTCCCTGGCAAATTTCACATAATGAGCCATGATTCTCTGTGAGGTCAAGCACCATTTTGTCCAGAACAGGATTGCAGTTGGTCCATTTGGACCACCAGGGGGCAGCAGCGACTTGATGTCGCCAGTAAATATGTCAATCACATTACAAGATGGGGGCGGAACTCTGCGTTTCAGTAAGCCTTGGTTGACAAGCCGTCTGCCAGGAAGACGCCTCTCAGCTGCGTAGGTATCTTCATATTGACAAGCACCACTATTGGGCCACCTGAAATAGGCACTTAATTAGTCCTGTTGATAGACATCATATCCACTAAATACTATTATATTTTTTCTTATGTGGACATCGAGTTGACTGGTTGTAAGTGCTACTTATGTAGCACTGATGTGCATGTATAGTACAACGTAATAAAGAGACAGATCCTGATTACAATAATTTATTGATAGTTTGCTGATAATTTTACCTTTATAGGCATGTCTACGTTTCTCATTTCAAAGGAGGTGATTCTAGATTCAATTCATAAGTTATTACTAGCAATCTGCTGCATAACAAATACTGGCACAATATTGATATCTGTTAATCTATAGTATGTTTAAATACCATGATGACACATTCAAACAGAGACAGAAACAGCTGGCACTTCAAATCTGATGCAAGTCAGACTTTTCGTTTTCAAATGTCCATAATCAATATGCTTAATAATAAGGCATTTGAAAATGAAAAACCATGCATCAATTTTGAAAGCTGATGGAAATAAAAAAAAAAACATGATAATAGTATACTCACAAACTCCCTTTACTGTGAACATTGTGGAAACAGTAAAATGTGAACTGTCTGAAGGGCTCCGTAAGCAGCTCCACCACATTGGACTCCAGACTTGAGGCGTAGGGCTGGTTGGTGATAGCCACCATGCTCACCCTGTGACTGGTCTTCTCCATGCTCAACTGAACAGATAATAAATGATAAAATTAAAATAAACTAAGTGAGAAATAAGAATAACATTGTTTTTATGATTCAGCATCATCTTTGGAGGTCCAGAGAGTGTATCAATGAAATTTATTTATAAATTACTTAAGGCAATTTGTATGATTCTAATAGGATCTAAAAAAAATAGATGAGTGTCATAATTAAATCAATACCTAATCAACTGTTAGAAATTGTTTAATTCAATTTCTCAATCTGTATCAAAGATATCTGCAGTGGATAACTCCCCTTTAAAAATTTTATACATTTTATGCTGAAGACAACTGTCTTATCTCTCTCTTTCTCCGTCTCTCATAATTTTCTTTTTCTTTCAATGCAATAATTGTGTTTTATTCGATAAAGCAAAAACTCATTCTTAAAAATCATGTACAGGCTTTACTTTAACGACTATACTTATAGATGTCTCATATCAATATAAAGCCCACAGTGTGTTACCTTGATCCTGACTGTCCTCATCCCAGAATGCAGAGTGCTGCCATACTGTTTGCCATCCACCAGCACCTTGTATCCTGACACCACCATATCTGGGTCACTCTGGGGACACTGCCAGCTCACGTGGGCCATCAGGTGACCTGGATGGAGTCAGAAGATTGGATAAAAGTCATATGAAGAAGATGAAGATGAAAAAATAGAAAAAATAATAAATAATAATAATATATATTTCTTGAAAACCACATTACACTTCTGTTCCAGTGCTGTTTACAAATAAAATTATCAGAATTACAAGTAATTATAAGCACAAAATTCATATTTTACTGCTTGATAAACTTATCAATTGACTTTTGAAAACAATTTTGAACTGTAAATTTAAAAAAAAAAAGATATTCCTTATTCATGTAGTCAGCACAAAAAAGGCTATCCTCAATTTTTTCATGCTGAGAGAACAAAAGTCATAATTGGACAGTCACGACTGACAGGACTTGCCAAACCCACCCCTTCTTTGCACAGTGATTGGTAGAGCCTCACCCCCCCCCCCCCTCCCTGTATGACTGACAGCACAAAACCACACCCTCACCTGTATAATGATTGATAGAACTGAAGCAGTCCACAAGCATGGACTCCACATGTTGCAGGTTCTCTGATGTCCTACTGCTGACCTCCCCACTGTCCTTCTTACGGAATACACTGGCTGCTCCCATAAGAGTTGGGTTGTTCAAGTTGCGTAGCAGTCTGTTGAATTAAAACACCATGTTTTAAATCATTTTATAATTCTCACTAGTGAAATAAGGTGATTTTGTTAAACAAAATGTAAATATAAATCCTCTCTCACATCAGTCTAGAAAAACATAAATTTTAAATTAAAAATATAATCAACATTAAAATATTATACGTGACAAACAAATTTTAAAAGTGCAAATATGGATACTCTATTAATTATAAATCCACAGACAATAATTACATTTTTGCCTCAAACTCTAATTAACATTTCTTGTACAATTTTAGTGATATGTTCACTATTTTTTCTCAACAGTTCAGACCACTTACTTGTCCCTCTTGTTCAGTAGTTCACATGTGACCCTCTCTATCTGCCGTCTCTCCTCCAGTCCTGCCACCGTCACTGTGATCTGTGGGGGGTCTGGCGCAATTCTCGGCTGAACGCGGATGGGATCAGCTCTGAAGACAGTGTTACTGTTATACACCTGTAGAAATATTAAAGAAACAACAATAAAGTATCAGTTTTAAATTAACTCATATAATTATGTAATTTTTACAAAATCATGGTTGATTCAGTTTAACTTGACATCCAATTTGACTGATAGTTTGAAAAAGATCTTCAAAAAAGAAATAAATGAATAATAATTAAATAAATATTATATAAATAAAAATTAATTAATCAAGTAAGTAATTACTTAATTAATCAAAGACAATAAAACAGATTTTTAAAAAATGTTAATGGAAAAATATAGTAAATATATCAAAGTGAACTAAAACCTACCAGTATCTCTAAGTAAACCAGGTAGATACCCTGTTTCAGATTGTGGAACTCTGCTTCTCTGACATCAGGATGGATGGGGAAGATGGTCTGCACTGTCATCCCTGAGGACTCATCTTCTAAATACACCTGAGTTATAATAATCATATGTACATAATAATATGTGCATAATATGCATAACAATATATGCATATTTGTGGAAAAGTGATGATTTAAACGAAAATCATCAAAATTTGTTTTAAAACACCAAAATTAATTACATAACTATTCAATTATTTTCAAAATCATGTTGCATTCATCTTTGTAAACTTTTCACAATTCAAAATTGCTTTAAAAAGCCTTTTAGACGACAACAGAAAATTCATAATGTATCATGCACAGACTATGGTGTAAGTACGTATACATAACTATCATAATAATTTCTTTATCTTTAATTCACCTAAAAAGATACCACGTAAACAAATTTCCAGTTACCCTGTAGTTTTTAATCTTGACTCCCTCCGTCACATACGGCTCCTCCCACATCACCTTAATAGAGTTACTGCTGACAGTGGGTACTCTCTGTAGTAGAGGGGTCTTCATGCCTGGCCAGGTGACCACAAATGGTTCTGATGGCTTACTACACAGCTGGTCATCTGCCGTCAGTGCCTGGAGTTTGATATAAAGAAACTTTTGAAAGAAAGAAGTTAGAAAAAAGAGAATATTGCATAAAAAGTAAAGCAGATGACAAGGAAGAAATTCCTGGTAAATTAATGCCTGTATTATCCAGCTGAATACTTTTCCTTTGTTTTTGTACTTGACCATTAATATACCTCTATGTATATTATATCATACTGATATGTATGTATGCTATTAATTGATAGCAAAATCTTATAATTATTTTTATTTTAAGTCTAAAATCCTTAAAGGTTCAGGAGACTTTACAGCCTTAAAAATAATAATAATAAAATAAAAAAAAGGCATTAAACTAGGACTCGACATAAGATAATTGATTCCTGTTACTGTCCTAGTTTTAAAACGAAAGAACTTATATTTGGAAGTCATGACATGCACTAATTGACCCCAAGTTGTACGACCTTGGGGCTTAAAAAAATTATGAAAAATAGGTGGGAGCCACTTGGTGAAAGTCCCAAGTCTTACGGCTCCTTTTCAAAGGTCATGTACTTTGCACTGTATGACAGCTATTCACAGATATTGTTGCCTTCTCTTACCATGGTGTAAACTACATGCATTTTGATTTTTATAAAAAGCTTGAAAAATTCACTGATAAATACGTGAGTGTCCATACTAATTCATGCTCATATTTTTAGCTGTTTGATAATATTGATTCATTTAATTTTCAGAAAAACCCCTTTTCTATTAGCATTTTTTCTTCCAGATGAAAATTATTAAATAGGAGTCTGTATTGATTCCATTAGGCCATTGTGGTGCACTAGGCATCAGATTACAAGGTCCTTCTAAGATAACTTTTCTACTTTCAACATAACTGTGAAGATGCAAAATTTCATCCTTCTTGTATTGTACAAACATTTTGTTCTAATTACCTCTACCAAAGAAGCTATTTTTTTTCTTTTTTGCCTTTTTTGGTGTCTTAGTTTAACAGTTAAGTTATAAGCTTGTTTTTAATACTAAAAACATTTATCATTGTAAAGTCTACTTAACTTCTAGACTTTAAATAAATATTATTATTATTATAAAACACCTTCCTTAAAAAGTTATTGATTTTTGATAAAATTTTGAGGAAATGAATTGGCTAAACTTAAACTGACTAGATTTTAGTGGTGACCTATTTATTAATTATTTATAATGAGAATGGAATTGCACTGGCTTCCTGAGTGCTTTTCTATATCCTCTTTTCTGGAAACTTTAACAGCCTGACATTCAATCTTTGGATTCAACTTAACCATAACACCCATTTTAACAAATAGAATACAACAATTGCCAAAATCATAACAAAAACAAAAACAAACAAAAGTCAGTGGTTCGGTAACCAAAATTTTTATACAAGAGTCTGATATAAGTGGATGTGGCCCTACCTTGACTTGATAGACATATTCCTTGCATCCTTGACCCTTCGTATAGCAGTAATGGTACTGGTCTGGTCCTACGACAGCCTCCACTACTCCATTTACGTAAACTTTATACCCTGTAATGTTGGCCACACCAAATGTCGTGGGCTTCTCCCACTGTATTGCTGTGTAGTTGAAGTTGCATGCCCTATAACAAAGGTGAATATTTGAATTAGTTGAAAAAATTCTTTGAACAAGTAACAATGTTCACTGGGCACTTAAATACAACTTGAATATCTGATTTTGATCAAAACTTATATTCTTTGATATGAGTCCATAAAATTTCTTTTATCACAGACATTTAAAACATGTTGTATCAAACCAGATTCTCCATTCCATATACAACAAAAAACATATAAAAAAGCTGCACAAATGGACAAATCACCAATGAAACAGCAACTTATAAAATTTCAACGATCCTGATTTCATTTCGTCCAATCATTATAATTCTTACAAACTTACCTTAGGCTGACAACTGGGGCCTCAGGAGGGGCAGACGTCTGCACAACCACTTGTTTGGATTTCTCCAGAATCCTGCCGTCTGCTCCCAAAGCAACCAATCGGATGAAGTGATTTGTGCCGGGATAACATTTCTGTAGAATGCAGCTGCTTTCTTGTGGGGATAGCTTGAATTCTCTTTGCTGTGAAGGTAAGAAAAAATGTTTTAAATTATTGAAAAATTGGACATTTTTATAGATTGAAGTATTCTCTATACCACTAAGCATAGCACAGCAATCAGTATTGTTTTAAAAAAAAGTTTTTAAAATGTGGATTCTTATATGATGCTCCATTTTGATAAAAAGTTTATATTTCATTCTAAAGATTCTGCATGCAATTTTTTCATACATTTAAATGAAAAATAATATATTTTAATCATTTATTACTAATACCATATACTTTTCACCAATACAAAAGTCACTTGGCTAAAACAAATCCACTTCATAAATTTCTCCCACTTACCGTAGGCTGTGCCACACTCGTCCACTGCATTTTATAGCAAGCAATGCCCTCTGGTGGTGAATATGTAAACCAGTCCAAATGTATAGATGTGTGCGTAACCTTGGCAACTCGGACAATCAATTCCTGGTCACCATCCACTGACCCCTGGTCACTGAGGTCGGCCATGTTTTCATCGTGGGCATCTGCCAGTATCTGGCCACCTTGACTGAGAGATGTGCTGATAAAGAGGGTATTGGACAGGGCGGAGTCCCCAAAGTCCATGTCAGCGCTGATGGCTTTTAGGTTGATCTTGTAGTGCCTGGAATGTAGAGGTACAGACTTTATAGGTTTTTTTCTTTCTTATAATTTGTGTATTCAAAATTTCATTTTATTTATTTATTTATTCACTAATTTTTGTCAAGTAAAGTCTAGAAACCAGTTTGTTAATTTTGACAAGTACAGTCTGAAGACAAAGGGGTGGATGTGTCACTGAATACACCTTAATGGTGTTCTTTGCTTCTATTTTGAAAACTTGACACAAGAATAGTTGCACTTTTCTACACTTATTTTCCAACCATCAACCAAAAAGTTGCAATTTCTCCCACTTGCCCTTTAAGTTAGAATATCTCAATATCTATCAGAAGAAATTTTACATGACTTCCAATAGTGAAACGCAAATTTATATAAACATACCTGTTTGGTTTACAAGGTATGATAGCCTTGCGATGGGAACTGCTCAGTTCGTTGCCAACCTTCCTATCATTCATGTAAACCTGGTAACCTTTGACCTTCACTCCACCATATAATCTCGGTTCACCCCACTCCATCGAGAACTCCTCCTTCCCAACATGCTTTGTCCAGATTGTAGGCGCGTCGGGAGGTCCCGGGATCAGCACTTGAAGCTTTGTTAGAGTGACGGGCATGGCATCATTTCCAAAACGAGGCTCCATGGAAATCTCATAGGTACATCTGCGAGTAGAAATTATAAATAAATATTCCTGTATGGCTAAGAATTCATTTAGGTTTAATCTGAACTGTTTATACTAGGATCAGAACTATGCTTCTCACTTAAATTGCTGAAATTACCAAGAACAATCATATTTCATTTAAAAAATAAAAAGAATGTAACAGAATGGAATGAAACAGAATGAACATGATAAATCTACTGACAAGTATTTTTTCAAGATGGGCAGAAAAAGATAAATATATTGCAGATGACACTTACTTATTCCTAACCACTGGAATGGTACATTTTCTGACGTCAGACTCCACACACTTCCTGTGAACAACTCCGTCCTCATGGCAGTGCCAGAGAATGTCAAATTGCTTGGTGCGCGACCAGTTCCCCTGGACGTCCCAGGTCAACGTAATGTCACCCATGACACCATCTCTATTGCTGCTTTTGTGGTTGTAGAAGGCACTTATATTGGCAATATTACCTGAAGACAAAAATTGGGGGAATAATTTTCACTTGTTCCCTTTTTGAGATGGGTTGGTTTATTGTAGAAACCTTTAAACAGACAGTCGTAGTCTTAGTTGTTTGCTAATATTATAAATTATTTCTTACAAAAGTAAACATGTCTTTTTAACATATGAGGAACATTGTTTTGAGCCTTCATCAAAGGGACTCAATTGCATAACTGATTTTCTATATATATTATTTTATTAAAATACATAAGAGAAAAGAAGACAACTGCATGTATTTCGACTATGTATTTCAACTATCGCTGAACGAACAACTGAAAACCCTCATAAAGCTTACCCTCTTGCAGTCTAGGCACCCTAACTTCCACAGCCTCAGAGGCAGATTCATCCAAATCATGGTCATCAAAGGGCTGACTTGATGTGAATGAACTGCTGCTAGCTAGCTGAATCTGCAAAGTAATTCTCATGTTAATTCCTCTCCCTTTTTTTCCATCTTCACTTCAAAAATAATTTTGATATTAATTGATATCCTCCAGTGAAATAAAATGCTGTTTAAAAGATCATCAAATTATAAATCTATCCTTTTGTTCAAGATTTTTTTTATATAAGGCATACGGTCTTCAATAATAATAATATAACCATATGATATAAATTTCTTAACAAGAAAACAGTCAATAGTCACTACTAGTTAACCAAAGTATTTTAATTTAAAAATGTTGCGAAGTATTGAAGTCTGAGAGATAAAAAAAGAGAGAAAGAGAATGTGTGTATGTGTGTATGTGTGTGTGTGTGTGTGTGTGTGTGCACATATATGCGGTGCACATATGCGTGTGCATGTATATAACTCACCCTCTTGACTCTTTCCTTCTTCACTTCCTCCGTACATGTCATGGCAACCAACACAACACTGTAGGTTTTAGCATACTTGCACTTGGTGAGGGTTACGCTCTGTGCGGCAGGTCCAAGGCGCATGTGCAACTTCCCGTTTATCTCCAGCTTATACCCTTCAAGGCAACGTTTCAGGTACCTCTTGTCCTCTTCTTCTTTTCCTAGCACTGTAAACAGGACTGGTTTCTCCCAGTACAACTGTATAGTAGAAGTGGAGTAGCCTGTGATATAGAGCTTGGGAGGCTCACAAGGGGCTTTAGTTCTTGCCCATAGGGGTTTACCCACAATATGAGCAGTCCTGCGATTCTCGTGATCTCCCCTCTGAAGGTCTATGATTGTCCGAACACTAACAACAGCCTCGACAGTGATTTTGTACTCCATTCCAATCATAAGGTCCTCTATGGTGACTTCTGTTTCTTCAGGCATTAGGTTGATGTGGCTGACCAAGGCCGTCTCATCTTCTTTGTTTCTTATCAGCCTTGCCTCACACCACCTGACCATAATGCCTTGCAGCCGATTGGTACCATGTACGACAGGCGCCTGCCAGCCTATGACGATAGAAGTTCCTGTCGAGCGTTTCACTCTGATGTTATAAGGCGCCTCTGTACCTGAGGTTATTGCCACAATACTAGTATTTGGTAGCCATGGCGACTCATTGAGTTCTATAGCAACATCCCTGGGAATTCTGTGCATCTTTTTATATTGGTGCCTCTCAGGCAGTTGGTCAAAGTACTCCTCGGTAATAGCAGTCACGACAACAAGATATGAGGTAAGTTCTGTTAAATTTTCAATGACTAGAGACCTTGCATCTGGAATGAGTTCAAAAGATTGATGTTTGCCTTCTTCAGGCTTCTTCGGAGAGCAGTCCACTCTGATTCCTAAAAATGGAAAGTAGTCAGTTTAAAAATAAAATAATACCAAAAACAAGATTAGATTATTTCTAAGGAAATAAATTGTAATTATATTCCATGAGAATTTATTCAAAGTGCAAACAATTATATTTCCTTTCTCTCAAGAATACATTTACTTATTTTGTCAAAATCATGGTAAAACCTCTACATTTTTCCTCCAGAGGCACACATCATGAAACACTTACTAAAATATTGTGCTTAAAAAACCAAGTGTCTTTATTCCAAAGATCTCTAAATGAACATGATTTACTGCCAGGGTTACCGTATTATATGCCAACAACACCAAAACAAGTCAATGCTTTAACACAGAGCAACATGTTCAACTCACACCAATTATTTACTGAGCTATTAAGTTTATTTGTGCAGTAGTAATTAAAGGTTTTGTAACTAAGTGGCTGAAAAGATATCTGTCACCGAATTATCGCAATTCTATTGAAGGACCTGTCAGGAGTCAAGTGCCACTCTTGCAACACCCTGACAAGGTTATCAAATGGTTCTTTATATCAACCAGCTCACTTGTCAAATAAGAATAATATCTACTGATAACAGAATTTAATCACTTAAAAGTGATGGGTTAAAACACACTGAATTACTTTGATGTATTAGATTTTTTTCAAATGAGAATAAATGTGATACAAAAAAAAACAAAAAAACTGTGGCCGAAAAATTACATTGCCACCTCAATTATCAGAGACACTCATAAACAAAAAATGAATATTTTAAAATTATTAAAAGTAAAAATGCAAAGAACTGTTTAATGGGGGGGATGGGGGGATGTTCATTTAATAAATAAATAAATAAATAAATAAATAAATAAATAAAGAAATAAAGAAATAAAGAAATAAATAAATAAAATAAAATGAAAAATTTGAAAAAAAATGTAAAGAAAATATATCCATCCAAGGCAATACAAATTTTGATGACCATTCGCATTTTCAGCCACCTGTGTTTTAAAAAACACAAACCCTTACCTAAGACTTCCACTCCATGTTCCTTAGGAGGATCCCAGCCAATCTTGATACTGTTGCAAGTGGTGGCCAGTATACCCAAGTTTCTGGGAGGGTCAGGGGGCTGGGCGGTGTGGATGGTCAAGTGGTCACTCTGAGCGGTCAGTATAAAAGTACTGCAAGTGTCCTCAAAGTCAGAGTCTGCTTCTGGAATCAAAGAAAAATTATTATTATGACAATTTTCTTTTAGGCTTTATGTTTGTTTTTGAAATTTTCTTTAGTTAAATAGCAACATCACTCTAATTAAAAATATTAAGCTCTGTGTTCATTTCAAGGGGAAATGTTTATTTCTAAAAATTAAACCTGTTTTGATTTTCTTACATAGTTCAGATTTAACTATAATTTTTCATACATATCCATATACATGCAGGAATTTGTTTTTGCCCAATGTGTTAACCAAACAGTGTGATTTTCCCAAAAAATGTTCTACTAAAATAAGGAATTAGTACTAGTTACCAAGGTTAAGAGTTTTTTCTACACATTATGTTGTGAATACATATATTATACATGGTTTGAAATCTATAATATAATATAATATAATATAATATAATATAATATAATATAATATAATATAATATAATATAATATAATATAATATAATATAATATAATATAATATAATATAATATAAGCACCTGTGTTCCCCATGCTTTGTTGTGTAATAACAATTAACTTAAACATAATGGAAATAACACCCTAGTCAGACAGCATGCATAGTAACATAAAGCTGTAGAAGAACATTGCGATGAACAAATCATAATCTACACTGCAATATCTTTAAAGTCCTCATAATAAAAAATACAAATGTCATAAATTTTGAAAGTGTTCCTTGAAAAAAAATTAATTGTTTTTGATTTCGATGGTTTAAATCACAGCACTACACTATAGAACTGAGAACATCAAAAGAAAAATAAGAAGCATGTCAAAGCTAATCAAATTCCTTACCATCTTCTATTTTACCAACACCATTCTTGATTTCACCTTCATTAAACAAATAGTTATAAGTTACCCAGAAAAAATAATAAAATATCATTATAATATCACTTATGATAAAATAAAAAATGTTCTTGGAAGTGATATTATATACTGGTCACTGCAGTTCATGCAACCTTTCTTTTTTAATTATGGTTTTCCCTTTTTCCTCTATGTTTGTTTTATAAAAGTAATTTCTTGATTTTATTTTCATTAATTATTTTTTTAGATTGACCAAACCACAGATGTCATTTGCATCCTATTTTGTTCATTTTTAATAAATAAATCCCTTATTCTTGTTCACCATCCATTTTTTTACATATATTTGGTATACATTCACTACTTGGAAGAAAACATGAAGTTTAATCCAGTCACACTTACCACCATGGACCTCCGAGTACTGCTGCATTTTCCTGGCTTCAACCACAACAGTATAGGTGGCGTTTGGGTTGAGTGGGCCTATCAGCATGTGGTCGTCTGGAGAATGGAAAACAAAGATATAATGTACATTTGGCTATATTCTTTTAAACACAGCATATATTGGTATCTGATACTTCCTACTCTTCCCTTTCTTTCTCTCTTTTGTAAATATTGTAAATCTTTCTTTTAATTACTACTACCTCTCTCTATCTCTCTCTCTCTCTCTATCTCTCTCTCAAGAGTGAGCTCAAAAAAAAAAATTAAAAGGAAGAAAGAAAAAATAATTTGACAATAGTCAACAAACATTCAGTTTGTGTAGTACATAAATATGAATTGATGATCTCAGTGTATTACTTCTTGCTAAAACAGATATAGGCATTTGTTTTAATTACCTTTTGTAGACTGGCTGACAATATTTTCCTCTGGTTTTATCCCAGGCCACCATGTCACTTGATACATGTCTGGGGAGACAAAGTGAGCCTTAGGCTGCTCAGCTGGAAAACACAAATATATAAATACATATCAACAACTAATAAATAAAATGACATATAAAAATATATATACATAGCAGTTAGTAAGACCTACATTAACTTCTTAGCTTATTACTTGGAAAGCTCCATTTGGGAAATTTCATTATTAAATTAAATAAAACATTTACATAGAATATCATCACTTAGCGATTAAACAGTGAAAAAAGCTTTTGTAATTTTTTAAAATATGATATGAGTTACGTACTTGAATATCATAACAGCAAAGATTTTTAAACGCACACTAAAAACAATAGTAATAAATAAATAAATAAATAAATATGAGAAAAATCTTCCAGTCCATCTTACCTTTATTCCAGACAATCATGGCGGAGTGTCCAGTAACGTGTTCACACCAGACCTTAGTGGGTGCTTGGACAAGTCCAGTGTAGTGGACAACCAGCTTTGGACCAAGTTTACATGATGTGTATTTCTCTCCATAGCTGCCATGTTCTGGGGAAAGGAGAAATAACAATGATTGATTTTATTAAGGACAATAAAAAATGGGACTTCAGAAACATAATGTCCTCTATAAAAGGAAATAAAACATGATAATATTTTCATATTTATTGCCTCTTTACCATACTGACAAGTCTGAAAAATTAACTGCTTGTATGTTCTATGTAAAATTCCTGAAAACCCACCACACAACATGTTTTAAACTGTTTGCTTTTATTTCATGTTTTATTTCTTTCACAAAATGTTTTCAATTTTGTACTTTAACAAGAGTTTACATCAAAAATTTTATAAGATATATACCTTTCTCATCAATATGACTAGAGCCATCAATCCCTGAGTCTCCATCATTAAGTGGCATGGAGATCCCAAGATCTGGGCTCTTCTTCTCCATGCGGCCCACGGGGTGCTCAGTGAGAGCCCTGAGCTGCAGGGTGACCTTGTCCCCCAGAGAGACATCCCTGACCCTAAGAGTGTGCACATCTGGGGGTATCACTGAGCCATACAGTTTACCATCTTTGAACAGTTGATAGCCCTAGGGGAGAGACATAGCAGGTTTGCTATTTGCATACATGATATAGTATATTGATTACTCTGGATGATCTGTTTATTAGATGGGAGCCTTTTAGGAGGAAGGTATTTTCCAAAATTTATAAACGCATTTCTCCTCAAAGCACTAATGACTCAATGAAATATTGATAGAGATATAAGTACCAACAACCTGCTGTGAGTGATGATTGTTTTAACAAATACAAACAATTTAATAATTCTGTTTTTCATAAAACATCATTAAACAGTACACAACTAGTTCCTGCATCATCAAAGACAATTAACGTAAACTCACAGACACAATGGCGTCCCCATACTGTTGTGGTTTGTCCCAGGTGACATCAACTCCCTCGAAGTGCAACCCTTCGATCTTGAGCTGAGGAGCTTTAGGGGGCGCGGCACACATCACGGGGATAATGTTGGACGGCTCACTCTCCACCAGTGCGTACATACTCTCTAGGAATGTCTGCACTTTCTTAACACCAGCATAGGCCTTCACAGAGAAGAAATGGATAATTAAAATTGATACAGGATCATTTTTTTAAATCAGCCCTATTTGTAGAATTTTTTTTTTTTAAATAGCCAGAAATTTGTTTAACAAATACTTCCTTCAAATCGGTAATTTAAGAGAGCAAAGCAATAATTGATAAAATAAAATTAGTGTCAAAAGCTTTTAAAAAATCATAAGAAAACTCACCCTGACATAAACATCATATATCTGCCCAGGGCGCAGATCAGTGAGATAATACTGGTAGCCATTTTTATTTGATGCGGGGTTGGCCTTCACCTCTCCATGGTATTGGTCATCAACAAAAATGCTGAAATTTTTCAAATGAAAGTCCTTGCATTAGTCCTTACATATGTATCTTGTTTAAATTTCAGTAAAAAATTTAACTGAAATGTTAACTTCTCAATAATTCCAAACAGGCTTCTTTCACTTATGATCCTCTACACAAACATTAAGAAAAGAAATCCCTTTTTTAAATCCATATGAATATGAATAGGACTTAATCAGATTTCAGATTCATTTTGCCATACCTATACCACGAAATATCCTCTTCTTTAGTCCTACAGTGCTCCATGGGGGGTCTGGTCCAGCCAATCACCACGCAGCCTCTCTTAAAAGATGGCTGATGGTATACAGCAGGTGGCTGAGGTCTCATTGGACAAGACACATACACAGTGTTGGAAGGAGGACTGTTGCCTGCTGGGTGCTTTGTTCTGGTTACTATCCATACTTTCAAGGTTTTACCTGGGAAAATCAAGTTTTTAAATAAGTTTTCATTTTCAAAGTTTCAATAATAATTTCCTCAGTTTTTTCCTTTTCCTTCCAATATTTCATAAATCATACTTTAAATCTTTTAAAAAAATTATGGCACATTTTTTAACGTCAATAAACTTCTCAAAGCACAGTCCCACATTCAAACTATAGCAAGGGCAATTCCTCAGTTACACACCTGGCTGCAGTTTATCCAGTGTAGTCCTCTTGGTGTCCTTGCTGAGGAGAGAGCCCAGTTTCTTCCCGTCCACCACCACCTGATAGCCAGCAATCTGTACTCCATCATGACACACCCCTGGGGTCCACTCCAGTGTGGCCTGCAGAAAGATTTTTATACTGAATAACTACCGGTACAGACTTCTTATATTATAATATACTGTTATTTATTCACATCACTTATCAGGATATTGGACAAAGCTCTATTCTTTATATTTCTTATATTCCCTTATCTGAAGGGAATATCAGATATTCAAATAGGAATAAAACTGCAAGCACTGATATTTGAATATACAAGACTAAATAAAATTATGACTTTCCATATTCTGAGTCAAGTAACTTTTTTCCTGGCAGAGTTCAAATGAATATGTAAAATATTAGATTTTATGTAAACAATTCCTTTGGTACATCAATGATTCAGATATAAATGCACTTAAGCAATGATAGCATAATAATAACAATAATATACATTATAAAAAGTGTCTTTTGAATCAGACAGCTATGACTTCATTTCAAAAATTTCACAAATGAAATTGTGTAAAAACCCACAAAAATTGTCATCTAAATCCCAGTTTTTTAGCTTACCGAATAGAAGTCCACACTGACAGGTTTGAGCCTGGCTTGCTGCGGGGCGCTGAGAGTGGAGTAGCTGATCACCGCAGACTTAGACTGGTACTCTATTGTGTCCTTCCCATCATCAAATATGTAGTTAGCTACCACAAAAACCCTGGAAGAATATTCATTGAAAATAAAAAAAAATGAAAAGGTGAATTTGAATGTAAACCTTTTTTGTTGTAAAAAAAATCTTGGAAATGCACAGAATTGGAGTTGAAAACTCTTATATTAGTCAAAAATGAAGTCAAAAAGTAAATACTTTGTTGATAATGTGGCAAAATAAATGGCAGCTGTTAAGTAGTGGTTAAGTCCTACCTGTAAGACATATTACTGAGCAGTCCCCGTATTAAACAGCTGGTACCAGTGGTGACATTCCAGCTATGCTGAACTATCTGAACATCCATGCCATTCTCATCCTTCTCAAGGATCTCGTAACTGAAAGAAAAATACACTTTCATTAAAACCGCATAAAACGACTGCATTCTATAATGCACTTTATTGTAATTCTTCAGCTTTGTGACTGATTTTCACTTTCACAACACACTTCTTACACTTTTCACCATTTGTATAAAGTTCAAAGATCTTTTATATATCTAGTATAGTATAATCAAAGAACAAGCCTGATTAGCCACTTACAATTAAAAAAAATGATAAAAATAAATAAATATAAATAAGTTAATTAACTTAAAGAGCTTTTGTAAAACTAGAATGGTACAATCTAATAGGGATGAGACTTTTTGGCTCCCAAAAAGTCAAAAATCCACCAATATTCTGAAAAATCTCATCCCTGACCTAAGAACAAGCATGACTGCCCATTGACCTCACCTGATGTCACTGTTGACCCCCTTGGCAAACTTGACCCCCAGGACATTGACCACAAACACTTGGATCCTATACTGAGGGTCAGGCTCCTGCTCGAGCTCCCAACTGACCAGCTCACCTCGACTGGCCGGCTGATGCTCGATCTTCACTTTGGGAGGGGGGAGGACGTAGTCGTACTCCTCCTGAAATTAAATTGGAGACTGTAAGAGATTTTAAGAGAGTTTATTTCACTGTATATACAATAAAGCCTCTAGCCTTTTTATAATACTTTGATAATCATTCATTTCTATAGTTGCACACTACAATATACATCTCCCTTGTCCGTTTTTAATAACGACTTTCTTCTTAGTTTCTGCTTTTGGCAAATAATTCGCAATTTTTCTGGAAATCAAGTGGAGAGTTAATTTTTGATGGGATGGGGTATTGGTGACTGTTCCTAGTTGTGTGTCAATAGATTGGGTGACCAGTCCATCCAGGTCATTACCCTGTGAAATTCTAAAATTTGATTTATATAATAATTGTATTTCTGATATTAAAACCCCTCTGGATGACCAAAACATTCACTCAATATTTAAATCAGTGGCTATAAGTTCTAGGTGAAGTAAAACTGAGATGTGGTTGACAGATGTAAAAATACACAATTTATATAAAACTTATTGTCCCAAATGAAACAAAGCCAATGTCTGCATTCATCTTACTTATATCATAAATAATCAATCAATAAGTAATATAAGGAATGGTGCACCCTAGCCAAGAATGCATAGGAATTAACATGCATCTTACTGTGGTAAGGATCATGCGGGGTTTTAGTGATATCAATTATTCAGGGGTGAAAAAAAAAAACAATTATAACAACTATACAAATATGATGCTATGTAATTTTTTAAAAAATGTTACAGACTACAAATCAAGATTTTCTACGTTGTCTATACTTGTGCAATATCAATATAATTAATGGTATGGTTAATAATAGTTTAATGAAGGTGTGATTTTATAATGGATTACAACAGGAGCTGGGGAAAACATAACAGGACTACAGGTGTGTTCACATTGTGAGCAATGTAAGGCAGTACTCACTGTTTTGGTTATGGGTGTGGCTTTAAATTAATCAGCATATTGTATTAAAAAAATATTGTCCTTTTACAAATACTTTGAATTCAAGTAGTTTAACACAAGAATCTTGATAAAGACATTTTCAAATAGTTTTGACTATAGGCTTACATTTATAGCTTTCTTTTGTAAAACAGAGACATTGCTTGATAAACTTAATATCAAGCAAGTGTTAAGGATTAAATATATAGACTTAAGGTTACAGTCCCATAATCAAAGCAGTGAAAACCCCAACAGAACATCATTCATTTACAATATGTCAGGCTCCATTTTAAAATCCAATAGTTTATCAAATCTATCACTAACTAAATAGGGATAAAAACATCAAATTCATCTTACATTTTTTCTTTAATTTCAAAACCATATTCACTCAAACTTTTTAAAAGATAAAATGGACCACTGCAAATTATTCTGAATTTTTTGGCCACAAACCTTTTTAATTTATGACCAGAACATTGTTCAAAATGGTGTGTATAAATATATAGTCTATTAAAAGGTGTAAAAAAACAATATAATATAATGTAAATAATATAAATCTAATGACACCTACCTGATTTGCAATGACTGATGCTGTTCCCAGCACAGCAGCTGCTGATGCAGCAGCAGTCACAGTGGGTTTTTCCCTCTCCTCATCTTCTTCCTCTTCCTCCTCCTGTTCCACCTCCATTTCTGCTGTGTCATGTACCTCAACAATGGCCGACTCCTGCTGAGGAGTTTGGGGCAGCATTTGCTGTATCATCTGTTGACGCTGACTTGTTGATTTTGGAGCTACTGGTGGCTTTGGTTTGATGGATTTTTTCTTTGATTTTCCTGGCTGAGCATCGTCCCGTATCGGCACCTAACAAATACAGAAAATGAAGTTAATATTTTACTCCTATGTGCATTATTTGTCACCATGTTGACTTGTCAGTATCTTTTGATATGCATTTCTTTTGGGGGACATTTCCTATGGTTTGATGCAGCAGGATAAAAATACAAAAATATACACATATCAATAAAGAATGAGATACAAACTTCCATTCCAAAGCATGAAAAAAAGTAAATAATAAATTAAATAATATTTTTTCAATGCATCAGTACAAAATCTTGCATTAAAATTCAAGAGTCCAACTTACTGTTACAGTGAGGTTACAAAAAACTGTTAGTTACATGATGCATACAAAGTAAAAGAAGAAAAATCTATATCTCCATGCCTCCATGTATTGATCTGGAAATATACATAACACAGAAATGCATACACACAATCATACCATTCAGTAGTCAACAGTTTCGATAAAGAGAGCATATAAGGCTGGAATTTAATATGTCTTGATGAAAATGCATAAAGAGATTTAAAATATCAAAATGCACATCTAGAAATATTTTGATTTAATCCTAAAATGCATTCAAAGGATCAAAAACCTATAAAACATGCTAAGTATCATTAAAAAAAAAACAAATCTCAAGTGGCAGCTTTCAATAAAATAAAATAAAATATAATTTTTAAAAATATCTAAAGTCTCCAATGCAAGAAAGTCTGCATACAACAAGAGAAGTATGTACCTAACTGATATGAAAAAACAGAAATATGGAAAATAATAATAGTAATAAAAAACCCTGAACAATACCACCAGTATGGTAACCTGTGAGAGGTCATGCTTAAAAAGTTTATCAGTGGTGTGCATACAACATTCAGGTGTGTAATAAATCCTAAAATGGCTCTACCACGACCATGAAGCAGCAAAACTTTGAACTGTGACATTTCCAGATTGCAGTAGACTTTGGTCATTTCATATCTTGAATGATTGCTTATCTCAAATAAAGCTTGCGAAATGGAATTTTTCTTTGGTTTTGGCTGCATTTTTGCATAATTTGGAACAAACTGAAAATGTCCCAATGTGTCCAAGTTAAGTGAAGTCTACTTTCAATTTTCCCCTAGACTTGTAACAACTACCAAGAGATCCCACTAGAGCCATTGTAAGTGAATGATAAATAAATGCTGAATAAATTCTGAAAACTAATTCCTAAGAAGTGATGAGCCTAAAAATGAATTAAAAAAGCCGATCAAATTTGTGACCAGCATGCACGGTGCGTGTGCATCACCAACCAACACACTACCTCGACATGCGTGGCATCCTGCGTTGGCACAGGCAGCTTGCGCTTTGACTGCATGGGCGTCATAAGCCCTGGGGCGTCTCTGAGCACCCCCGTCATCATGGCCCTTGCTGTAATTTTCATTTTATTTTGCCATGGTCCTTGGGTTGCATCAATTTCAAAAAACTCTTCCTCTTCCTCCACATCGCCACCATGGCCATTTTGTTTCAAATTTGGCAAATGTGGATAGTGAGACAACAATTCACTAGTAGCTAACATTTTCTTGTGCGTTTCAGAATTAGTTTTACTATAATCATCAGAAACTGGGTTTTCTCCAGCAACGCTTACGCTAACATGCTGCTGATCTTGCTGAAAGGCTTCATCATTATCAGAGGGCATGTAACCTGATTGACTGGCATACCCACTGTGCTCTGGGTCATAGGTCACATCCTGCTGCAATGCATTCTGGGATACCTGACTTTGATTTTCAACCCCAGATGAAGCCTGTATTTTATGCGACTGAACTGCATTAAGTAGGAGTGATGCTAATGCATTACGCTTAACATGCTTGTCACGTGATACAGCATTTGACGTAGGAACTTGTCCCACATGAGAAGTTTCACCTACATGTGTGACTGCGCCTAGTGCTTCCTGCGGCTCCTGCACAACGCTTCCTCCGTGAATTACTTCACTGCGATCTGTTTCTATCTCGGCCTCAACTTCAACTATGGTAGGCTCAGGCGTCGATTTCTCTGTGATTGGTGTCAGACCTAGAAATAAAGTAACCAACATAAACCCTGAACTAATGACTTCAATACTTTCTTATTAATAATAAATGTTCCTGGACACATGATCACACAAAGAAATTGGTGAAGCTGAAATTGACAATATACTGAAATCAACATGCAAACCTCCAATAAATAGGTCACGTTGGGCACTGACCCTGAATTGGTTTGATTAGCTGTGCAACTACTCGTTATTGACCAAAAAATGTACTTTTATAAAAGACCTGCTACTTGTAATATATAGACCATTCGCATACTACAGTATAGATTACCAATTATTTTTAGTCCTTCTTTATTCAAAAACACATAATCACTACATGTTTGCATAACCTATCATTATTTTATTGATATCATGAAAATTTAATTATACCTTAAAAATGTACTTTATTACATAAATTATTCTTAAACAACTTTGATGATTTATTTTAAAGTTGTCTTTACAATTTTGAAATAATAGGAAGTCTTAAAATGAATTGTGCTTTTGAACCAAAAGTTGTGTCATTCAACAGAAATACATAAGCAAATTGTGAATATGCAATAATAATTCTAATAATAATGTTAATGATAAATGAATATATTGCACCAAAAATCCTTCACTTTAACAAATGGAAATGAGAGGTCAGAAATTAACTGCTCTCACTGCTGGGAGGTGCTCTGAATTCCCAGGAGAAATCAAGCACATATATGTAGCCATAGCAGTGACTTTCACCAAGGGGTTCCTTCAATTCAATTTCAATTACGTTGTACTAAATCAGTTCCATGTCAATAATGGATTCCCAAATGAGAAATCAATTATCATTCAGACCCGATGCATGCAAAAAAACATTTCAACTGCACTACGCATGCAGATTTCTAATAGAGTGAAAACCTAGAAATTCCCTCTTTAATAATGTGCACCGAAAATATAAAATCAGCATAAAAATAGCAAAACATGCTAGAATTTGATCTTAAAATTTACAANACTCATCCTCTTCCTCCACATCGCCACCATGGCCATTTTGTTTCAAATTTGGCAAATGTGGATAGTGAGACAACAATTCACTAGTAGCTAACATTTTCTTGTGCGTTTCAGAATTAGTTTTACTATAATCATCAGAAACTGGGTTTTCTCCAGCAACGCTTACACTAACATGCTGCTGATCTTGCTGAAAGGCTTCATCATTATCAGAGGGCATGTAACCTGATTGACTGGCATACCCACTGTGCTCTGGGTCATAGGTCACATCCTGCTGCAATGCATTCTGGGATACCTGACTTTGATTTTCAACCCCAGATGAAGCCTGTATTTTATGCGTCTGAACTGCATTAAGTAGGAGTGATGCTAATGCATTACGCTTAACATGCTTGTCACGTGATACAGCATTTGACGTAGGAACTTGTCCCACATGAGAAGTTTCACCTACATGTGTGACTGCGCCTAGTGCTTCCTGCGGCTCCTGCACAACGCTTCCTCCGTGAATTACTTCACTGCGATCTGTTTCTATCTCGGCCTCAACTTCAACTATGGTAGGCTCAGGCGTCGATTTCTCTGTGATTGGTGTCAGACCTAGAAATAAAGTAACCAACATAAACCCTGAACTAATGACTTCAATACTTTCTTATTAATAATAAATGATCCTGGACACATGATCACACAAAGAAATTGGTGAAGCTGAAATTGACAATATACTGAAATCAACATGCAAACCTCCAATAAATAGGTCACGTTGGGCACTGACCCTGAATTGGTTTGATTAGCTGTGCAACTACTCGTTATTGACCAAAAAATGTACTTTTATAAAAGACCTGCTACTTGTAATATATAGACCATTCGCATACTACAGTATAGATTACCAATTATTTTTAGTCCTTCTTTATTCAAAAACACGTAATCACTACATGTTTGCATAACCTATCATTATTTTATTGATATCATGAAAATTTAATTATACCTTACTAGTAAAAATGTATTTTATTACATAAATTATTCTTAAACAACTTTTATGATTTATTTTAAAGTTGTCTTTACAATTTTGAAATAATAAGAAGTCTTAAAATGAATTGTGCTTTTGAACCAAAAGTTGTGGCATTCAACAGAAATGTGGAATATATTGATACATAAGCAAACTGTGAAAATACAATTATAATAATTTTTATAATGATGATAATGATAAATGAATATTGCACCAAAAATCCTTCACTTTAACAAATGGAAATGAGAGGTCAGAAATTAACTGCTCTCACTGTTGGGAGGTGCTCTGAATTCCCAGGAGAAATCAAGCACATATATGTAACCATAGCAGTGACTTCCACCAAGGGGTTCCTTCAATTCAATTTCAATTACGTTGTACTAAATCAGTTCCATGGCAATAATGGATTCCCAAATGAGAAATCAATTATCATTCAGACCCGATGCATGCAAAAAACATTTCAACTGCACTACGCATGCAGATTTCTAATTGAGTGAATACCTAGAAATTCCCTCTTTAATAATGTGCACCGAAAAATATAAAATCAGCAAAAAAAAAAAAAAAAGCACCAAAACATGCTAGAATTTGATCTTAAAATTCACTANGCTGGGAGGTGCTCTGAATTCCCAGGAGAAATCAAGCACATATATGTAGCCATAGCAGTGACTTTCACCAAGGGGTTCCTTCAATTCAATTTCAATTACGTTGTACTAAATCAGTTCCATGTCAATAATGGATTCCCAAATGAGAAATCAATTATCATTCAGACCCGATGCATGCAAAAAAACATTTCAACTGCACTACGCATGCAGATTTCTAATAGAGTGAAAACCTAGAAATTCCCTCTTTAATAATGTGCACCGAAAATATAAAATCAGCATAAAAATAGCAAAACATGCTAGAATTTGATCTTAAAATTTACAATCAGAAAACTAGGTATGATTTTTAAACAGGCTACAATGAAATGAATTTAATTATGCAAAAACTCAAAAATCCCAACGCTGCCAGATAAAAGGCTCGTTGTGTTAAGAGAAGAAAAACAAACTACAGGTATGGCTCAAAACTGAACATAACTGTGAATCACATTTGTGCCTAAAACTTGAATAGAAAGGTGTGTCTTGAGCTTCGGTTACCTTTCCCAAAATTAGAAACAGTTCTGCCACCTTGAGCTGCTTTTAGAAGCACATTTCCTTGTTGACCAGAGTCAACTAATGCTTTATCATTGGCAGGGTAATAGTCACCTTGGTCTGTTTCATATTTGGGTGCATTGGACTGTAACTTTTTCAAGAAATCAGCAAGAGCTGGAGTTTTTCCTTTGTTGTCATTTTGGCTAACTGGAGACAGGGCAGCAGAAAGTGCCGCTGACCCACCAACCTTGTTTAAAGATTGCATATTTTTCAACGTAGATGACAAAGAGTTGACATTTGTGATAACTTGGCGCATTTGGGCAAATTTGGATTTTTTCTTAAGGAGGGCCATTTGTTCATTTTGTTGTCTGCGATTTTTGCCAGCGGCAAACCAGCTCATTGCTGTTCCTGTTTGGCTGGTGTGTTTTTTCAGCATTCCCCATTGTCTGCGTGCTGTTGTAGCACAGAGAACAAGCAGCAAGTAAAAAAAATTTAAAATATTTGAAAAGGGGATCCAGTAATTAACTGATGCAATCAATGGCTATCTATTTTTTTCACCATTTTACTAACAGTTAAAATGTGAAAATTTTGTTTATAATTTTGACATCTCAGTATGAAAATAAGAAATATTTTTACTCAAACAATAAAACCAGAATTTTTCCTATACTACCAAAATCAACATTTTTCAATTTCAACAATGTACTGATGAAGATAAACACCAAAAGCTGTTTTCTTCAAAAATAATTGCCACTGAACTAATCAATATGAATAAACTTACTCAAATTCACTTTCAGGTTGCAAAAGCAATGCTTTAACTTTTATAAATCTGAAGCCTTGGCAGTGGTATATTTGGTTACAAAAAAATTCTTACTCTCTGCCAAGTCTCAATGCATTTCAATTAAAAAAGTCCCGATTATGCTGGTCACTGTCTTACCTCTTTCTCTTGGCTCTAAAATCGCAGTTTGGTCATATTCCTCTTCCTCTTCTTCAATTTCATGTGCTACAATAAAAATGTGAAACTCTAAATTCTTCTAAAACACAAGCAAATATTGGAAAATATTTTTTCCCAAAACCCAGCCTTTATATTTCATCTTAAGCTAATAGTATGTAATCTAACTTTCCATTACTTTCTTCAGTTATTCGGCACCTTGGATCGTCAAAACCCATGAAAAATGTGTTAAAAATGTGTTGATTAGTAATTGTTAACATTGAATATAAAGAATTAAAACAAATGTGTATTGAAAGAGATTCAATTGAGAAAAAAAGTTTGGTAAAGTCACAAAATAATTTTGAAGGGGACCATGAAATTCTAGAAGCATTTGTGAAACTATAGAGTTTAAATTTTAGTCAGAAAAATACTACATGAAATGAAGCAAAAAGCAGGGCCTTGAATAAAAAAAGCTACCTCCTTGCAATTCATCTGTTTCTCCTTCCTCAAGTTTCCCTGCAAGATTATTGGTCAATTCAAGGTCAGCTGATTTAAGCAGTGGTGAGTCATGATTGGCTGAACTGCAATCAGGTGATGCAATCCCACTATCCCTATTGGCTGGCATATCGGGATATATGATATCCACAGCAGTGAAATGTGCAGGTGTGTTATAAGAGGCCACAGTTGGAGAAACGGGCCGTGAACGATGTGCAGAAGCATTGCCTTTTTGGTGCTTTTTCTCGTCTAGCATTAAAGTGAAAGTGACTCTTGTAAGTGCAAAAGTGAAAGTAAAAGCATGTCAAAACTTAAAGATGGCAAAGTGTTGTTAACCCTCACTACACCCACATGCTTTCATGCAGTTTCAAATGATAGGCACAGATAGTTCAGATGAGTACCAAAGGGTTAATAATAGGGTACCCACTAGCGAGCAATAATAAGATAACAGGAAAATTATTTGGAAATAATCATTCATAGTAAAAGGATAAGACTATGCAAATACATGCATGTGTAACTTGTTAGGAGCATGAGCATGAGTTTCAATATTTGGGATTAAAATAAAGTGTTCTTACTTTAATTCAGGAGGTCACAACAGATATTGAGCATACACAAAGTAAACATAGGGGGATGCTATTTCAGGCAAAAGGAGAGGATCTTCAAGTGAGTTGTAAATTTGAAATCAGTGATGAGGCGCATTACTTTTCTAGAACTATCTGCAAATCTTTCTAACAACTACCACCAAAACAAGAGGAAAACAAAGCATGCAAAAAAACATGCTGTTATATAATTTATCTTGCACCCTGTATTAAGGATCTCCATTTATCTTATATCTCATTATCAATTCTGTGATTGTTAAATGCAGCATGTGTAAAGCACCATAATATCAACTTCATATTCTCAGCAAATGACAAGCAATGTTAAAAAAGCATAAGCAAGCAAGTCAGCTTCAAATGTTAATGCAAGCACTGAAAACTTCCCTTTCAAGAGATTATCTTAAAATATGTGAGTGAAGCAAATGCAGTAGATTGTTGCACAGTAAAATATGATTTTGCAGTTTGCTATGATCTTCAATAAGTTACAGAGGTTCTCTTTTCAAGTCGTACAAAGTATTAAAAAAAACAGCAATTTAAAGCCATGCCCCACTTTTCATTATTTCACCAATCTGCCCCAATCAAGAAAACTGCAAAATGCAATATAATTAACAGCACAGTCATATACTTGACAAAGGTTCAAAAATCTCAAAATCCTACCTTCTCCTCGGGCCAAGTAACCAGATCCTTCACGGACTTCAATGTATTCCTTGTATATATCCTCATCTTCAGATCTAAACTGAGGCTCTGGCAAGACCACGCTGGCGTTATCCAGTGGCAGAGACACCTCCAGCTGATTGGACATCTTGGGCTTTAATTTGCTGCCATCTATAGTAATGTAGAAAATTTTTTAGAGAACTTCTATAATATTGTTTAATTGTCAATAATTTCCACAATAATTCATGTGAAAACAATCAAATTTATTTCATGCAATTCTGTGTAATCTAATTTTCAATTGATTATCAATTCTGCTGTGTGTCATTGTGTTACTTTTTTATTATCAATAAGATATGCAGACTGTTCAACACTTCCAATTTCATAACATTGGCCTTGATATAGAAAGTTAAAGGTAAATGCAACCTTAACTGACAAACTAACCTGAAGGTAGGGCAGCCACCACCACTTTGTATATGACATCCAGACGACAGCCATCAATGACAACTTTGCACCTGTTGCTGTCTTTGCTGGGGACAACCTGGAAATAAGACAAGGCTTTTAATTGGACTGTTTTGTAATGGAATAAGACAACTACTGTGCTTCTATGCAATTATGTTAATTTATAAAAATTCTTTCTGGATTTTTTTATTTGGGCATATAAGTGAGAGAAAAATATGTATAATGGTATCATTATTTTCAGTAAATGTTTGCAAATGAAAACTCACTGGGAAGTATAAGTCATATGTTTGAAGACTATCTAGTATGGTATGGTATGGTATGGTATGGTATGGTATGGTATGGTATTAAATAATGCTATATGTACAGAACTGCATGAAATAAGATACATGTAACAGAACATAACAAAATACAACAGAGAACACAAATCAGTGATATCCAATTTACTACATTTACCAAGTGCCCTCACCTTGCTACCACACTGCTGCCCATTGAGGTACACCATGTAGCCAGAGATGTGCTGATGGGCAGTAGAGATTGACCGCCACACTATTGCCATAGAGTCCCTGTTAGTAGTCATCTCCAAGGAGATCACTGGACCACCCATCTCTGTGGTCACTGGGCAGTTCATGATCTGGGAAAAAGATTAAAGAAGAAATTATGTCAATTGTCCAGAGGGTTAGAAAGGAGCAGACGCCTCCTACGTGTGTACCACCAACTGGTTTAGGAACAGTAAGGGGGTAACATCATGCAAAGATATTTTAAATGCAGACAAATGCTATGAAAATATCATTCTGATTTCAAGGTACAAAGACTGTGACAGGTTGGATTTTTAAACTGAGAACATTTCTAAGAGTATAATGATATGTACGATACTTGAATTCCATTTGCAAAATAATGTAGTACAAACAATTGGAAAAATAAATGTGGCAATTTTTTTGCACCACAGGTAGCCCAAAAGAGCTTTTAATTATTATTATTATTATTATCTATGAATACAGTGTACCAGTCTAATACATGTACATTTTATTTCTATTCTACTAACCAGAGGCTCTGATCTGTGTGGTAGAAACATGGGATCCTTGGGGTAAACTTCCAGTGTGATTTCATAGCTTCTTCCTCCTGCCAGACCGGCCACACTGACACTACTGTGGACAGGGGGAAACACCTCACAGTATGAGACCCCATTGAATAAGATCTTGAATAAAAAGAGAGAAAATAAGAGTCAATAAGGAAAATATTTTAAAACTTCTTCATGGTCATGGTTGAAGTCATGTCAAGTCAACTCTTTCATAACACTTTATTTGTGAGTATTGAATAATGATAAATCATTAAAAACAACTTCTGAAAAAGTGAGGTACGTTTATTAAAAGGTGGTCACTGTTCCTTACTTCCTTTATTTAAATCTACAGCCTTATCCTATGATTTCTCCAGGAACTCTTACCCTATTTTTTGTGAGTAATTTCATGATAAACTTTATCATAAATTTTGGAAAAAAACTTGTGTAAAATTTATGAATAAATACCATACCTGATACCCCCTGATGAGCTCCACGGCCTCTTCCTCTGGTTTCTCCCAGAATACCTCCATGGTCCCTGGGCCTGTGAAGCAGCCCTTGATGGACGGGTTACATGTGTTCCACAGCTGAAATTTCCTCTGTAAAAACAAATAATATGTAACCTATGAAAAGCTATTGAAAATAAATTCAAATTTTATGAAAATTTGCGATGAGTGATGAATATGCCTATTGCAAATAGGCAAGTTTTAACTTCCAAAATATCATTGGTAATTTTAAGATAAAAGAAAATATATCACGATGCCAATTCTTCTTTTAAAAGAAAAGTGATCATTTTCAGACAAACTCCTAAATTTCAGTTTAACCCATTACACACAGTACAATACAGAGATCCTGCTGGAGTGCACTGTCAGACCAAAACAATTCAAAAGTATTCCACGGCCATTCCACGAAAAGGGGTACAATTCCAAAACAAGAAATGCAGTGATATGAACTTTGCAAAACTGGAATACTTTTTATATTATTTTGATGAAGAGGTATTCAGAGAGTAGTAGAAGAATTTTAACCCACACCATTACTGTATTTAAAGAAATATGCACGTGTAAACATGGTACAGTATTTTTTTCGTTACAGAGGTTAGGTAACATCTAAATTAGGTTATATTTCAATCATGCCAAAGGTCACAGGCTCCATATTTGATTCAATTATTAAGATTTTGTATGTATTCAAAATTTTATTGCCCATTTAAGATTTCTCTTCAATTATAGAAAATGCGGAGCAAACACATTGGTAATAAGTGGCTCGTTTTCTATAAATACAAAGCCTGAGATATTCCAATTTAAATATTTTATTATTCATTGGGGACAGACTTGCTTTTTTATCATACTATTTGTTTATGAACAAAGTGCTATCAATCTATTATGATATGAGCATTGATCAATGAGCACACACATATCCAATGTTCAAATGAAAAATGAGTAATTTCGTAACGGAGGTTAGGTCATTAATAGCGATCATATTTGTTTTGATATTTCTTAGCTTAAAGTAGACTTTAGAGGCTGAATTCGGAATTTGTAGTATTACAGATACGACAAACGTTACATAATAACATAGAAAAATTGATAAAACATGTTTAATCAAACCAATAAATGGCAAATTGTTACAACGGGTTGTTGTGCTTTCTTTCAAGGACTACATAAATACATTTACCGCTACTGGATACATTTCACCGCTAATATGTTGATCGATGTATCTGTAGAATTCACATTCCATATTTTACCAGATTAAGAGTTTAATTTATAATCTTAGTAACAGAGGTTAGGTAAAACTCTATAGTCTAAATTATGTCATGCATTTAAACCGTTCAAAATCTTTCACAAGAAAAGCTTCGCGGTCATTAGATTTTTTTTTTCTTTCTCTGTAGTGTTTTTGTAGCTCTGTATTTGTAAGTGGGATATTGGTGTCTGTATAACAAAACATTAAACCTACATGTACATGATCGCAGCTATAGGCAATAAAAAACAACACAATACCCGAGAAAGTTAATGTAAACAATCAAGTAGGCCGACAATAGACACGTGTTTGCGGATAATTGTCCATTTAAAGTTACTGGAAGCATCTAGAAGATGTTAAAAACTATTATGTGCTACTGAAACAGTAAAATAGGGCCTAATAACCCCGCAGTTCTACCTGATGAATACAAGCGTTGCTTCAATGCTTAATATATTTCGCCATATGTCTCCCGCGAAAATAATGTCTGCTACATGTACGCTAGTACTGATGTCAGGTAGTACCATTTTTCTTGCCAAGACAGTCCTGAAAACTCCTCATTTCGCTTAAAATCAGAATGATAAGTTCAAAAAGGCATCGTCAAGTGACAAATGGAAATCAATTTGAAAAAACAAATCACGATTTACCCTCGATTTTATTGCAAACTCGAGTAAAAACTTAAATGGTTAGCTTATCTTGATAGAATTATCAGCTATATATGTATATTTTATATCTATGTTAATACGGGGTAATGTCTTTAACAGCAAGCCGTATGAATGCATACTACATCAGAACATAGAAGTAGAACTACTTCTATGATCAGAACTAACTCACAAAATCACAGAAATAACGTTTTTAAGTATTAACAGTCATTTTTATAACAATTAACTTATTTCGTAACGGAGGTTAGCATAACGGATGTAAGGTGACACGCACTCTTTTTCAGTTTTTATCCTCTGGATAACTTTGCATAACTATTGAATGAATTTTTTAGGAAGAAGTTGGTCCTTGCTTAACAAAAATGATGTTTTTAACTTTCTAAAGCAACATTTTCTTCAAATTTGGTCCGTTACTGAGGTTAGGCTTTTAAATGCGACACCCCGACTTTTGTGAGTTAACATTCTCTATGATGGAACGCATCATTCAAAATTAACAAATAGCACTGTTTTATTAAACTTCATGTATTAAGAGTTTGAAAAATGCACAGGAAGGCCATTTAAGAGCATTTTCTTTTATTCTTACACTGACTGAAAAAAGCGTTACGGAGGTTAGGTGTTACTGAGCGACATTGATTAAACTATGACAGTGACGTAACTAACCAACAAATTTGACAGAGAACACCATGTATGATAAAAAGAAACATGTATTCAAATTAATTGAGGACTAAAAACACTACAATACGGGAAAATATAAACTTTTTCTTGTGGCAAATCAGCTATAATACCGAAGCGACACGTCGAAATCGTGCTTTTTGCGGCATATAGACCCCTGGGGTTCCCGTCAAAGCAAGTGGTACTATATTAATTGTTGTTTTTTAAGTAGAACACATCGGGTCCTGCTAAAAAAGGCTAAAAAAAGCTAAATTGCAGATGCTTTTACTGCCGAAAATAAGCTGCGACAGGTATTATTCAGAATTGTACCCTTTTTCGTGGAATGGCTGTCCAGTGAACAAAGTAGCAACCAGTATCCTAGGATGGCAGTGACCAGAAACATTTATACAAGTACATACCACATCTGGGAGTTCTGTGTCGCTGTCTGATTCCTCGCCTCCAGAGACCTCTTGTGACAACACCCAGAACCTCCTGCAGACAATAACATAACACAATGTGATAATTTAAAGCAGGACTTATCCAAATATGCACAGTAATATATGGCAATTGCCTTTAAATTACAACAATAACTGATAATCTTTAAATTTTACAAAGATAATTTATATTTATACTTTTTATTTTTTTAATAAAATCTTACCACATACACACATATATTCAGCATGCTACTCTTGTAAGTGAGAAAACATCTTATCCACATTCTTACCTTGAGGTATAGATTTCACTGGGCAGCATGTCATCACTGACTGCCACAGCTCTGAGAAACATTAAACCAGCATCCTTCATAGATACACCCTTCTCTGGGTTGTACAACTGGAAACATAGAGAAAAAACAAAGACTTGTTACTAATATATCAGCGTAATGTAATCTTAACAGACCTTACCATAACCTTTACCATATCTACATGTGTTCAAAATGAACTTTAAAATATACAATTATAATCAAGAAACAGTGAATTCTATAAAATCTGAATATGAATATGATGGGAACAAGTTAATTACTATTATTATTATTATTATTATTATGACAGCTTACCTTTGATGCCTTGTTATGAGGTAGTGGTGAAGTCCCATCAGTGGTGTAATATATTTTAGCACTAGCTGAATTACTGGCCAGCTGCAGCTTGTGGAACTTTTCAATATGGCCACCTTCTCCGCCTGAGGTGATGTGGGGTGGATCGCATCTGTCAGCTAAATTATCACAAAAGTTTAAATTAAGAAATCCCCTTATATATGGTTTTTAATGAACAATTTGTGCAGTTGCTTCAGGATTGTGGTAAAAAAATCAGCAAACTGCATCAATTGTCACTCTACTAAATTTAGGATCCAAAAAGTTGGAACCTAGACTGAATATACAGTACTTTGTTTCAGAGTTTGAGTACAATGTCATATTTCTCTTGCTCTTTCTCTCCCATATCTCAACCTGCATCATTTTTTCTCTCACTCTATCTCTCTCATTTCTCTTTTTCTGTCATTTCTCTCTCTCTCTCTCTCTCTCTCTCTCTTATTTTTCACAGTTCTTCACTTACCATCAGACTGTAGCACCCTGATAACCCCAGCAAACCCTGGTGCACCCTGGGAAGCCACACAGAATGTCCCAGCATTGTCAAATGTGTACAGAAAACTGTTCTTTTTCACAGGGCGCCCACTGTTGAATGACTTAGTTCCATGTATTACACTGAGTGGGCTCTGAGGAAGAAAGAATGTAACAAGCATTATGATTGAATACTTTGATATATATATATTACTTTTTGTAGTTAAAACATTAATCGATAAAATAACACTTTTTCAAAACAAACATTTAAGATAACTGTGATTATGTCATGAAGCAAAATCTAACATGCACAAAATATTATACACATATTGAGAGAAAAAACATCAATATTAGAAACTGATGGAGAAAAGACTGCTCAGTTTTTAGTAATCTACAAGTGAAGTTTTCCCTCTTGTGAGATTAGTCAGACTTGGAGAAGAGCAACAAAGTATTGAGTTCACATTTAAAAATAAGCACAAAGATCCATATGTTTTTTTTTCCAGCTTACCATCATATATTTGTACTTAACAGAAAAGGCAATGAAATAGTGTGCTTGAGGTAAGTTGTTGCTTATAAAAAGAATCTGATAAGCAACAAAAATGTGGATAAAAGAAAATTCTTTGTTTAACCAGTTATTATGTCAGAATATATTTGAAATATGACAAGTAAATAGCCTAAAATAAAATGACTTCCCTCCCAAAAATACATGAAAGATGCTGAATAAAACATCAATATTTTGGTTAAAAAAACATCAAAAGAAAAAAAAAGAACCTCTATCGTTATCCTCGTATGGTGAAGGCTTATAATCTTGTTGGGCTAAATGAATACAGATAAGAGGGGTCTTACTGTTAATTATTTAATATTAAACAATTGTTTAAAAAAACATAAAAAATTATTTCAAAGGTCAGTCAACCAAAAATACCCCAAAAATTTTATGAACAATCTAATCTGCTATGACGGTGTGAAAATCAATAATCAAAAATTATGAGGCATTATTTCTAATCTCAATCAGAATAACAATAATATAATTATAATAGCAATATAATAATTATAGTAATAACAATTAACAAACAAAATAGGTTGACCCACATCCATAGGCAATAGGTGACAAGTTAGAAGAGAAAAACTGTCACTTACATCACTGTCTGGAGGGTTTACATGGATGATGTTGTGTTCCTCTTCCTCCTCTGCATCTTTCCACGTCCACAAGATACTGTGGCCCTGAAAAGGACAAAATATAAATTGCTATAAAACTATTGCAAATGACATTTCTGAACAAAAAAAATGACTTGTAAGTCGCTACTCTTATTACAAAATGATTAAGGTCCATTTAAATTAATTTTTCACCAAATAAAAAAATTATTATTCATTAAAATATAAATGATTATTGTCATTCAAAAATTAAAAATTTTATCATGTATATTCATTTTGACAAACATACTTGAGGTATTGCTATAGAGTTGGGATGGAAGCCACGTTTGTCCAGTCTGACAATAGCACTATCACTGCTTTCGTCCACCAGGATACTGCTCAGCCTGTCCTCTTCCTTCTTGCCCTGTTAAAAGAAATATTAGACATTGAAATGACACACTCAAAAAATGTCAAGGTTCTTCAGAGATTTTTTTTTTTTTTTAGAATTTAACATTAACCCGATAAAAAAAGGCTATGACAGCCTTCAAAACAAATGGGTAACTTTTCATAGCTCTTACTGGTGCATGAAGCAAGTACAAAAATTGGTAAAATTGGTAAAAAATAATAGCAAACGACTGTTAGATGTACAGACTTCTTATATGGAATGAGTGTCTGGAATTAAATTTAAGTCAGATCTTGTTTATTTAGTTTATTTTAGAGTATGAAAGTGGTATTTTTATGCGCATGATTTACTGATAAAAATTACTTAAAACCCAGTTCATATGCCCATTTAATGACAACTTACAGATTCTGATTTGGCTCTCTTTGCAAATGACTTGCTGTAGAAATGGTGCACTCCCATTGTGACGAAGACTTTGTTCATAGCTGGCCTGAAGTGGAAACAAACAAAATATTGTTATTACAAAAGTACATGATATATATTTCAAAGAAAAATGTCTCTTCTTCAAAATGTTTTTTTTTGTTTTGTTTTGTTTTTTCCTTTACTGTTATGTACATTAAATGAGACAAAAATCATAAGATTTTCATTACATTATAACAGTTTAATCATCAAGAAAAAAACAGACTATTATAACTTTAGCAAAAGAATGCAAACAGGCAGACATACCTTGGAATCAATTGCATTTTATCCTCCCGACCTTTTGCGACAATGACGTCGTCTGCACTCTTAACCTCGTGGATGTCATGTGACTTGAATCCCTTGCTGAAGACCCAGCAGACAATGTCGTATGGAGAGATGGTCATAGGGTCTGGGTTAATGGCCGAGTTGCTCACTTGGACTTGTCGCACCTAAATTGGATTTGAAGCATTTAAAATATAGAACAAAACAAACAGACAAACAAAAAAAAAAAAAAAAAAGCCCTAATTTTCTGCTCATTGAAATTCAATCTTTTTCATCAGCTGGAAATGCTCTTTAAAATTTACACTTCATAAAAACATGAACCTACCAATGTACATAACCATGCACATAGGCAGTTGCTTTAAAACTTAAAAAGGAGGTAAACAGTAGCCTCGAACCTCTCTCTTTGCTATCAATGAGCTTGCATCAAAGATCTCTCTAAGAATTATAAGTCACCCTTGATTGATTTTATTTTTTTACTTGATCTACAAAAAAAAGACCTGCCATTCAGTGCAAATTGGTAACTTACCCTTGGTTGTGAAGACACAATAACAGCACCAAATACATCAGCAATGTTGCTACTGACATAGTAGTACACGCCGGGTTCCTTAAACTGGTAAACATAAGCAGACGGACAGTCGCGGGCATGTCCACTACAGAAGCCCCCCTTAAGAGGTTGACCAGTGTGGGTCACTTGGATGATGTTGTGTTGCTTTTTGCCCGTCTGCCACACCCACCAAACCCGGTCAAACGGGTGGACCGTCAGGACCATTTTGTCAAATTTGTTGTCTAAGACTTGAATTGTGTGATTCTAAAAAAAAGACAAATGGCACAATTATTTTATTCAAAGAAGTCTTTTAATGAATTATTTCTTAATTTTTGCATTTTTTTACAATTATTAGACTTGGATTACATTATACTTTCTACAGAGAAACAAGTGATCCAAAGGGATGAGTGATACAAAAGGAAAGGGAATGCAAAGGGATAAGGGTTAATAAGGGACAAGCAATATACAGGGATAACAGATACAAAGACAAACATATCAAATCAAACAAAGATAAATTCTACGTATGCACATGTCTCAACCAAACAAATCTTATATGATCTTACCCTTGGTCCAGGATTGGTTACAACAGAAAACGTCTGCTCGCTATCTGAGATGCGGTAATGCTGTACACCTATGGAGTTAAGCTGTATTGTATTTGTCTGCACAAAACTGCAAACCTTGGTGAACAAGTCATCTAGTTTCTTGCATTTGTCTGGAAAATAATACACAGTGTTGAATGTCACAGAAATATTTGAAGAATATTGGGTGTAATATGAGCGATAATACATAGACTTTTAAATATTATGCAATTATACTGTCACAGTGTTTAGAGATGTTTATTTTCTAAATTAAATGACACAAAAGAACCAGTCAGATCCATTTCTTTTCCCTTTCTATGAGTTTCATCAATTTATTTCAAGGGTTGATGATTTATTCTAGAAAGTTCTACTTACTTTGGCAATCCAAATCATTAGGATGAGGCTCATTAGGTGGTGTAATACACTTCTCCAGCTCTACGATACTGAAAGGGTGCACCATGTCTGCCATCTGCCAGTGCCACCATATACGGTCACCAGTTCTTGTGATCAGCAGGTCTGAAGGTTTAGAACAAACTCACTTTAATTCGATAAGGATGTATTTCTGTAGAAAGTAACACATATAGAAATACATGTAATATTTTGAACTTAATGCATCCGTTTTTGAAAACATTAATTTTCAATTATGACATTTTTTTATGTATTTAAATTAGAAAACATAATAAGAAATAAAATATTTTTCTTTTCATCCTTTTTTTCTTGTCATCAATTGTATTCAACAGGAAGCAGCAAATAAAACCTTTACATGATATGATATCATCTTAAACAACTGTCTAACATGTAAAATCATATCTGCATACCTGGGTAAAAACCATCAGGCGTGACCTCTACAAAGTGTTCCCTCTGTTTAGGTCTGACTATGATGGTGCCCACATACTCGGCAGCCATCTCTGTATTTCTGTCAGAGAAGAAAAAAATCCCCGTCTCTGGGAACTCACAAGCCATTAACCCTGCCCTGCTGGGGTTGAGCCAGAAGAAACCGTCCTTAGCAGCCTGGAAAAAATAATAATACAGTTATCTAATGTATCATTTGAGTATCATTCATAAATGGTACTGGTTTGCAAACTATTGAGATCCTTCCAATAATGAGAGAGAAACAACTCTGGTCAAAACATGTTGCTGCTGCTGCTCACAATCTGTCCAAGGGCGAAGGACAATGATGATGATAATGATGATCTTATGTTTCTATATGAAAAAATGGCACATATCTATTACATATCTGTTATACAGGCACCAAGGTAAAACAATACTATAGCACCCAACTAAATTATAACTGACATCAAAAAGGGAAGACAATGAGAATTGAAATTATTTTGTTTTGAAGATTATCATAATAAAAGTTGTTTCTTTTTCTCAACAGAAAAGAGAAGTTCTGTAAATATATTATACACATGCGTCCAAAGGCAACTTCCTAGTTAAAGTAGCACGCTAATCTAGGATAATAATTTTTCCATCCAATGACACACCTAAAATCCTTACAGCATCTCTGATATGAAATTTAGCCTACAAAATATTTTGTTTTCAGTGTGCTTACTTTGTAATCTTCATCTGGTCTTTGGTCTATACTGGGCTCCTCTATCTGATAGGGAGCATGCAGTTTCTTGCACTTAAACTTGTCCCAGTGGAACCACACCCTGTCCCCCTCGTCGATCATCAAGATCATGGGGCTGAAGGTCCTGTCCAGGATTTCTACTTTGTGATCTCTGGAAATGTATGACATATTAAGTGAGTATTTAATAAGGTAATATACAGTTTTTAAGATGAAACTGAATTTTTTCTTTGATAATGCTTGTATGTAATATAAACTGTAAAATAATTTAAGTTTTTACATAAAAAAAAAAAACGATCAGTTAGACCTAATAATAGATCTACATTGGAAAGGATTGTTCATGGGTGGTTGGTATAAAATGAGTAAGATAAAATACTTCAAGTTATACTTCATCAACAATGAATGCTTGCTCATTTGGTCAATTTTTCTGTTTCAGGTAATCAGATTTTAAGCTTCTCAATGGTTATGTCCTTTGCAAATATATATATATATATTGTGAATTTTCAATACTAAACTTACCTCTGTGATTGTTTGACATGTACAACACACAAGTGATGCTCCCCAAGAGATGCTCCCTGGGTCTGGAAATAATACAACCCTGGATGCCTGAAACATGGAACAAAACAAAAAGTTGTTTTTGTTTTCATTCATGAATTTCAAAAAATATATAGGAAACTTAATATAGGGATATGTAGAAATTCTGGGTAAAATGCAATATTGAAGCAAGGCATTGGAGGTGGGTGGGATGGAGGAACAGGCATTGAAACTACATGTATAGATGCTCTTGGCATGTGCTATTAATTTTACACTGAATTATATATTATTAGCAACAGATCAAAAAGAGAACTGTTGCACTTTTATTGATCTGTATCAATCTTCTTTGTCTCTATTTTTCCTTTTTTGAAAGGCAAAAAGAAAGAAAGGTAATGGACTATGAACTATAGTTTTCTAAAATATATCATTTCCTCGAGACATGCCCCATTAATCCTACTGTATAAATCTTTAATTATTTCTGCAGTCATCAGCATCAGGAGGCTTATGACAGACAAGACAATACCACAGGTGTTCATCATTCCCCAAAGAAAGTGAGCACAGCTTTAATTATTCATCTTCTTCGCCATTAACAACAATGACTGATTTTCTGAATTGCCACGCGGAACCATTCACCAAGAAGAACAGACTGCCTGTTACGGCAGTGAACACAATTAGATCAATATTAATTGTCTACAATTGAAGTCTCTCTGTGACAGGTGGGTAATTTACTTCACTGGACCTCTGCATCCTAATTACTACTAAAGCCCCATTCCCATTGACACCATCTGTCTAAATAAATAGATCCAACTCTGCGGGGACTCTCGCTGAGTGCAATTGGCTTAACTGAATGACACGCCTCCTCTTGTTTCCAATGTACTCAAATATTTACCAGCTTTTCTGTATTCTACTCAATGCCAGGATGAGCCATGTCATTCAGTTAATCTGACTGCACTCAGCATGAGTCCCCACAGAATTGGATTGATCTATGTACATGTAGGTGGATGCATCAAGGTGCCTACGGGAATGGGGCCATTTTTAGTTCTCAGGATTTGTAAAGCCTGGCTCAATTCGTTGAGAATGCGACCTAAGATTCTATGCTGCTGGCACTGGGCCCCAGGACTAACAGACAGAGTTCTACTAGTATAAACAGTCAATGGTAGGGAGTACTCTACACCAAGGGCCAGATGGGTAATGGAAGAAGGTTTTGAAATGTTGTGTGAAAATGCTGCCTGAGACAGCACAGAAACGTGCACAGAACTAGCCAGAGAAATATCTGTGAATGGCTTGTGAAAAAAAATCTCTGTTTCTGGTAGTCAAAAATATATTTATCCATCATTTTAATTCTGCAGTCTTGCCAAGACCAAATTATCAATAAAATATTATGACTTTTTCTTTTACTATTTACAACTCCAATAAAAGGAGGAGCATGATGAAGGTTTTATAGGCCAACTACCAGTATTCTCACTTAGACAGCATAAATAGCCACACCTCCTAATATTCTGTAATTTTCTAAAGTTGGGGCTGCCTCGTTTCATAATTTCTCTAGAGAATCATTAACTACTGTTTTTCATTAGCAAAGTCTCACCTGAATTCCTGCCTATAAGAGCCAGTAGGAACCGCCAATGTTTTTCTAAAAGAGAAACAAGACGAAATGAATTAGTCTAAATTATCACTACTAGTATTATTGTTATTCTTATTATTATTTAACTTCATGTAATAAGTACAGAAGGTTTCATCTACATACATTTATACATGAAAATGGGCACTAAAAAAACACCATTTAGAGGTCTTCGTTTTTCAAATCAATGCAAAGAAAATTAAATAAATAAAAATTATCCATACAGTAAACCTGGTAGTTGTGGTCTTAAGAATTTCTTTTAAAAAAATATTTAAGAATAAACTAATCGTCTTACCCAGTTTTCTCCACTTTGGAGAAAGCACAGTGTTTGGCGCAGTATTTCACTTCCCAAACAGAGTGTGGTATATTACATGTCTTCCAGTTCCATTTTACAGTGCGGCCTTCATTGATCCTGATTATCTTTGGCATAAATCCCTCATCGGTCACTTCGGCCTGGTAGTCTGACCTCGGCTTGACCGTGATGGTCAGAGGAGTGGTCCTCAGGCCGGCACTGGAAGGTCAAGTGGGCAACGGATTTAATTTTTAGGGTTAAGATATAAAGGACAGATAATGTATTATGACAGCTATAAACTAATTAGTGCAATAACCACTCCGTAAGTATTCTGAGTCATAATATATCAATAATATTATGGCAATACGAGTAACTTTGAGTTCAGTTTTTAAATTGTAACTTAAAGTGTACAACATAGCTGAAGAAATTCTCTCCTGACATACATGCATTATGACAATTTGGAACTTAGAGTTTTCTGAATTTTCTTGGTGTAATCTATCAGCCAGGGACCATTCAACTTACCTTACAAACTTATATTCCCCCTCCAAGTTGAACACTTGTTCAAAGGGTCCCCTCTTTGTGACTTCTCCGCTGGTGAAACCCCCCTTCACGGGTATAAACTCTGCACCATTGTGGATAACCTGGAGATGGGAAAAGTCAATCTCTTTTAATTTATGAAGAATTGCTGAAACTTTCCCTGAAAAGTTGTTAAAATGACTTCTCACTTTTCTTTTACTTCATCTGTTACTCTTTTATCTTTCTCTTATTTTAGTATTTTTTTAATTATTTTAATAGTCTTCTTGGTAATTCCATTATTATACTATCCAAATGCTTTTAGCTGCAACAAATTTTAAACCATTTACATTAATATTATAATCATTTTTATTTGAATTTTGCCTTCAGATAGAGTAAGATGTACACAGCTTTATATCATTGCTCTTGTTCAGAAGTTGAAAATTGAAGAGGGTATATTACAAAATCAACCTGCACTATGAGTAAATGACCATATTTAGATTGATACAGAAACAGAAGAGAGTAAAATAACAGAGTCAATAAGCTTGACCTCAGATTATCATTATGGCCAATATATGAGAACTACTAACAAAAAAGAAAAAAAAAAGGCAGGAGTACTTGGGGTAATTTTCAGGGGCGGATCCAGAGATATTTTCTGACAGTCTTCCAAATTATCTCTGTTAATTCGTCCTCAATTTCTGACCGTCTTCCGACAGAAAATATAAGATACCCGTCAATGTAAACTTTAAAATCTGACCGTATTCCAGAAGACCCAGAAGACGGCCTAAATCCGCCCCTGATTTTTAACAAAGCATTGCATCTTGTTTGAAAAACCATATGACAGTCTTGTAATACTGCCACATGTAGCTTTGCCCACTGCTCACCTGTGTAACATTAAATCCCGGTCCTCCAGGTTCATTCCAGGTCCAGAGTACTGCCTGTCCTTCCTCTATGGTGACATTGGCCTGGCTGAAGCCTGTCCTGGTGATGTGAACCTTGTTATGTTCCAGGGCTAAAATAAGAGTTTTTCAATTTTCACTATCTTAGCATTATTAGAGGGCATTCAGAAAAAGCTGATCTGCGAACTGACAGATCCCAGATCAAATCTGGCCAACCCACATTAAAACAGAAGAGACTACATGGCATTGAACTAGTAGATTTGGTATTAGACCCTTTAAAATAATGTTTTGAAAGTTACTATTGAAATCAAAGGCTGCAGTCAGAATAGCGAATTTACTAGTCTGCGGGCCAAATATGGCGACCGACTAAAAAGCTTGCAGTCTAATCTGCTAATAAACACTGAATAGATTCCCCGTAGGTCAGCCATATTTGACCAGTGGACTAGTTAGTCCACTGTTCTGAATGTGGCCAAACTAGTAAAAAACGCAGAAATCAGACATATATTTTCCAAAAACTAATTGACTTTATATTTGAAATCATAAATTTACACTTAGACTAATAATAATTTACTGAGGATAACTACATGTAGTCATATCCAGACTGTGACTCCATGACGTAAACCCCTTACCTTGAGTCCTGAATCTTTTCCCAGTAATCCCTGACATTGCACGAGTGTATGTCTGCACCTTCTGCCATCCTTTCGAGTCTGGCCTCCCCGAGGTCCCCTTAACCCCAGACTTGGCAGACGCGGGAGGCGCAGGGGTGGACGGTTTTGAGGGGTGCGCGGAACCACTTCCATTGCTTTTATTGTCTCTGTTGGTCGTGTCTCTGGTTGTGGAGGCACTGGTGGGGATTTCGACTTCGTCCTTTGAGGCACCCGCCCCCATTGTCAATTTACAGTATTTCCGACAGTTTTTTTATCTGTTAATATATCCAGCTGTTGGCTTTACTGCTTTAAGTGTGCTTGACACCTGCAGACAGAAATGTAAATAGTCTTTAACATAAATATACAAAATTCATTAAGTATGTGTACCAGGGTATTAACTTTAAGGTCTATACAAAAATCAAATCCATTATGAGACTCAAAATATGGGATCTCTCCATGACATTTCTTTTAGTTAAACAGCTGTTCTTTTAGCAGATCTAAAATCTGAACCAAATCTGTGACAGATTTGGGAAGAAATGGTTAATACTTAACAATTACTTTATTGTTAGTTATATTAGAACATGTTTAGCAATTGGATAAATTCAATGTGCTAAAGCGAGCCTAGATTTTTTATCATTTTTATCACTTTTTCATCAGTAAAAGGTGACATGCAACTGTACGATGAATAATAATACTTATACAATGCTTTTCAGTACTACACCTTTAATATTCACCAACAAAAAATTGTGCAGTAAGTTTAACCATATCACTGCAATACAAATTTTATAATCTTTTTAATATTTAGTAAGTACTTAATAACTGTAAGATAGAGGTAATAATGCATACAGCATAGTAATACTGTATCTGCACATCTGTTGTGATACTACTAATCCAGTGCCTACATAATGATCAATAATCAGACAAGACACTGACAACCCTAAAGTCACATTTCATTTCACAGTAACAATAATCACCATAAATTAACCATAAATGCCATTCCTTTAAGTTTCACGAACTCCAGTTTCCTACCTGTAAAACTTCTCGAAGCACCTGTACAGCCGTCTAGCGTGCGGCCATATTACCTCTACCATTGAGTCTGTGCCAACTGTTTGTATGCTAGGCAACAATGTATTTATTTACATTACTCCAGTACTCTAGTCCTAGCAGTTCCTGCAAGGGACAAAGCCTGCTCTGCCTCTTAGCTATTATGTCACGAGCCTCTCTATCAAATAGCAATTGTTGACCCAATGCAAATAGGAAAGCGACTTTGAATGAGTATTTAACACGCTTGATTGTACACCGAGAATGATTTTAACATTAAAGCAAACTTGATTTGAATGAATGTTAGGCCTAAATGTGGGTTAAGTAGAATTTCCTAAATGCTGCAAGAATCATAACAATTGGGAGATTGTTCATATATATTTTAATGTGAAACTGATATGGATTTGTCTGGCCATTGTGTTTGTAAATAAGTCAATATTTTACTACAATACTTCAGAATAACCTAAGATGCTGAGTTAATAACTTAAAGTAACTTAATAGACTACACTGTAAACAAAACCAATAGCCATATCGATTTTTCAACCTCTGTGATCAGTCTACGCTTAATTAATTATTTCCTTTCAGACTTTTTTAAAACAAAAATCACTTGATCTTGTTAAAATATTAAGTTTCACAGTACCAAAGCGTGAAATAATGCTTCCTGACAAAACACTACCAAATATGATGGAGTTTTTACTTTAATATACAATTTGATATTTGTATTTTTTAATAAAATAAGTGTTCCCTCATTATGTTACAGCTGGTAATTAAGTAATGCAAATGTTTTGATTTTTATTTTCAGTCCAGACTTTTTTTTTTAGAGGTCACTTCTTCCTTATTCATTTTTTTGTTTCATCACTACTGATTTATGCCATCATTTCTAGATAATCATCTACTGTTTTGTTAACTTAAAACATATGGACTTAGTATTATCATGAGCTTAAATGGTACCATGACTGATTTTTTAAAACAAAAAAAAAATTGTTTGAGAAAAAGCCTTGCCTGAAGAAACCGTGATACAAGGATAATCCTATGCCACTTGTTAAGTACCAACACTAGCCACAGAATTATTGATATAAATTGATATAAAAAAAAACAATGTCTATATACATAATGCAATTTTTCATTCACCATATATTGATCCAACACCTGGCTTCCTAAAAGTATACCTCCTTAAAGCAAAATACTACCTGGGAATTCTCAGAAGATTTTATCCCACAACTGCCTTGCAGCATGTTTCAAGCACATTTTATCCGCAAAACCTACAAATTTGTTAGTTTAAGCTGTTATTTTACATGACATCATAGATAAGCGGCATCATGTTTTATGGACAGATACATATACTCATACACACTCAGCTGCCATTAATGCTCTTTTTTTAGTCCATAATGTTTCTTTTTGACACAATGAAAATGTTTGCTCATGAAATATAAGTAATTTCACATCCTCACAAGCTATTCGGAATGAAGATTACAAGTATTATAGGCTCATGTATCATACTTAACACAAATGTTGGCTTTGCGAATGTTTTTTTTTCTGATCCTTCACTACTGCAGTTTTACCATGTAGTTACTTCTGTATTAACTAGCTATTTAAGTAAAATGATCAATTCTTATTTCTTGATCGAGGCATATCACTAAAGAATGTTTTTAAGGTTATTTTTTTTCTGGTCATCAATTTTGTCTGATATGCACATCCATGGACAATTTTTCTTTGTGTATTTCAAATGACTATCACTAAGTTGACAACAGACCAAAATTACCATCTATTTATCTAGAGACATATCTGTGAATACACTGAATATCTGTGAAAAATCAATCTGTCACCCTGGTAGAGGGTAGGGAAACCCCTGATTTCAGAGTGACCTCAAAGCCAAGTTCTGCTAATAACAGCCAGAGCATAAGGAAACTTTGAAGAGCTGGGTTACCAAGTTCTTTAATATAATCAATCATAACTGAGTACAATTTGTGGATTAATTAAGTCCTTGCATGTTTTACAGACCCAGGGGATTAAATACATACATAAGTTATTGTCTTGACCTGACCACACCCATCTTCCCTCACAGAAATAAAGTTTTAACAGGCAACTTACAGTACTGGCGATATACCCCACATTCTTCAACTTGCATTACTTCATGCAGAATCTAGAAGTTACCAGAATCATGCTCCAAAGGTATTCATTCTTGATTCTAATTTTTATTTTATTTAGTTTAGATTTTATTAAGTGTTTGTTTGGCACATTGCTAGTACTATATCAATATCCAGCTGATAACTGAATCACAGGGGAATGTGTTGAATGCATGACCTCATGCAGAATTTTGTATGGTGAAACTACCTGAGAATCGTGCTCCAAAGGAATTTATTCTGGATTAATCCTGTTTGGCAACAAGTACAATAACTCTATCCACTTGTGATAGGTGGCCATCACTGGGGAAATGAGGATTTTAATATAATCTAAGTCTCAATCAATTAAGCACTATGCTGTTATCAACATCAAGCATGCAAGCACAATTGCACTATCATGCACTCCAAATCCAATTAAACTGAGTGTGATACAGCAATAAAATAAGACCTACTTCATTAATCCATTTGCCTGATGGGCTATACACAAACTGTTTTGTTTCTAGACCTACCAACCAACCAACCTACATTCTTTTTCTAAACTATCAATAGGGTTGTCAATGTGACCTGCATTAAAATGTTTGGATATTGTTTACGTGTCAAAATCAGAACGAAATGTGAAAATGGAAGATTTCGTACTCAGATGGTTAAAAATGATAAATGTGAACATTTGCGAAAATTAACAGAGTTACTAGTAACCACATGCCATCTATATGTGTATGTTGATGTTTAGTCGAGGCAAAAAATTCAGGCTGCTGACCAAATACCAAACAAAAGTGAAGGTAGACTGGCAACTGTAATATGCGTTTATTGGCCCAAATGGGCCATGAATGAAATCTACTAGCTTACTAATACTCTCACCGCTCTTCTATGCACATACTTTTTCATCAATTAGTTTCCTTCCTGGGTTTTTATTTTCTTTACTAATAAATAGACATGTCCAAATGAATTTGGCCAAGGAACCCATTATAAATAACCTAAACACACGGCCCAAATACTATGGATTACATCAAGAATGTGTTACCAAAAACAAAGCTTAAATCTGGGAATAAATCGACTTTTTCCAGGCCAATTTTGGCAATTTTGGTTGAACATTCTTGGTAATACAGTCTTGGTTACATGTAAATCTCAGAATAATATCTAGGTCTGCAATATCTTGGTAGGGTTTGCTATAACTAATCAGTTTTCACTGGGAATTTGAGTCTATCATACTTTTTTCTTTTTCTTTTCTTTTTTCTTGCCATGCCTGTTTCTAGATAGAAAACATGTTTGTAGACGGAAAATATGCCTTTGCATCATACCCACTGAACAGAATGACAACAGACAGATTTCTAGCATGTGGCTGCTAAATTTTTAGTACTTACATTATTCCTATTTTTATTTTAGATTGTTCATCATTATGCCAAACACTATGAATATCCATAGAAATTTTTTTTAATAAACAGAAAAAAGAGACTTTTTATGTGTAGTTTTTATTTTTGTGTACAGTTAGTTCTTTAACAAGGTCTTTGCTTGTAATAAAGATCCCATACAATATGCCCATATCAAAATTCAGTTCTTATCAAAGCCAGGCACTTTGTTGTTCATATAGTGTTACAATATGTGTGCAAGCTACCGTTGCCATTTCTTCTAGTTGATAAATGACAAATATGATACTATGATGCTACGGAGCTGCATGTTCTTAGCTAGATTCTAGATTTTTTTAGGCAAAAGAGATACAGGATAAAAAAGAGGCAGAAGAATCATCCCTAAACAAATCAAGTATATATATAGCCAGGGGGGTTGGGGGGGGGGCGGGGTTGAAAGAACTTTTTTTGCCAGGAAAAGGTTCATTCTTGGAAAAATTTGATTTTGGTACACCATTTCATTGTAAAAGGTAAACATTTTCAGAACTCCCCCTTTTGAAATTGCTGGTTTTGGGCCTGCAAATGGTCTTTGAATTTGCTTATCTGAATCAGTGAATGTGCTCATAATATCCACTACTAGTAAATCTGGTAAATTCACTGTAGGAACCATGCATATTGCGTACAGCAGTATATAAACGGGGTTAAGAAGATGTTATAACTTAGGAATTGTTACTTATCAGTGATGGTATATTAATTGCCTGTTAACTGTATTATTTTAGACAGCTGTTTTAACAATTTCCACATCAAAATTTTCTTTGTTTGGTACTAGCTAGGTAAAACTAAAATCATAAAAAGATGTTAAAATAGATGACAAGTATATATGTTAATTAGAGTCGTGCCTGTAATTATTTATCCAACATTTTTTCAAGTCAATCAGAACCCATTGAATACCTAAGTATGGGTATAATCTGCATCTCTTCCAGCATGACTTTCTAATTTGTTGCTCCCAAAGTCACTTTAAAACTATGGTTCTTGTAACAGTTTAACACTCCAAAAATGCTTCAGTAGTCACCTATTGCAGGGCATACATTACTTTAATTTACCTCACAATAGTTATATGAGGATTGTTAGCTTTGCAAGTATGTGTGAAAATGAAACCTTTTTTAACATGAAGGGAAAATAAACAAAACGTTTTCTTTAAAATTGTGACGCCACTTCAAAAAGAGGTCACAGTTTTTGACTCTGAAAGGCCTTGCACCTTTGACTTGTTTAAAATGCCACTTGAGAGTACACATGCTGTACACATAGGGCAATCTTATAAAGGCAGGTGTATAGACACCTCTGTTTAGGCCTCTGTCCAAGTGTACTAAATTCTTGTGATAAAAATATAAGGAAATGGATGGATTATAGTTTAAATGCTCTATTAAATTATTATTTCATTATTGCCCCTCCCCCCCCCCACACACCCTAACCCTTCTTTTACCTCTACCTACCCCCCCCCCTTATGTCTCTCCCTCTCTCTCAAAACCAAAGGGCACAAACAAATTAGTCTCACATCTCTAACCTTCTCATTAAATTTTCCATTTTCTACAAATTCTTTCTTTTCTCTTGATCATGTTTTTTATATGCATACCATATATACTAAGGTAAGCAAGATGCTAGGTTCTACACTTGATATTCTGTAATTATTTCTATGCTTAAATGCACAACATCACTTCAAATCTAATCACATATATTTATATTAAATGTAAACTTACCTTGATTGAAATCAGAAAGACCACAATTTCTTAAATTAAACAGATATTAATCCATAGTTAAACATCGTCTTGTAAATTTCCTTTCTTATTTTGAGATGGAAATGCATGCTGCCCCTGGCAACCAATGCACAGTTTTCGTGAGAAATTAGTATGAATAATGAATTACTGACGGCCACGTCTAATTATTACTTGGAGGGGGTTTATGATTTAAACAAAGATAAAATTCCTATTTTTTTAAGTTCTGTGTATCACAGACTACTAAAGACTTCATTCATTTAAAAAGAACTTTTGAAATCTTTGAAAGCTGAATGAAAAATGAAAATAAAAACAAGTTTTTAAACTGAGTTGCAATTAGAGCATGTTTTTCTATAATAAATGGCCAATGAAGCAATTGAACTGTCTCACATTAATCTTTATAAAAAGTTTTTATACAAAAAAGACCCACAGAAACCTGGTCAATTTCTACTAACAATTGCTTCATTTTAACATTTATTACCTCATTAAAAAATAAAAATGATCAGTGAAGGAGTATTTTTAACACAAGCGCCTGTGGACCCCCCTTTCCTACCCTCTTAGCATATGTTTTGCAGTGCCTGATCCAGTAACTACCCAACAACTCCCGCGGGATTAAAATCCAATTTGGTTTCCACTTCAATAATAAAGTACATGGAAATGCAGAAGGCAAACTAAGCCATCTCTGTAATTGTAGAATATGATGTTGCCGCTTGGACACTGACGTAACGATCAAATATTTACCACAAGGTAACAGACAATTTAAGATAAACATGAGAGTTTTGCTTAAAATAACAGATCGAAACCTGTATCTGAGTTTAGCACTTTTTCTATTCTCAGACTGATATTTCAGTGAAAAATATCAATGATTTTGTATTATGAAATCCTGATTACAGAGGTGCTTAGTACTTTAGGTCTACAGTATAGTTACAATTTCTACCTCTCTAAATGAATATTCATTTCTTGTAGGTCCAATAAATACATCTTTCAAACCACACAAAATTTTATCTTATCTTTTATACAAAACCAAAAATTTTTCAGTATAAGTAAATGAGTTGTAGAAACAAACAAACAAATATTAATATATCATAAGAAGGTTTGTTCTTTGTTCATTTTACCCCCCTTTTCTTCTAAGTAGAAATTGATTCTGTTGGAAATGCTTTTCTCTTATAATAAGTTGCTAAGCCTTCAGAGGGTTCTTTTATCAACAGGGCACTACTGGTCTACTCCATTAAATTTTGTCAGTTTTAGAGTACACTTGAGTATTATAAATATATAATTATTTGATTCAATGTCTCTTTAAGATAATCATATACTCATGAGTGCACTTTTTAAAACACGGCTGAACTATATACCAAACCAAACAAAAGACCACTCAAAGAACACAGACCATAAAGAAAAATATCAATTACTGAATGAGATTACTGATATTAGGAGTCCCGGATTTAGTCTCTTTCCCTCTAAATCTACCCAAAATTTTCGTCAAAATTTGTGAAAAACATTTTGAGCCCTCTTATCCACTGTCAAACAGACCAAACAACATAAATAAATAAACCCTCCTTCACTGGCATACTAACTGCTGTAATTACAAGTATTCAAAAGGCTGCTCAACCCCCTCATTTCATTTTCAAATAAAAATGTGAAAACAATTTCAGTCCAATCTCAATTTTAACAACTATAAATAATAATTGTTTCCACTGGCTAAATGGTGACACAACTTTTTCAAAGAAGAAACAGGCACGCAATGTCTTGGACAATTAATGTTGCAAGGAAATACAACAGAGCAATTTCCTGGACTCACTGACATGCTAGAAATATAAAAAAAACCTATCAACAGAACATGTGTTTGAGATGTATGTGATGTTACTGTAGGTAAAATAAATCAATAGGATTCTCACATGGGAATTCATGGCTATCATATTACTGCTCTCGGTACACTGTACCATTTCATTATTTACTCTTCCGATGATTGTGACATTCATTATCAGACCACTGCAGCAGGTAAAAAATGTTTCCTGTTCTATGTCTTTAAATAATAAATAATCCTTTTTTGTCTGTTTTTCTTAAATGCTTTGATGTCTGTGATGAATAAATAGATAAATGAATAAACAATTAAAAGGATGAATGAATAAAAATAGTAGATCTATAAGTATATGTATAAAAATAACGTTATAGACTATGTAATACACATCATCATGCAAAATGATACGATGATAATAATAATAATAATAATAAAGTATACATATCTGTAGCCTGTGGCTACCAGTGCAATGTCCTGACAAATCAATGTATATATGCTTTTTCCATCTTCACTGAACGCTGGCCAAATCAATTGATCACACAAACAGAGACAAAAAGTACAACATTAAAACCATGTCATGGGAATGAATCTATCAAATTCAAACAGCTACCAATAGTTTATGTAGTTGTATGGGCATTGATCTTATGAGCTACACTTAATGGGTCTTTTATGAAGTGATCCCTAACAATAGTACAGATATCAATTGCTGAAAAAAATGAGTGGTTTTAGCATTGCAGTACTGCAAGTGGAGCAATTTTCAGAATTCTACTTCAAAAAGTTAGAATAATCTATCCTCAATTAATCTAACAAAAGGCATAAATATGCTTTGAAACTTCATGAGGATGCAACATGCTGTATTTTATTAATTGGCCATTTTAGTATTTCCAGACTGAACTATATTTATTGTAGCTGACCAACTAAAAAGTTAAAAATGTAGTCTTTTACTTCATATTCTCAGAAGTAAATCCATATATGACCAAGTTGTTCATAACATGAACAGGGATAGAAAAATATGATTGAAAAGGGAGAAACCCCATCCCTATATTTCCACCAGTATACTGGAACATTGCACATACACATATCCCTCTCCAATTTGAACATCTTACGCAAAATTAGGCACTTTTCCTGGCCCTAATTTCCACAATAAAAATAATGGAATCTACTAAAAGATGTAAAACTTTCATCCTCTGACTTTGTTAATAATACACTTCCTAGGATATGAGAATAACACAAATTCCATTAAATTGGACAAATTCGAATTAATTTACAAGTAAATATACATTAAAACAAATAAAAGGGAATCAAATTAGTTTTTTTAACTTTAAAAAGATCACCTCACAAAGCACCTTATCTCATAAACAAGTCACTTCTAATAGTTAATCAGTTACTTCACCAGCTAGGCAATCAGTAACTGTCAACCATGCAGGTAAACAGATCAGTTCATTTGCTGGGGAAGATGAACAATAAACAAGACTAAGATGAGCACTAAGATGAGTGTTCAGATTCAATTAGGAAAATCTGAGGCACAGTTTATAAATTATATCAGTAAAAGAGTGTCCCAAATAAAGCCACCTAAACTGTTCACCCAAGCTCCTAAGGTACAGGTACATGTAGTGTTATTATGTGCGTGTACAATGTACTTGGACACAAAATACACAGTATTTGTACCTGAGATTGTATGGTCATGCAAGTGAGTGAAAAAGTAGTATGAATTCATTTGAAAACAGTTACCAAAAGCGAAAAAAAAAAAGTAAAAAGTCCAAATTTCAAATGTCACCAATGGAAATTCTGCAATATTCACAAAAAAAATCCCTTTTTTTTTTCAAGGGGGGGGGGGTCTCAGAGCAAAAATAAAATTGTATAACTGTATAATTGTTCTTCCAAATTTCAAAATCTTACTTACTTGATCACTCTAACCTGCATGCTTTCATTCACGAAACTGATGAGAAAGTTAAGGCGACTATAAGCTCAATCAATAACGCCTAATAAGTCAAAAGCTAATTACCCTTGCCAAGTTGCATATTAGCAGTATTTGTAATCGATCTTTAAATACATTTCATTCACTAATTTATTGGTCATCAATATAAATCATGACTGTTAGCGTATCACATATTGCCTGTTCCAATATTTCACACAGTTTTAACTACATTTCACTCCCAGCAATGTAAAGTGTAATTTAAAAACTCAGGCAGTTTAAATAACAGTTCCACACTAAGCGTCACTCACTGTAGCCTGTACATATGTAACCTGTAACCTGAACGCACTGTCATACATTTATAATTAAGTAACTAAATTTTCGAAATTTTATCAGAATCTTTGTACTTTAGCCCTTCAGTAGTTCATACACAGCTTTGAAGTTCCTAAAAAATACCCAGGAAACTCGCAGAAAATCACACATACATACATTACCTACCTATATTGTCACCACCGGTGTAAGTACAGTCAAAACACTCCGCCATGCTTTTGCATGTATACAGCCTCGGTTTGACCTGGTCGTCCAGGAAATTGGGTCACATGATCAACAAAATGGCTACGTGACCCAGACAGGTGCGCTGACCAAAAATATTTACACAGTACAAAAACTGTGGCCTCATTTTTATCAATGAAACTACGTGGGTAAAAAGTATGGTCTGCATTAGGATTTTACTTATGCTTGAACGGATTGATAAGTTCTAATAGTGAGAAACAACACTTATTTTTCACCTAACGTGGTAATTATGTTTATGCAAAATTTCTTACTTCCGGGTTAGACCACAACTCATCGACTTCCTGCACCCCGAACACATAACTCAGTTTCTGTTGCTGCTCTGCTTCTTTGTCTTCACCAGCGGGACGCCGGGATCTAGACCGCAGTTGGTATGTAATGTACTGATTGGTTACGCTTCATACAATTAGACGGCGCTGTGGCACTACTGGATAATCTGTTAAACTTAATATTTGCATTTGTACAATGATCTAATACGTGTACCACCACTTTAAAGGAAGTTTTGCTTTGAAGAAAGAGCGTGTCCTTGACAAAGTTTTTTTTATATGTACTATTTCGAAAGAATAATTAATATAGAGAGACTGAAGTTAAGAGAAGGAAGTATAGGTATACTTGTCAAGTATACCTATACTTCCTTCAAGTTGTAAAAGTAGCTTTCAGGCCTGATTAATTTATTTTCATACTGGGGAATGTTTGAACATCTGTATAAATAATCAGAAAGGGCACCAGGTGTCTAGATCTTACTGGTTTCAATTCATTATTTATTACCTATGAAATGCAAGTAAAAGTTGATTTTTAGTATTAGTAGTAAAAAAAAAGTCTCAGTTGCATTGTTTATGGGTGGTCAGTTAAATGGCTTTACTGAATAGGAAAATAATATTTAATTTCTGTTTTCTCTGATTATAAATTAAAAACTAAAAAGGTTATGTGCTTATGTAAATACATCATGATAAGCTGATTGCATGTGGATGAGTGCATGATTAGTGTTTTTCAAAATGTTGACTAACCATTGCAAAATGATTATTAGATTTGCCGCAAAAAAGGTTGGTTTTGCAAAATATGGTTATTCAGTGATGTTCCCAAAATGATTTTTTGATGTGAAATTTTAACTGTACAAAAAGGACAAATTTATTATTTGGAATAATAGTTCATCTAAAAGCAGAAAAATTCAAGTGTTAAGAGATAGATGATTATTTATTAATAAAACTTGCTGGGTCTGTGAATAATGATTTTAGCCATGGGAGGTATAGAATATGATAGCATACAGGGCTTTAAAACATCATATCTTGATAATGTACTGGTATGTTTTAAGAGACTGACACCTTGATAGCCTGGCTGTTATATAAGAGAGTCATATGAATGGAGTCTCTATGCTCAACAAGGTCAGTTATAATTAAAGGTATGCTTCCTGAATTTGAAAATGCCCTGAGGGCAAATATCCCCTTTACTGGTTACATATCCTGCAGAGCTACTTAACTTTTACTATTCAGACCTACAAGATGGTAAAACCCCTAAAAAAAGTAGCTTTCCTGCTGAAATGGTGGTTTTAGTGCATGACTGGTCAATCATTTAGAACTAGAGTTCTAAATTAGAAGTTGTATAATTCATTAAAGTGGGAGAAAATTGCTTTTTAAATTTTTTTTGACGAAAATCTCAATTGGGAGGGAAAATCCCAGATGGGATGGATTTATCTCATATTTAACTTAACTAGGAAGACAGCTTGAGGGGAACTTGAGAAAGGAAGTAAAATTACTTTTAGGATAATTACATGGTAGAACCACTCAAAGCATACAGGTACGAGTTCGGCCTATAATTCATCTAATGCTACATGTACTGAAAGGTTTTTGTTATGTACAGACACAGATGTGTCTGTACATATAGCCATCATCTGCGTCTGTCGTCGCCGTCGTCGCTGTCGTCGCCGTCGCCGTGCACTTTTACCGATAACACGATAAGTGGAAAACCATTTTACCTTTTGACTTGAAACTTGCAGAACTGATGAATATTCATAATACGCAGGTCAAGTTCGAAAATCAGCATGATCGGGTCACTTTTAGGGAATTTATGCTGTTTTTTCACTTTTTTCAGCAT